ACCCTCACATATATGGTCAAATGATCTTTGACAAGAATGACAAGATTACACAATAGGGAAAGAATAGTCCCTCCAACAAATGGTGTTAAGAAAACTTGATAGCTGGGCCTCCCCTGGTGGCGCAGCGGTTGAGCGCTGGGTTGCGAAGCTGCCCGCAGCCTCTGCAGTGCTGGTTCGATCCCCGGCTGCTCCCTGGCCACAGGAGGAGGGTCCCACAAGGCGCACAGACCTCTCCTGCCGCCTGCTGCTCCCCTCAGCAGTGTACTTTGGTCCTTCTGCCTGCTCTGCTCCCTGCTCTGGCTCTGGTGAATTTTCTCACCCTCCCGTGCTTCTGACTATATACCCAGTGCTTGTATGAATAAATAAATAAATCTTAAAAAAAAAAAAAAACTTGATAGCTACATGCAAAAGAATGAAGATGGATCCTTATTTTAAACCATACTCCACAATTAATGTAAGACTTAAAACTATACAATTCCTAGAAGGAAAGTTTCATGACATTGTAATGGGTATTGATTTCTTGGATAGGGAACCAAAAGCATGGGTAATAAAAACAAAAAGTTTAACAAACTTTAAAATTTCTGTGCAACAAAGGAAATGAGAGAAAAAGCAACCTACAGAATGGGCAAAGAAATTGAAAAGGCATTTTTCCAAAGAAAATACATATAGAGGGCCTCCCTGGTGGCAAAAGGGTTAAGCACTGCACTGCAAAGCAATCCGCACCTTCTGCAGCACGAGTTCGATCCCCGGCTGGCCTGGGAGCAAGCCACATGGCGAGGCAGACCTCTCTTGACTTGCCTGCTGCTCCCCTCAGCAGTGTATTTCAGTTAGTCGGTCTGCCTGTTCTGTACCCCATTCTGTCTCTGGTGAATCCCCCACCCCCTGCATCTCTGGCCTGTGCCCCAGCTCTTGTATGCATAAATCTTAAAAAATATAAATAAAAACTTTAAAAAGTCTTAAAAAAAATACATTTAGAATACAAAAAAATAACAATAAAAGCAAAGCCCAAAACTAAACAGCTGAAAACCTTCCTTATTGGCTTCATATTGGATAATAAAGTAAGGTTGTTTTTCTCAAAAATTTAGATAAACAATTTCAAGAAAAAAAAATTACTGTATACAAATGGCCAAAAACCATATGAAAACATGTCCACCTCCACTAAGCAGAAGAGAAATGCAAATCAAAAGCAAAATAAGATCTCATTTCACAAAAAAAAAAAAAAAAAAAAAAAAGCCCAAATATGGGCAAAGATGTGGCAAAAGAAACCTTTGTGAATTGTTATTCAATCCCTAGCACCTAGGGAAAACAATATTGAGGGACCTCAAAAAATGAAAAATAGAACTATCATACGACCCAGCAATCCTACCTCTGGGTGTATATATCCAAAGAACTGAAAATAGAATCTCAAAGAGCTATTTGCATATGCATCTTCACTACAGTTTAGTTCACACTGATAAGATGTGGGAGCACTCTAAATATCCACTGACAAAATGGGTAAGTAAAAAGTGGTATATACAAAGGAAGGATTATTATTCTTTTTTTTAAAAAAAAAAGGAAATTTCACCATATGCTATAGGGTGGCTCTTACCAACATTGTGCTAATCACAAAATATGAGCTATCTAAACTAATCAAAATTGAAAATGGAATTGTGGTTGGCAGAGGCTGAGAAGGAAAAACATAAAGTTGTTGAATGGATACAGAATTTCATTCATGTAAGATGAAAAACTTCAGAGATCTGTTGTAAAACAATCTGTATGTAGTTAACACCATAATGTATACTTAAAAATTGCTAAGAGAGGGCCTCCCTGGTGGCGCAGCGGGTTAAGCGCAGCGTTGTGAGGCTGTCTGCAGCCTCTGCAGTGCGGGTTCCATTCCTGGCCAGCCAAGGAGATTCCCACATGGCACGGCAGATCTCTCCTGTCGCACCCGCTGCTCCCCTCAGCAGTGTATGTAGGTCATCTGCCTGTTCTGCTCCCTACTCTGCCTCTGGTGAATGCTCTTACCCTCCCCAGTACCCTCCCCTATACCCCAGCTCTTGTATAAAAATAAATAAATCTTTTAAAAAAAATTGCTAACAGGATAAATTTAATGTTATGTACAATTAAAAAGACACAGATCAAGAGGACAAAAAATTAAATTATTCCAATTTGCAGATTACATGAATGTTTTATGAACAAAATACCAGAGAATCTACCCAAAATATTTTATCACTTGATAACTGAGTCAGCAAATTGTATCTTTTTTGTGCTCTATTTAGCACCATGTTTTTCACACTTTGGTGCTTTTTGTTGGTAATTTAACTGCTTAAAATGGTCTCCAAACATAATGGTGAAATGCTATCTTCTGTTCCTAAGTGCAAGAAAGCTGTGATGTGTCACATGGAAAAAAATACATGTGTAAGATTAAGCTTCATTCAGGCTGAGTCATAGTATCACTGATCATAAATTCAATGTTAATAAATCTTCAACACATATTGAATAAAGTGTCTTTAAACAAAATACATGTAAAAAATGGTTATATAAAGACTGGTTCATGAAAATGTGGTAAGAGGTTTATGAGAATCTTACACTGTTTCCCCTATGAGCAATGGTTCAGTATTTCTTTTTTTTTTAAAAAAGATTTATTTATTGGGCCTCCCCGGTGGCGCAGCAGTTGAGCGCTTGGGTTGCGAAGCTGCCCGCGGCCTCTGCGGCGCCGGTTTGATCCCCGGCTGCTCCCCGGCCACCAGAGGAGGGTCCCACATGGCGTGCAGACCTCTCCTGCTGCCCGCTGCTCCCCTCAGCAGTGTACTTCGGTCCTTCTGCCTGCTCTGCTCCCCACTCTGGCTCTGGTGAATTCTCTCACCCTCCCGCGCTTCTGACTGTACCCAGTGCATGTATAAACAAACAAACAAAACAAAATAAATAAATAAATAAAAACATGCCTCTATTAAAAAAAAATTTAAAAAAAAAAAAAGATTTATTTATTTATTTATTTATTTATACAAGCACTGGGCACAGTCAGAAGCACGGGAGGGTAAGAGAATTCACCAGAGCCACAGCAGGGAACAGAACAGGCAGAGTGACGAAATACACTGCTTAGGGGAGCAGTGGGTGTGGCAGGAGAGGTCTGTCGCGCCATCGAACCAGTGCTGCAGAGGCCGCAGGCAGTTTCACAGTCCAGCACTCAACCGCTGCTCCACCAGGGGAGGCCCTGGTTCAGTATTTCTTAATTAAGTGTTAACTGTAAGTTCACAGAACATAACTACCATGAAGAACAGACTCAATTATAGTAGCAGTTAACAAGCAGTGCAATTTATAATAGCATCAAAACCTTAACAAAGTATGTATAGACTATGTACCCTGAAAACAACAATCAGTGATGAAAGAAATCAAAGACAACATAAACAAAGGCCATGTTGTAGACTCTAATCTATTAAGGCTTCAGTTCTCTCCAAACTTACCGATAGATTCACTATAATTTCATTCAAAAGTCCAGCAATCTTTTTTTGTCAAAAATATAAGGCTCACAATTTGATTTTAAGACTTAACATAAAAATATAGTAAGGTGGAGGGCATCCCCGATGGTGCAGTGGGTTGGGCGCAGCGCTGTGAAGCTGTCTGCTGCCTCTGCTGCATGGGTTCGATTCCCGACCGGCCAGGGAGATTCCCATATGGCGTGGCAGACCTCTCCTGTCGCGCCCACTGCCCCCCTTAGCAGTGTATTTAGGCCGTCTGCCTATTCTGCTCCCTGCTCTGTCTCTGGTGAATCCTCTCACCCTCCTGTGCCTCTGGCCTATACCCCAGCTCTTGTATAAAAATAATAAATCTTTTTCTTTAAAAAAAAATATATATATGTAGTAAGGTGGAGCATCTCTGATGGCGCAGGGGTTAAGTCTCAGTGCCAGCACTGTGAAGGAAGGCCCACTGCTTTGGCCTGAGTTGGATTCCTGGCCAGGGAGCTGACCCACATGGTGCAGCAGACCTCTCCTATCTCACCTTCTGCTCCCCTCAGCAGTGTATTTCAGTAGATCTGCCTGTTTTGCTCCCCACTCTGTCTCTGGTGAATCCTCTCACCCCACCTATACCTCTGGCCTATACTTCAGTTCTTCTATACAAAATAAATAAAAATCTTAAAAAAAAAAAAAAAAGTAAAAAGACAAGCCATATACACATGTACAGAAGATAAACTATACATTTTCAAGAGAAATGAAAACGTACACTAATTAAAAATCTGTATGTGAGCTTTATAATAATCAAAACAACCCACACTGACTTCAATCTGAGTGGCTAAATGGTGGTACAGCATTACAACTGAGCACTCCTTTGTAATAAAAAGGAATAAACAGTCTAAACAAGTACAATAACTATAGACTGTCAATTCGCACCCATTTTATATTGAAATTTTAATATCTAATGTAATATTAAGACGTGGGGTCTTTGAAACTACTTTAGGTATTGAGATGAAAGGAATTAGGTCTCTTATAAAAGAGACTCTTCTCACTTACAGAGTTACTTTATCCTTTCCTCATCGTTGGTTATAATGAAAAAGCAGCCACTCATGTACCAGGAAGCAGATACTCACCAGACACTAAATTTGCCTATACCAGACATTATACCTGTATCTTGGATTTAAATTAAACACAAATTAAAAAACCTAAAGGCAAGCACCAAAGTGGAAATATAATATCTAGCAGCTCTTCTGCTGGCCTGTGACTATGCAAGTGTTTCTTTTCACAGAAACTTTGCCTTTGCATAGCAGCAGTGGCAGTGCTCCTGCCCTCCTGTCACTGTGCTGGTGCCTTTTTCTCCTTTTCCTAATAAACCTGTCCTTTTAAATGTAAAAAGAAGAAGAAATATATTAACTAACTTTCAAACCTGAAAACATGAAAAAAATCCATGAAAAGAAAAAAATCCAAAAGGCACAAAAGGAGCAGGCAGGTACTATAAATAGAAATAATGTTAGAGATAAGTCTAAACATTAAATCCATCAGCAACATAATGAAAAAAGATTTACTCACCCTTTAAAAGATAATCTCAAATATACCAAAATCCAGCTATGTTTGAGACAGACCTAAAACAAAATAACATCAAAATATGAAAATTAAAAGAAAGGTATGTTAAAACTTCCAAGTATGATTCCATGAGGCCACACTTAGTGAAATCTTGTCCTCGAGACTGCAAAATCTCTATTAACGTATTCTTAGATTTTTAAATGCTATTTTCACTGCATCTGCTGTTAAGCTCAAAAATTATGACAGATCTATAGCTTAGCTATGTTCATTCGATAAGTTACTTATTTCCTCCACTAAAATCTAAACATTACAGAGCTGGCAAATAGACCTAGTATAATATGCAAAGGTGTTGTAGAAATATGATGACAGTCATTAAGTAAACAGAAATTAGGACAAACTGTACTTCCGGTAAAGTTATAAACTCTTGTCTCAGTGAATTATTGAGGATAAATGTCACAATTACAATTAAAGTTGTTTGCAGGATGCTTTATATTATAAAATCACTCTGGATACATTCCCCTAAGGGTTATATTATTAAATCCAGTCCTATAATACAAATGCTATTTTCTACTGGAACCTGTTAAATATTAGTAAATAAAATTGCTGATACTCCTAGGAAACCACCAGTAAGAAAGTAAGACTGGTTGCGAACTGACTATTTTTAAGATTTTAAATTTTTTTCATAATACTTTTACATTTGCACTATTATCTAAATATCAAAAGAACTTATGATAAAAAGGGTAGTTACTATCATCTATTTGAGAAAAAATAAAATGGAGACATACAAATTAAGACAAAGATCATACCTATTAGCAGACCCAGAACTACAGGATAAATTCTACTAATCTTCCTGTTCCTTTTTCTAGACCTTGTTAACTTGCATGTAGCCAGTCCCTCATTTACATAAGTTACTCACATATTAAGTCCACTTATAAATGGTCATTTTATAAGAGCACTACAATGCTATTGCAATAAACTAATTGCAAATCCTATTTAAATAAACTCATCTATTGGTTTCTAAATTTCATTTACAAAGTCAAATTAAAGAAAAACACCACCACCAAGTGCATCTATGTTAGTAACTGCTTCAATGTTATTTCCTTTTGCTATAACTCTACTAAAATAACACATAATTTTAATTTTTTTTAAAGTTATGCATACAAGAGCTGGGGTACAGGCCAGAAATGTGGGGGGTGAGGGGATTCACCAGATAAACAGTGGGGAACAGAACAGGCAGACTGAAATACACTGCTGAGGGGAACAATGGGCGAGACAGGAGAGGTCTGCCATGCCATGTGGGTTGCTGCCCCGCCGGCCAGGGATCAAACTTGTGCTGCAGAGGCTGCGGATTGCTTCATAGTGTGGTGCCTAACCCCTTGCACCACCAGGGAGGCACAATAATTTTCATTTTTAAATATTACAAATTGAGGGCCTCCCTGGTGGCCCAAGGGGTTAAGTCTCAGCACTATAAAAGCTATCAGCAGTCACTGCAGCACTAGTTCCAATCCCCTATCCCCAGGGAGCTATCCCACATGGCACAGCAGACCTCTCTGATCTCACCCACTGCTCCCCTCAGCAATCTATTTCAGTAAACCACCTTTTCTGCTCCCCACTCTGTCTCTGGTGAATCCTCTCACCACCACCCCCCCACACCTATGGCCTACACCCGAGCTCTTATGTGCATAAATAAATAAATCTTAAAAAAAAATAAATATTACAAATTGATATTTTAAGACTTGCAGCATTGTATTGTTACTTAATTTTTTATTTACTTCTAACACACTTTTCCTTATTTGTGTTGTTGAACATGGCAAGTGACAAAATTTTCAAATGACAGTTGGAACAAATTCTGAAAAACACTGCCACACAAAATGCAACTATTCTAATGTGTGGGTAGTCCTAATTAATAATTCTCTCAAGTACTATCTCCACTTTTGGAGCTAACTGACATACTGTAATTTTACAATAATGTTATTATAACTAGGCAGAGAAAACAATTCTAGTGACTAATCCCCTCATCACCAAATGTTTTGAAACACTTGCACAAGCATTCAAATACAGCTATTCTCAAATATTTTACCAAAAAGTCAACAAATGTGACTGCTATATGCATATTTGTTAAACAGAATTTATTTGACAGAAAAACAAGTGGAGGATATATTGATCTGAGACAGATACAGTTGCCACAACTGCATGTTATAATAATTATAACTAAAACATGATTCCTCTAAGAGGCTTTTTTTTCCTACAGGTTAGAAAAATTAAAAACTCATATGGAAAAAAACATTATCATCTGGAATCTACATAATAAAGTTGACACTGGCTTTCAATAATCAAGAGCCTTAAAAATTTAGTAAATTGTATTATTTGTATCTACCACTTCAGAAAATTCCTAAGGTTTCCTTCCTTCCTTTCTTGACAAACTGAATAACCATAGTCACTGCAGGTAAAAGCAATTTAGAGGGGAAGTGTTAGCTAGGCTTCTACAACTCCCCATCTGCTCATACACAAAGAACAGCCTCTCATTCTCAAGTATATCACTGTCCAAGAAAATAAAAATGATATGCTTTTTAGATTATACTTTTAAAAAGGTTCATACCATATAATCCATTTATCACAAAATGAATCAAGACCACCAGAAATGAGGGCAAAGATTTATCAAGTGTTGATCATTATATTTTTATAGTGTAGAAAAAAATAGCAATCTAAATGTTAAAAAATGGGAGGGGAAAGAAATATAGTAGATTCATGAAAGGAAAAATGATAGCCTTTAAAACCGCTGCTCCTCTTAGTAGTGTATTTCAGTAAATCCACCTGCTCTGCTCCCCTCTGTGTCTCTGGTGAATCCTCTTAGCACCTTCTGCACCTCTGGCCTACACCCCAGTGCTACTATGCAAAAATAACTATTTTTTAAATAAGCAAATAAGAAAAAGGGACAGGGGTATGTGTATCATCCTATTAGACACTATGTCTATAGCTGAAACAAAGTGCTAATACTTAAATTATAACCTATTTGAATCATAACAACGCCATGCTTCCACTATTGTCACCTAGAAAATAAGGGTAAGTCTGTGAATTGGCTCATTGGGGGTGACTTCAAGGTAATCCCAGAATTTTGAGATGGTATTCTTTGAAAATTAAGGCAAAAAGTTTTATTTAATAACTGAAATCAGAAAGAAATCATCAGTGTGCTGTTTATTGATCCTCTGCTATGTGAGATACATATTTCTTAACTTCTTTTAATTTTAATGTCTTCAAAGACACAGAGTCTGGAATATAGTGGGAAACTCAAGAACTGGTAGATAATATTTAAAGCTAATACCAGGGCCTCCCCGGTGGCGCAGCGTTTGGGTGCTGGGTTGCGAAGCTGCCCGCAGCCTCTGCGGAGCTGGTTCGATCCCCGGCTGCTCCCCGGCCACCGAAGGAGGGTCCCACATGGCGCGCAGGCCTCTCCTGCCGCCCGCTGCTCCCCTCAGCAGTGTACTTCGGTCCTTCTGCCTGCTCTGCTCCCCACTCTGGCTCTGGTGAATTCTCTCACCCTCCCGCGCTTCTGACTGTACCCAGTGCATGTACAAACAAATGAATAAATAAATAATAAATAAATAAATAAATAAATACATGCCTCTTTAAGAAAAAAAAAAAAAATAAAGCTAATACCAGTTCTAAATTCATTAGGAGTCCAAAATGACCACACAACTAACTACACCCAAAACAGGAGTCGCTAAATGTTTCAATTAAATTGGCAAGTCTTTAAATGAGCACAAATATGAGTTTGGTTGAAAACAAGAGATTAAAAGATGGTGAAAAATAGACTTAACTTATTTAAAGAATAAACCTAGAGGAAAGCATATTTTAAAAGGAAGGAAACAGGTGGGAAAAGAGTAAGAGAAAATCCAACAATGGCATCTAGAAAAGGTAAAACCTTTCTTTCACCAGAGATGAGTCAGAAGACAATGAAACAGGGAGGGAAGAAGTTTCTAGACAGGCTTACTTGGCATCCCTGCTCATCACTCATTACGAATAGTCAAGGCGGAATAGGACGGAGGCAACTAAAACACCGGCTTGAAAGAAAGCATCATTAATACAGGACCCATATCTATGGAGTGAGTGAAACATTCCAGGTTTTAAAAGACAGATTCAATTAAATGTTACAAATCCAGACGGGCAGATTAAATCTTCATAATCCAAGTATCCCAGCATTTACGTAAATTCGTAAATTCTTGAACATTTACGAAAAAGGTGAACGATGTCTCATAAACCCAAAACCTAAGTTTTTGCTCGCCAACATGATACTCTTCATGATGTGTGCCCTATATGTGTGTGTACATCCATTTAAATAGGCCTTTTATAAACTCCACAATCCCAGACGATACTTGTTAAATATCTTCTTCATCAGTGACTTGGTGATTCAGTAAGTTCTTAGTTTCCCCCTAAACAAATTTTCTTTAATCAGGCAAATAAAAGATGGCTGGACAGACGTAATCATAGCCATTTAAAAGATGCTAGTGACATGTTTTGCAAATTATCCAAAAATGACAATAGAATGAATCGGTACAAATACATTATTACAGCAGATATGTCCGCATTCTGTTAGTTAGGGTGAATTAACTTTACACGTAAATTATAACACGTTTGGAATTATGGTGGATGGTTGAAGAGTCAGGATATGAATACTGGGCACCGCCAGGCCTGGGGATTTCCCGGGTTTGTCTCCAATTCGGAACGACCTTAGAACTGCCTTAACAAAAGAAATCAAAGCTTGACACAGAGGCCTTAGGCACATGTTAGCAAACGCAAAGCCAGTGTAAGCTGAATTAAGCCCAAACAGTAACCCATTTGAGGGCAAGGTCGTGGCTCTGTTTTAACCACTGCTGCAGCTTGAGACGTACGCTTTAAAGAGCTGAAAGAACAAAAGGCGGAGGGGCTACGAGTATTTTGCGATTTACATTCATTTCCGATCAATGCAATTCTTCCAGAAACTTCTCAACGATCAAATGCAGCGACACTAACAAAAATTCCTATCACCGGCGCCCGTGGCTCAAAGAATGCGACGAGAGGTAGGAAAGGTGTCCTCCGCTCGGTGAGCCCTGCAGAGACGCCCGGCCTCTCACCCGCCTGCAGGCTCAGAACCGACTCCCACAAAAACCGCTGGGCTCTGAGGGGCGCCCCGTCCTAGCCCGGCCAACCCGGCCGCGTTTCCCGGGTTCCCGCCCGAGCGGACGGCGGGGCGCGAACCGCCGGCTGCGGCCTGGGCCCGGCTCCTCGGCCGAGCGCCGCGGCCCGTTACAAGCAGCGGCGTCCTCCGCGGGGCCCGGCCGGGGGCGGGCGGGCTGCACTTACCCACGCGCAGCTCGCCCCGCACCGCGCGCCCGGGCGGGAAGGGGCGGGAGGGGGGAACTAAGAGGGCGGGAACGCGAGTGTGGACTGTAGAAATGCCGGGGCGTCCGCCTGGACCTAGCACCGACCTGGGTGTCCCGCCTTCCCCTCGCGCAACCGCGGCTGCCGAGCCACGCGACAGTAAGAACCGGAACTGTCGCGGCGCGAGCCCTAATCCCTTTTTTGCCTCTTCCCGCCGGAATTGCCGCGCGCGCACGCACGCACGCCCGGCCTCCAAACCCCACAGACGCCTCTTGCGCGAGGAAACGCTCCGCGCCGCCGCCCCCCCGCCCCCACCGTGCGGGTGCACTAGGGACTCAGTTCTCGCGAGAAGTTTTCTCCCCAATCCCCTCCCCCTCGGTAGTTGGTGCGCGGACGAGAAAGGAGGAGGGCGCTCCAGGCGAAAGCACTGCAGACGCCATTATTCTCTGTTTCTCTGCTGCACCCACCTCGACGTCTTGCCTACGTCCCGCTTGTTGGCGGCCTATAGGTAACTGGAGTTATTGGGTTTGGGTAATATGGATTCAGGCCGGAGTTTGGTCCCCCTAAAGGCTGCGTTGAATTTTTCCAAGCTCGATTTTTCTCGGGCCCTTAGCGGCCTTAACAGCCTGAAGGGAGGCGCCGGCGGGAGGCGGGGCAGTCGCCGCCTCCGACGCCTTGATTGACTCGGCCTTAGGCCAATCGCTTCGCCCTCGCGCCACCGCTGAAGCCCGGGCCGCCAATCGGGCGCGACGGCGGAGTAGGAGAGCGCGGAGAGGTGGGGAGGGTGGCGGGGGCCTGCGCCCGTTCTCTGTCGAGCTGTGACCGGCTGAGACGGCGCATCGGCGAAAGGACGGCGGCTTCGCGCGGTGAGGAGCGGGGCTGGACGAGTGGCGCACGGGGGTGAGGGTCGGGAAGCTGTTTTTCCGCTTGGGGGAGGCGTTTTCGGGGCGGCTGGGGGGTTGGCTGGCTCTCGGTGAGGGAACGTGGCCCGGTTTCCCCTCCCCCCACCTCCGCCATTTCCCTGAGCGTAGCCCGCAGTCCGCTTAGTGGCCTTAGAGACTTAAGGGATGGTTGGGCCTGCGCCTGTCGGATGAGTCGGGGGTCTTGTGGTATCGGGGATTAGGCACACGGAGTGGGAAGGTGAAGGGGCCGGCGGGCGGGACTGGGAAGAACTGCCTCTCTTTGTGCCGGTCCCGCCACCCTTCAGCTTGCGGGGCTGGGAGCGGGGAGCTGGAACGCCCGGGGCTGCCTCCGTTGCTTTGTCTCTCCCGCGGTGGGGGGAGGGGCGGGGGACGAGCTCGCGGGACCGCGTGGTGGGTGGGGGAGGGGGCTCGCGCTCGGCTCCGCCTAGTAGCACGTAGTCGCCATTACGCGGGCCGCCATTTCCTGTCGGATCCGGGGCAGGCGAGGTGCGGCGCTTCGGTTCTCGCCCCAGGCTTTTTCTACTGCTGTTACTCCGTTGTCGCCGTACCCGGTATCGGGCTTGGGGAGAGGAAGGAAAGGGGGGCCAGGTTTGCGCCTGACTGGGACTGGTCGAGCGAGATTGAGCGCTGTTCTCGGTCCGAGAAAGGGTGACTAGAGGATCCGAAGGGTGAATCTCGGCGACGGTCTCCCCTACAGAATAGTTCCTGCTCTAGAATTCAAACAACTTGATCCAAATCTTCCGCCGCGCCTTAGTACTTCGCTGGGTGACGGGCCACAAGACTGTCTTTTCGGTCAGTCGTTGGTAGACGAGGTTAGCGACACATGAGACTGGAAGGCATAAATGTTGCCCCTTTTTTAGTTGTAGCCTGGCCATCATCCTTCTTTAGCTGGGGCCCCCGTTCGCCTCCTGCCAGTCCTGAGATGGGAGCTTGTGTCGCATCACTCGTCGGGTATTACATTGTTAGGTTACACGGTTTTTATAACCTGTTTTGAAATAGCCCGTTAGTGACGGTGTTAGTGTTCAAGGGCTCCTAGCCGCAGCGTAATCTGGTAGTTTGGGTCTGTGTATCGGGTTTTGAAGTATATCCCACGGCAATTTGACCTGATAGTTGCGTTTGCCCTGTATTGGTAAAAACGAGAATTCAGAAAATAGCATGGCAAGTAATGGGGAAAAACCAAAAACAGTTTAAAATTACAATGTGAAACTAGTTCTGTGTAGCTCTGTATGTTTTCGGGGATAAAATTTGGATTCGTGGATTTGTATGTCGATGTTGGAGCCTGTAGTTTGAAAATACGTGTTCGGTGTTGGTCTGAAGCAAAAAAAAAAATAATCAAGTAAGGTTTGTGTTTTTAAGTCCCCCAAATGAAAAAGTCAAGTACTAGAGAAAGTAGCTCTTCGATTTTATTCTTAAAATTCCATGAGAAACCAAAAAAAACCCTCTGATTTATGTCGATTTTTATAGGCTACTGAATCAGCACTTGTCACTTGGTCCCGCCCAGAACACTTCAGTTCTCCTCTGCAAGGATATATAAGTAACTGGTACGTTTTAGAAGCCTGGTCATTTCTTAGCCGCTTTTAATTTTTAGCAATGCACAGCTTACTTTCCTAGCCAAATGCACTAGCTTTTTCTACTTTTCTACAGATTGGTGTATCCATTTAATACAAGAAAATGGAAACTGAACAGCCGGAGGAAACCTTCCCCAACACCGAAACCAATGGTGAATTTGGTGAGAAGATACTGTACAAACTTGCTCTCTGTTCTGTTAATTTCATTATTTTGTGATCATATGTTTAGTCTGAAATACTTGTCAGCTGCATCTTGGCTTTTATTTATGGACTAGAATTTGTATGGGAAACTAAGCCAAAAAGGGGGCCCAGAAAATATTAAAAAGCTTTTCCGTGTATTGTAGAATTTTTAATCCTTCCAAGTATTTTGTCCTGGTATCTTATATCAGGAACATGCTTTGAGTCTCATAAAAGTCCAAGGGAATTGGTTATTTATAAATACGCTTGTTACCCAAAACAGTATGCAGTTGCTTTTTCTAACTATGGGTTAAAACTAAAATGAAAGTAAAAGTGCATTTTCTAAAGATGCTGGTGCCTCCTCTAAAATCTAAACCCTTAATTTCTAGGTAAGCGCCCAGCAGAAGACATGGAAGAGGAACAAGCTTTTAAGAGATCTAGAAACACTGATGAGATGGTTGAATTACGAATTCTGCTTCAGAGCAAGGTAGGTGTTTTCTTTAAAATTTGAAGGTGGTTTTAAAGTAGAAATTAAAAGTTCTGCTTTGACCCCCTAAGAAAACCTTCAAAGCGTAAAGGTTGAAGAGTTAAGATTTGTGTGATTCTTTCTAAACAGACTAAAAGGGCATCTGACTTTGCTCAGCTAATAACTGAAATGAAGGCTTTTAATACAGTAAGCTTCACCCAGGATGGGTCAAAATAAAAGGGTTTATGTGATTTTTAAAGCACTGGATTAAGGATAATCTTTTATATTGTGAGCCCATTAGACAACATCCTGTCGTGTAGGCAGTTTACTTGGTAACATAGCACAGAACAAGTGTACCTGCTAATTTGTTCTATAGACGGGTACTGTGAAATTAGCACTAAAATACATTACACTAAATATTTCTGGTATTCTGAGATTTCCAAAACTCAGTAGTGTTGACTCCTAAATCACTTGGATTTTTTTAGATTTTGGGTTTATTTGACCTGGTGTTTTTTATAACTCCAAAATAGATTCAGACTAACAAAAAAGAGGTTAGAGGGTGTTTTGTCGTTGTCGTTTTGGCTTAAAACATAGGAAGACAACATTAATAAGTTTGTTTTTACCTTCAGAATGCCGGCGCAGTGATTGGAAAGGGAGGCAAGAATATTAAGGCTCTCCGTACAGACGTAAGTATTAGAGAGTTTAAACTAAAAAACTGGACGCTTCGATTTATGTGTTTGTAGAAATTTAACAATTTGTATCAGAAATCATTTATAGGCTAGATACAAGCCATTTGTAGTAATTGACTACGTAGATGATTTCAGGTTTATGATTCCTGATTTAACAAAGCCCAGATTAAGTCTGGGGGGTGGTGAGCTATATTAAACCTCTTCACTTTCTAATAATTTTCCACCAAATTATTCACTTTGAGATAACATCTTAATTAGAAGTAGCAACAAAGTAATTAAAAAAAAACCCTTAATTGCACCATTTCCCATCTGTAGATCAATTATAGTATTGAAAACCGTTGCAGGTGGCTGATTAAATCCAGGAATTTTATTTCTTTTCCTTTTTTTTTTTTTTTTTAAGTTTGTCCATCTGTTCTTTAATGGCTTGCACGTGGAGCACAAAGAAAATGTTATGGTTGCATGATTTAAATATGGGTAAAGACTAGAATAGGCATTTAATCTTATGACTGGGAAACCATTTGTCAATGCCTATGATTTGTTAGAGTCTTCATATTTGATAGTGGGTTGACTCTTGTGATTAGACACATTAAATGTTGGTATCACCAGAAGTGTGAGCATATTTATAGGACTTGTTTACACCAAAATTTCTAAATTTTTTCCTCATAGTGTGCATACTCTTAATGTTTCCTTGCTAAAGTTGAGACAAATAATAACTCTGTGTTGAATACTTATTTGACAGTATATTTCATTTCTCTCTTGGTCGCAGATCTTTGTATGTTCCTCTTGATTACTGTAAACTGAACTTGAAAATTTGTTTAAAAATTTACAAACTCGCCTGTTAGGATCTAAGAATGCATTTTAAACCTCCAGGAAACCAAACTAGTCTTAAGAAATAGGGTTTTCGGTGGTGTGGGAATTTTTGTTTTGTCTTTTATAAACCTCTCTCCTCTTAATCCAGATGTTCTGTATAAATTATCTGGGTTAATGTCCCCATTTCCTCAAGAATATCAGTAAACTAAGTCAAGACAGGTTTTGTGTCTACCCTCATGAGCCAGCCTGCTACTGAAACATCAGTTGTTTCTTTTCTTTTTTTTTCTTTTTAAAGCTAATACCATCATTTAAGGTCCTTAAATGTTAAGCCACGGTCAGATATAGAGAAGTCCATTATTGTGTTAGTCTTCAGAACAACTTAAGCTTGTTTCATTAATTGAGAGTATGAGTATAGTTTGTATTAAATTAAAATTTATTGCTTTTCCCCCTTTTCCCTCTCCTTGTTTTTTTGGCCATATATCTCCGTTGCCCATGTACTGGATCGACTTACCCCTGCGTTGCCCACCATGACGTTGGCCCATCCGCCCCTGAACGCCCATGTGAAAACCCTGGTTGGCTATGCCCAAAAATGTGCTCGTTGCCAAACGGGTACCATACTTGACAACTTCTGATTGAATGCCCATGCCCAATGCCAACATCCACGAACGCCAATGACCAATGCAGTACAATGCCAGTGTTTCAGTCCCAGACAGCAGTGGCCCCGAGCGGTATGTCCCAACAGTTTATGCCTCACTGCCTGATTAGAAAGAGAGAAATGTATTTTATTACCTGCCTTTTATATAATTAAATAGTATCCCCTTTAGACGGTGTATTGTTTTTCAAGTTTCTGTCTTATTTTCCCCATTAAGTCTTTTTGTCACTGAACTTTTACCGTGAGTTGCCCACCCAAACGATCCACTAATTTTATTTCGATGGAAGGAGCACAGCTTCAAGTGTTGCATATTTGCTGCATTGTAAATCAAATTGTTTACCAAAATAGTCTCTCGCTCTGTCTTTGTGGCCCACCTTGCTTCCCAACATTGCCTGTTCATAATTTTTTCTGATGAAATGCTAACTCTGGTTCACTTTCCTTCACTTCTCATTTGTGTTGTCTTTGTTTTGTCTTGCATTTGTATTTGTTTTCTTGCAGAGCCCATTAGTGATCTAATTTCTAACTGGTATCCATAACCTTACTCCAGATACAATGTTCACCACTTGCATATCCCCCCACTTTGCCTAAGAGAAGGTGTGCCAGTTTTACCAATGTAACAGCGAGGGTATCCTTAACTTAGTGGTGGCGGGGAACATAAATATTCAACTCTGCTTCAGTTCTGGTCAGTTTATTGCCCACTTAATCTGAGCCCTTCCAAAAGCCCATTCTTTCTGTCTCTCTGCAAGTCTCCTAATATTGTTACCATGTCTGTATTGGGCATAAAACAAAATGCATGTGAAAAAATCTATAAATAGGTTACTTTAAATGGGGAATATTGAATAATTGTATGTTACTTCTCTGTAAAAGTTTGTGTGAGTACTGGTGACGGACACAAAACTCATTTTTTCTTTTCCACCTTTTTTGTACTATCTGGTATTGTGATGTTTGACAGCATATTGAGTATCAGTGCTGATATTGAAACAATTGGAGAAATTCTGAAGAAAATCATCCCTACCTTGGAAGAGGTAGGCTCATTTTTTTATGTATTTAGCACTTGAGGGGGGTGTTTAAACTCTGTTCTACTGGGGGTGTTTTGGGGGAGGCGGAGAGACAGAGGGTTTAAGTTTGTAGTAGCATTTTATGGCCTAATGTAATGTTCAGGGTTAACGTATCTACATTTAAAATACAGCCTGGCCACTTCGGAGTAAATATGAACTACCTGTGGTCATCGGCATTTTCATGGGTTCAGCATGTATTTATGGGTATTAGTTTTAGGGGAATTGGTATTTTAAGAAAGAATGTCAATTGTGGGAGCTATGTTGGAAAGGAATATTTGAATGGAGTTTGACAATTTTAAAGTTTCATGTAATATACTAGGTGGAGGAAAGTATTTTATATTCTTAGTGTAGATACTCAGTTTTTTGTTAATATTATAGATGTGAAATGTGTTGTAGTAGCTTTACCAATATATGCGACAATAGCCTGATCACAGTAGACACTTAACCTATTACTCTTATTTTTCTACTTTCAGGGCCTGCAGTTGCCATCACCCACTGCAACCAGCCAGCTCCCGCTCGAATCTGATGCTGTGGAATGCTTAAATGTATGTCATAGTGCCATTGAACCCCACTGAAGTATGGAGCCTGGCCCATAGGATCAATTTTATTTTTACCATAGTGTGCTTTTCCCGTCTCTATAGAAAAAGGCTTAAAAACATGATAAATGAATGGTCTTACAACTCACTGTTGACCCTGCTCCATGCTGCAGTGGGAAATAACTACATTTGCAAAGTGCTTTGCAGTCATTTTTTATTATGGTGTTATTTGAATGTTAATAATAATTTTGTGGTAACAGCGACATGCTAAATGGCTGCAGTGTGGGTATGGTGTTGCAGGACCTGAAAATAAAATAGTTTTTTAAGGTGGTGCAGAATGTCCTTTTTGGGCCTGGCTATTGAGGATAATAAGCACATAACTGGTAAAGTTATTGAAATATAAATTCAGGTTGCTCACTGCAACAGTATATTGTTACGCTTATAGCAGATAAGTGTATTTAGAGAATCCTTGACTTGAAACTAAAATTTTGTAACTCTCCCTCTGCAGTACCAGCACTATAAAGGAAGCGACTTTGACTGCGAATTGAGACTGTTGATTCATCAGAGTCTGGCAGGAGGAATTATTGGGGTCAAAGGTGCTAAAATCAAAGAACTTCGAGAGGTAAAGGCGTTGTTTCTATCTCTCTGTTTGTTATATTATTGGAAAATACTTTTTACATAGACTACAAGTGGGCTTCTCTTCCCCATTTTGAGTTCCTTTCATAAGATGCCTCATCACTTCTGTAACTATTTTATCATTAAAACAAATTGAATCAGTTGTTTTGCCAAATGCATTTTTATCATTGCAAAGTTCTGAAGTTACTAAGGTTTGTAAATTGGGAAATTTTTGTTGGATGTAAATTTAACTGAATTTTTGGGAAGGGAGCATTGTTTTGATTAATTCATTCATTCTTTTTACTACAGAACACTCAGACTACAATCAAGCTTTTCCAGGAATGCTGTCCTCATTCCACTGACAGAGTTGTTCTTATTGGAGGAAAACCAGATAGGGTTGTAGAATGCATAAAGATCATCCTTGATCTTATATCAGAGGTACTTTCATTTTTCTTTGCATTTAATTTCATAAAATACGGATGTTTATTGAAAGGTTGGTTCTTCAAATGACGATTCTGTAGTTGCTCTATGGTACTATGTTGCACAACTTCCCAACTGGTATGCCTCATGATGGTCACTTTTAATAGACTCCACTGTGATGTGAAACATGTTTCAGTCTTTTTTGTTTAGGACTCAGTACTGAAGCTTTTTGTGTTTTGTGTTTTTTGTTTTTAATCCTTAACCTTCTTCTCTTTACCTATATTGTCCCTATCTCAAGTACGTCAAAAAAAAAAAAGGAACTATTTTGTTAAAAGATGGTTGGTGTATGAATCAAGGCTCTCTTTCCATCTATAACAGTGCCGTATTTTTGTTTTAGTCTCCCATCAAAGGACGTGCCCAGCCTTACGATCCCAATTTTTATGATGAAACCTATGATTATGGTGGTTTCACAATGATGTTTGATGACCGCCGTGGACGTCCCGTTGGATTTCCTATGCGGGGAAGAGGTGGTTTTGACAGAATGCCTCCTGGTCGGGGTGGGCGTCCTATGCCGCCATCTAGAAGAGATTATGATGATATGAGCCCTCGTCGAGGACCTCCTCCCCCTCCTCCTGGACGAGGTGGCCGTGGTGGTAGCAGAGCCCGGAATCTTCCTCTTCCTCCTCCACCACCACCCAGAGGAGGGTAAGTTGCTACTATATTTGGGTGTGGAAAGAGTCGGGTCTTTTTTCATTTGATTGTATGACATCTCAACACAGCTGAACTGACAAAAAATACTATGCTTACAGAGATCTTATGGCCTATGACAGAAGAGGAAGACCTGGAGACCGTTACGATGGCATGGTAAGAACTTTATGGCTTTAAGTTAACATGTTACTGAAGATTAATTGAAAGATTTTCTTACAAATGAAGTTCAAATTTAGGTAATGAACTTCAACCATTTCAGTTTACTGAAACTTCATTTACTGAGTCTTCATTGCCAGAGTGGTTTCCCCCAAAATGTGACTGCTGCTGATTTTTAGTTTAGTGTTGTGAGATAAGAATTGGGCAATATATCACAAGTTTGTGGTAATTCTGTCTCTAACACAGGTTGGTTTCAGTGCTGATGAAACTTGGGACTCTGCAATAGATACATGGAGCCCATCAGAGTGGCAGATGGCTTATGAACCACAGGTTGAGTATTAAGGGTTTGCATTCGTTATGGTAGTAGTTCAAGATGCTAGCTTATTCACTGACATGTTTCATTTCCCCTTATGTCATATTTTTGGTTCTTGATCACCCAAGTGATTTCCTTCCCTAAGGATTGCCCTGTAATTATAAGCAATAAATGGGGAAGATGAGGGAGGGCTTTAATTCCAAAAGTTGAGGGATTTTAGGATATTAAAATGTGGAAGTAGTTTTGAAAACAATGTAATTTTTTCCCCCCTTTCTACCTTTAGGGTGGCTCTGGATATGGTAAGTTTTCTTCTTTGTGATATCAAACTTTATTATCATGCTTTCTAAATGAACTTAATGCTCACTATTTAAATCAGATTATTCCTATGCAGGGGGTCGTGGCTCATATGGTGATCTTGGTGGACCTATTATTACTACACAAGTAACTATTCCCAAAGATGTGAGTATTTTTATTATTACAAGGAACATTAATAAGGCATTTTTTGGGTTTTGGTGAAATCTTTTAACAAGAATACCCCATTTTAGCATTGTTAAGGACTTTAGTGAGGTATTTTTCTCCAGTTTGAATGACATTCAGTACTACTAGAAAGAGTTCAGAGGGTTTTGAGCCCTCCCCTCCTCATATTTTTTAAAAGAAATGTTGGTGTGTGATATAAAGATAATCCAAATCTTAACTAGTTAGGAAGAGTTAAATAATCAGAATAAATAGTTCATTATTTTAGTGTCATTGGAAATATAGATGATATGGTTTCTTTTAAAGTGTATCATAAATACTTGTTTTTTGAAAAATCTTTTCAGTTGGCTGGATCTATTATTGGCAAAGGCGGTCAGCGGATTAAACAAATTCGCCATGAATCAGGAGCTTCGATCAAAATTGATGAGCCTTTAGAAGGATCTGAAGATCGGATCATTACCATTACAGGAACACAGGACCAGATACAGAATGCACAGTATTTGCTGCAGAACAGGTCAGTTTTAAGTTTAGCTTTGTGTACTACACATACTAAAACTTTAAAAAGCTTTTCTTCTCAATTGGTTTTTCTTTTAGAAGCCATGGTGTCTCAACCTTTTGGGGACCTAACTTCTAAACATTCTAATAGCTTTGCTTTAATTTTCTTCTGCTTTCTGACTAAAAATGAAGACATTCAATACTAATCTTGCTGGAAGAAGCCTTAACCAAGCAAACTTCTTATTTCTCTGGTGAAAACTGCTGCCAAAACCACTTGTTTATAAATTATACAGAGCCTGTAGAAAATATAGAAGAATCAGTGGATGTTGGTCTAGTTCTGTGTGGAAGACTAGTGATTTTGTTGTTTTTAGATAACTAAATTGACAACAAATCACAGTCTGCCATATGGCACAGGCCATGCCTCTACAGGACAAATGATTGGTGCTGTAAAAATGCAGCATTTCACACCTTACTGGCATTTCTTTGTCTTTTCTACCAAATAATAACTTGGTTTCACTTTCTTAATTCTGCTCTACTAATGTCTGGTTTACTATTACTCACTTTTCCTTGATTTTTTACATTGCTCTAATTTGTAATCGCTTATGTTTTAATTCTAATTGTAATGGACATGTTTATCATTTAGCATTGAAATTGTCTTAATGTTGATTAAGATGTTACGAACAAAAATTCTAATTCGCACTTTTTTTTCTTTTCTTTTATAGTGTGAAGCAGTATGCAGATGTTGAAGGATTCTAATGCAAGATATTTTTTCTTTTTTATAGTGTGAAGCAGTATTCTGGAAAGTTTTTCTAAGACTAGTGAAGAACTGAAGGAGTCCTGCATCTTTTTTTTTTTATCTGCTTCTGTTTAAAAAGCCAACATTCCTCTGCTTCATAGGTGTTCTGCATTTGAGGTGTAGTGAAATCTTTGCTGTTCACCAGATGTAATGTTTTAGTTCCTTACAAAAAGGGTGGGGGGGGAGGGTGTGCAAAAACTAACATTGAAATTTTGAAACAGCAGCAGAGTGAGTGAATTTTAATTTTTGTTCTTCGTTGATGGTTTAAAAGAAATAATTCCCCCCATGTAATTATTGTGAACACCTTGCCTTGTGGTCACTGTAACGTTTGGGGGGTGGGGGGCTATAGAGGAAACAAAACCGAGGCCTACATTTCCCTGGCATCTATTCAGAGCAGTGTGCAGAATGTAATGCTCTTTTGTAAGAAACGTTTTATGATTTTTAAAATAAATTTAGTGAACCTATTTTTGGTGGTCCTTTTTTTTTTTTTTTTTGAGACAGTCATTTTTCAAATGACTGCATTCCACAGCCCACCCCCAAACTAAACACTAAGTTTGATTTTCAGCTCCTCTGTTGGATGTTAATGCATCTCTTCTTGGACATAGGCAAAATAATCTTGGCAAATTCAATTCTGGTGATTTCTTGATTTGAAAATCCATTGCCTGGGGAGGAAATGTCATCATACATACTTAATGCATATAAAATAAGCTGAGGCGGGGAATTGTTTTTGCAAATGCTTGCCCCTACTTGACAACAGTTTTTCTATGTTAGCAGTTGTGAATAAGAACCAAGGGCGGGGAACAATACTACAAATTGAGTAACGGTAAAAGTATATACCCAGAAGCCTAATGAGCAACAAGTTTTATCCAGAATATTGCTTGGTTATGGAAGTGACTGATGCTAAATAAATTCTTATTATTTTTTACTAGATAATTTCTCACGTATAGACTTAAACTGTCGGCCTGTTAGTGTCTTATTAGTTACTTTGTAAAATATATATATACTTGTTTTTCCATTGTATGCAAATTGAAAGAAAAAGATGTACCATTTTTCTGTTGTATGTTGGATTGTGTAGGAAATGTTTGTGAACGATTCAAAAGATGAAAAAATAGTTCCTGTGGATGTTTTGTGTAGTATCTTGGCATTTGTATTAATAGTTAAAAAGTTCACTTCCAAATAAAACTCCCTTAATACTAGATTCAGTGTGTGCCCAATTTCAACAAAGGTTGATTGACACCTGTAAGATTTGTTAAAACGTTCCTCTTGTTAGGAAATACAGTAATCTTAAATTACATATTTTTTTGTGTGAAGTGTTTTTCTAGCATAAATGTAATTGTGGGGGTTGTAAATTTGAAATTTCAGTAGTTTGATTTGCTAAATAGAAAGTCTAACATAATCCGTTAGTTTTAAGTTCTATTTCTCATTGCCTATGGAAAATTTTGAGTTTCTTAGGTTTCTAATTTTAGAATAGCTTTAGTCTGATGTTTTGGGAGTATTGACAGATGATGTCAATTTAAGCCCAGGGTATGTTCTCACTTATTAGAACCTTAAAGTACTGACATGTTAAAAACCAATTGTGCTTTTAAGGATTATGCAGAAAGGGATTCTTGGGGCCTCCCTGGTGGCTCAGGGGTTAAGTCTCAGCACTATTAAACTATATGGACAGCCACTGAGGCATGAGTGCCAACTCACATGGCACAGCAGACCCCTCCTTTCTCACCCATTGGTACCCTCAGCAGTGTATTTCAGTATACGTGCCTGTTTTCCCCACTCTGTCTCCGGTGAATCCTCTCACCACCCACTGCCCTGGCCTATGTTCCAGTTCTTGTATGCATAAAAAAATAAAAGTAAATCTTTTTAAAAAAAAAAAGGATTCTTGGGGCACAATTCTACTTTTTGATCTTTAGGAAAATTAAAACGAAATGTCAGTTTGGGGGGCTGATATACAGAAGGTGCATGTGCAAATGACATTTAAGGTAATTGAATTTTGGTGGCACTCCTTTTTACATAGGGAGAGGAGATGGTGTTCTTGGTGTGGCAGCATTACTTAAAATCTTATGTTGATTGTGATATGGTTTCCCCAAAGACAAAATTAGGCTGAATTGTTGCCATGTGGGTGTTTAATAGCTTCCCCCATGGGTAGTTTAAATAAGGTGAGTTGGGGTTGCTTGTGTTACAATGAACCCTTCCCCTAGAGAAAAATTAACCATAAAGATATTTCAGTCAAATTGTTATTCCTACTGGAGAAAAGTATCCCTGGGGAGGACACTTAGCTTTCAAAGCTTTGGTCACTTAAAAATTAGTTGTGTGAATACATGACTTTTAAGTTCTAATTTTACAGATCACTCACCCTACTAAAGATTAAATATTGGTGGGAAATAGGTTGACAATTAACCTGGCATTGATATTTTGGGAGGGAGAGACCTTTTCAGCATTGCTGCCACTGGTAAACCATGTTTAAAATGACCTGAGGGAATTCCCTTAAACATCACTGGGCCTTCTTGGTGGCACATGGAGTTAAGTCTCAGCCACTGCAGCACAGGTTCCATGCAGGCCCAGGGGGCCACCCACATGGCACAGCAGACCCCTTTTGTGTCGCCTGCTACTCCCCTCAGCAGTGTATTTTAGTACATCCACCTGTTCTCCCCACTGTCCCTGGTGAATCCTCTAACCCATGCACCTCTGGCATATACCCCAGCTCTTCTATGCAAAAGTGAAAATTAAAAAGATATCTGGGCCTCCCTGTTGGTGGAAGAGGTTAAGCATAGCACTGAAGCTATTAGCAGCCTCTGCAGCAGGAATTTGATACCTAGCTGACAAGGGAGTTACCCACATGGTGCAGTGGGCCCCTCCTGTCTCACCCACTGCTCCCTTCAGCAATGTATTTATGTCAGTCTGCCTGTTCAGTTCCCACTTCGGTGAATCATCTCACCCCCACACCTCTGGCCTGTGCCCCAGTTCTTTTTTTTTTTGAAAAGTTTCAAGATAACTATTAAAACAAAAAAGATACCTATTAGAAAGGGTTCAATCTTGATGGTGGCTACGTGTAAGTAAAATCAATCTAAATGCTGTATCATGCTGCCCTTTACAGCCTTGAAGTAAAACACCCAATTTCTTGATCGTGGCACTTCAGAACTTTCTAAGACAAGTTCAAAATCAATGGTGTTGGTTAAACATGCAAATTCTGGACCACAGCTCAGTCCTGAATCTCTAGAGGTGCCAAAAAATCCCTTCTAAGTTAACAGCTGAAAGACCATTGTAATATAGCAACGATTAGTAAGAACCACAAATTACATAACTTCATTAATTCATCAAATTCCAAGTGTACAGGTACTTGGCAGGTTCTAAGGATGTAGTGGTTAGCAAAAACAGGCTATTTGGAGAGATAATACAATACTTAAGGAAAAAGTACAGTGTGGTATGTTTAGAAAACCACCATACATATGTGTATATTACTTTAATACACATTCACAAGGATGTACTTGAAAAAGCTCTCTAGTTCAACTAGGAAAATCCCAATGCATTATTCAAAATTCTGCCCTCTGCTTTTAGATTAAACAAAAAGTCTGAACTTGTATACACTGATGGACATCATACACCCAAGCCAACCATTAGCATTACCAATTGGGATCTGACCTGCAGGAAAGGAAGGAATTACCTGGAAGAGTAAACCCAGGGCAGTTAGATGTTTGTATTTAAAATGAGTTAATTTGCTGAGTCAAGGTGGTTGGATATACAAATACACGTTGGAAAATGTAAGATACAAATGTGTGTGATTGGGGTCCCTTGTTTGCCAAATGAGTAGCAGCTAGGAGAAAAGGTTTGGGGTGTAAGATAGACTGGCTATCCTAAAACCTCATACCTTTTTTATCCTCCACCTCATTTTTGTCCAGAACCTATGGTTTTCTGTCCTCCCATTCAACAATTCCCCTATTTTCTCCTGCTTCCCTAAACTTAGACCTTTAACCCCTAGACCTGTAATTGGCCGGGGGAGGGGGAAGATACCAACAAAACCAAAACTCAATACCTTTTATAATCCTTTCAGAAATACTTTCCTCATGGTCATCTATCACCCTCTTACCCCCTTTTTACCCTGAAATCTTTTACCATAAGGGCAGGCTTCATGGAATGGAGGAGCCAGTTTGCCTAGAACAAAAAAAAAAAAAAAAAAGTATTTAAGAGAAGGGGATAGCATACGACAGCTACTTATATTAGACCGAAAGGGAATGGATGGTGTAGGGGAAGGGCTCATTTTGATAGGAGAAATTTGGCATGTAGAGAGCAGAAGATGCCACATAGGTCTCTGAGACCTCCCTAGGATTCAACCTGGGATTAGGGAAGTGAAGGTTGATTAGTGAGAGCTGTAATTTTGGATAGGTTAAATAGGAAGTCAATAGCAGAGAGCAAGGTTGAAGCCCCACTTCTATTTGGAACCCTGCAAAGTGTTCCTATAACCACATTGAGACATATTTCAGGAAAAACCCTGAGATTTTTACATATACATACTCCACGGAACATGCCTTGATTCCCATTTAACCTGAGACACGCGTTGAGTGCTAACAAGCTTACCATGGAGGTCACCATGGTGCAGAGGATGGTTACTGCATAGGAGAAACTATACAGCACAGCCAGCAGCTGAATGTAGACACAGCACAATCTCAAGATTATCAACTCCAGTGAAAGCAGAAGTAAATCTAAGTAAGCCAAGGAAAGAGACTGGTTTCAATGGTAAGAAACCAGACCACTAGTTAAACTAGCTTTGGTCATTCAGTGGTAACTCTAGGGAGACTGTAGTCCAAAATTCAGACATAGAGCAGACTACATCTCAGCCGGAAGTCAGAGGGAGCCTCCTAACAAAGGCTCTTTCCTCCATTATCAAAACACCTTAATGCTTTTGCTCCCAGAAGACATCTTGAAAAAACAGATGTCACTTAAAAGACATTTCTCCAAAGAGGAAATGCAAATGGCCAACAGGCATATGAAAAAATGTTCAACATCCCTTATCAGGGAAATGCAAATTAAAACCACACTGAGATACCACCTTACACCAGTAAGAATGGCACATACCAAAAAAAAAAAAAAAAAAAAAAAACAAATGTTGGCAAGGATGAGGATGTGGTGAAAAAGGAACTCTCCTACATTGCTGGTGGGAGTGCAAACTGGTCCAACCACCACAGAAAGCTGTCTGGAGGTTCCTCAGTCTACTAAAATTGGAGCTACCATACAACCCAGCAATTCCAATACTAGGGATCTACCCAAAGTACACAAAAAATTGATTCAAAAGAACACCTGTACACCTATGTTTATTGCAGCACTATTTACAATAGGTAAAACCTGGAAACAACCCAAATGCCCAAAAATAGATGACTGGATCAAGAAGATGTGGCATATATACACAATGGAATATTACTCAGCAATCAAAAAAGATAAACTCATGCCATTCGCAGCAATGTGGATGGAACTAGAAGGAATTATGCTCAGTGAAGTAAGCCAGAAGGAAAAAGAAAAATATCAGATGGTTTCAGCGGTTGAGCACTGGGTTGCGAAGCTGCCCGCAGCCTCTGCAGTGCCAGTTTGATCTCCAGCTGCACCCCGGCCAGGCCACCGGAGGAGGGTCCCATATGGCGCATAGACCTCTCCTGCCACCCGCTGCTCCCCTCAGCAGTGTACTTCGGTCCTTCTGCCTGCTCTGCTCCCTGCTCTGGTGAATTCTCTCACCCTCCCGCGCTTCTGACTCTACCCAGTGCTTGTATAAATAAATAAATAAATAAATAAATAAATAAATAAATAATTCTTTAAAAAAAAAAAAAAGACATCAGTGTAAAAAAATAACAGTATAAAACACAACAAAGCAAAAATGGACAATTATAAACCAGAGACATCCTGCAGGGGAGGAGGAGGGAGAGGGATCAGAGGGAGGGAGGGAGTAGCACAGGGGACTGAGGTGATGGTGCACAGGCTCATTGGGGAAGGAAACAATGGGGACTACACCTGAGGGGGTGGGGGGAAGCAAATATTGTTTAAAAAGGAACAATGATGTAAAAAATGAAAAATAAATATTTATTTATGCATACAAGAGCAGGGGTACAGGCCAGAGGTGAGGGGGTTGAGAGAATTCACCAGAGACAAAGTGGGGAGCAGAACAGGCAAATTGACAGAAGTACACTGCTGAGGGGAGTAGATGGCGAGTCAGGAGAGGTCTGCTGTGCCATGTGGGTCAGCTTCCTGGCCCAGGCTGGGGATTAAACTCATGCTGCAGAGGCTACCACAGCTTCACAGGCTGCATCTAAACCCTTGCACCACCAGGGAGGCCCTCAAAGATCTTTTTTGAGAAAACAGTCTTAATAAAGGGTCTGACCTTTAAGTTAACTTAATAATTATTTCCCTTAAGTGGACTGTTTAAAACTTGGAAGAGACCAACTTACTTTTACTTGGCAAGTAAAAATTAAAATTATAACCTTTGTTTTTTCTACCATGAATGGGAATGGGAACTCGTGAGAAAGTTCAAGGGTGTGCAGGAATTTGGGAACCCTGAAAGTCCCCATAAAAGCAGAATAGTGAGGGCCTCCCTGGTGGCGCAAAGTGTCAAGTCTCAGCATTATGAAGCTATCTGCAGCCGCTGCAGCATGAGTTTCATTCCCCCACAGGGAGCTACCCACCTGATGCAGCAGACCTCTCCTATCTGCCCACTGCTCCCCTCAGCAGTGTATTTCAGTGGATCTGCCTGTTCTGCTCCCCACTCTGTCTTTGATGAATTCTCTCACCCCACCCCCCACCCTGTACCTCTGGTCTACACCCCAGCTCTTCTATGCAAAAATAAATTTTAAAAAAAAGCAGAAGAGGTGAAGTTAACATGATTAAACTGTAAATCCTAGGTGTAGGTGGCTCTAGTTGGGTTGCAGCCTTCATAAGGTAGAACAGGTAGCTCTTTTATCTAGGTCATCGATTCATGCTTGTATCTCAAACTGGCACCAATTCTGTGTACAGATCAGACTGAAGAACTACTTGTGCAATCAAGTTTATACTAATCTCCAGTTGAGACCAAATCATTTCTTTTTTTTTTTTCCTTTTTTTTTTTCTTTTTCTTTTTTTTTTTTTTTTTGATAGAGGCATGCTTTATTTATTTGTTTGCTGGTTTGTTTGTTTGTTTTGTTTATACATGCACTGGGTACAGTCAGAAGCGCAGGAGGGTGAGAGAATTCACCAGAGCCAGAGCGGGGAGCAGAGCAGACAGAAGGACCGAAGTACACTGCTGAGGGGAGCAGCGGGCGGCAGGAGAGGTCTGCGCGCCATGTGGGACCCTCCTCCAGTGGCCGGGGAGCAGCCGGGGATCGAACCGGCGCCGCAGAGGCCGCGGGCAGCTTCGCAACCCAGCGCTCAACCGCTGCGCCACCGGGGAGGCCCGACCAAATCATTTCTTTATAAACTCCCTGCCCTATCCAGCTTCCCTCACTCTTCACCTGAGGGCGCTCCCCCAGTCAATCAATAGTACATAGAATCTGTGCTCAGTCTCTGCTTCTATGAATCTGACCTACAATAGTTAAGCTGGAACTACAGCAGAAATTTGTTACCCACACATCCTTCACTTAGATTTTGATGCAATAAGCAATGAGACTTTGAGTTACCTCCTGAAAAAGTGGTGCAGTTTTAAGAGGAATTACTGCAGTACACTGGCAGGAAATTTTGGGTTTTTTCCCTCGATTTTATTGAGATATAAAAGACATGCAGCATTGTGTAAGTCTAAGATACATACAGAGTGTTTCTGAAAGTGTTTGTATGGGAAGAGAACTGTTTGGATGCTGAAAAGTCATGTGATGAATTATAACCTTTTGTTAACATAGCACTCATTTCCACTTTCTAATAATACCCAGTTTTCCTTTTGGAGTTTTTCTTGCCTAGTTGTTTGTACACTTGATGAGATAGAAATCCTAGTCCCCAGAGATTATTCACCACCCAAGAGGGTGGGTATTTGACCCAGACTTGGCCAATCAGACTCTTTGTCTGGGAATTTGACTCTTAAGTAAAATGATGCAAGCAAATTGCAATGACTATAGTTAACTTTTTCAGCAGCACCCCTAGAAGAGAACTTTGGGCAGATTCTATTCTCAATACTCTCTAGAACAGTTTCTGTTTACAGGTCTAGAATCCCAGTGTTTCCTTCTACCATATGAGCTTCTTAATAACTTTTAAAAAATATTTAAATTAGCTAGTCACTAGTAAATGCAACCCCTCCATGGGAGAGACTTATGCAGGCAGCATTGTTAATTTCAGGGAAAGCAGTAACGAAATGTAGGTGACAGCTGCTTTCTCCACGTTGAGTGCCAGTTAAAGTTACTTGGGCTTTCACAATTATGCCATCTGGGGCATAAATTATTTATTTTCTAGGGACGTGCCAGGCTCTATCTCAAGGCTACTACTGAACATGGAAGGCAATCAGTACACGTCCAGTTTCTAGCTTTTTGTCTTCTTTTCCCAATTTCAGCTTTTTATCTCCTCTTTCCAAATGCTATACCTCACAGGCAAGGGATCTGATTTCCTGAGCAGCCACTAAAATGATTGAATGATGCAACCTAAATAGCGGAGAGTCAACATCCAGTGGGGAAAAACTCTTACCAAAGGGAATAAATGGGAGAGACGGACCACCCCCACCACGGGACCTCTCTGACTCCCAGGCCTCCTGAGGCAGGCAGCCAAGGCTGTCATGCTCAGTGTTGTTAAAGATACAAAAAAAGAAGTATAAGACTACAAAAGAACTGCATTGGTGTTTTTGAAATGAGCCACAAGTCATCAGCTTTCACTAAGATTAATAGCACAGGGTCTCCCTGGTTGCATAGGGGTTAAGTCTTGGCGCTATTATCACTACAGCCTGAGTTCTATGCAAGGCCAGGGAGCTAACCCGCATATGGAGCAGCAGACCTCTCCTGTCTTGCCCACTGCTCCCCTTAGCAGTGTATTTCAGTAGATCTGCCAGTTCTGCTCTCCACTGCTCTGCTCTCCACTGCTCTGCCAGTTCTGCTCTCCACTGCTCCAGTGCTCTCCACTGTTTCTGATGAATCCTCTCACCCCTTCCGCACCTCTGGCCTACACTCCAGCCTTACACACACACACACACACACACACACACACACACACACACACACACACAATTAATAACACAGACAATCTTGTGTGGGAATTGTTAGCTGTTCCAGATGACTACAAGGGGATTTCTGAGCAAAGAGTTGGATCATTAAGCATTTCAGTGCTGCCCCTTAAGCCAGATTGACCTGAAAGTCGGCAGGTGTGCCAACTGTGTGGTCACAGGAGTTTCAGCTAAAGCTGCAGAAGACACCAAAAAGTTTGGGATTGTGGAAGTTATCAATGAAAATTCCAGATCCTGGGTCTTCCCTGGTGGTGCAAGGGGTTAAGACGCAACCTACGAAGCTATCCAAAGCCACTGCAGCATGTGTTCAATCCCCAGCCAAGGAGCTACCCACATGGAGCAGCAGACCTCTCCTGTCTCACCCGCTGCTCCCCTCAGCAGTGTATTTCAGTCAGTCTGCCTGTTCTGTTCCCCACTCTGTCTCTGGTGAATCCTCTCACCCCCACATCTGTGGCCTGTACCCCAGTTCTTATATGCATAAATATATAAATCTTTAAAAAAAAGGAAAAAGAAGAAAAAATTCCAGATCCGGACCTCCCAGGTGGCACAGGGGGATAAGACACAACCTATGAGGCTGTCTGCAGCCTCTGCAGAACAAATTCGATCCCCACCCCGGAAGCGACCCACATAGTACATCAGACCTTTCGTAACTCACCCACTGCTCCCCTTAGCAGTGCATTTCAGTCAGTTTGCCTGTTCTGTTCCCCACTCTGTCTCTGATGAATCCTCTTGCCCCGGCACCTCTGGCCTATACCCCAGTTCTTGTATGCATAAATAAATCTTTAAAAAAAAGAAAAAAGAAAATTCCAGATCCAGGTCCCTAGAAGCTCAGCCCACACACCTCTTATGAGTAGTACAGCACAAAAGAGACTGCTTTGAATGGAGTTAGATTTTATGCCTGACACAAGGGAGTGGTGCTGGTTTGTGAGCAGTCAGTCGGTGTTTCCAAGTGTGGTGTGAGTTTTGCTGGCATCCAGAACATTGGCTCTAAAGGTTTCACAGTGGTGATCATCTAGGATGACCTGCTGGGGTTCATGCTCAGAAAGTGCTCCCAGGTGGTGCAGGTCAGGAACAATTTGTTGAACACAACTTAAAGCTTCAGCATTTATGCCATGGGTTTGATCCTGGAATGAATTAAGAACAGTGGTGAAGGACCTCCCCGGTGGCGCAGCGGGTTGAACACAGCGCTATGAAGCTGTCCGCAGCCTCTGCAGCACGGGTTGGATTCCTGGCCAGCCAGGGAGATTCCCACATGGTGCAGCAGACCTCTCCTGCCTCGCCCGCTGCTCCCCTCAGCAGTGTCTTTGGTCATCTGCCTGTTCTGCTCCCCACTCTGTCTCTGGTGAATGCTCTCAACCTCCCGTGCCTCTGGCCTGTACCCCAGCTATTGTATAAATAAAAAAAAATCGTTTTTAAAAAAAAAGAAGAGTGGTGAAGCAGCCATGAAGAGGCTTAGTTTCATCAAACCTCAGATGACATTGATAACTCACAAGAATTCTATGCAATGTCCAGTGAATCCCAGAACAGAAGCAGGACAAATATTCCATTCTATACTGTCAACACCAAAGGAGATAGTGCTTTAAAAAAAAGATTTCTTGATAAAGCTCTTGAACTCACTATCATCTTGAAAAGGCATGGGTCTGTGGGAGGCATAAGGTCTTCTCTGTAATGCTAGCACCATAGAGAAGTGCTGGCAAATATCATGAAAAATTCCTTGAAGATGCATCAGCTATGAGCACATTCTAAGCAGAAAGACCTCAAAATTCTATCCAAGAGTGTGAAATATCAATTCAAAAAACTATATGCTTTACAATGTTTATTGCAATAAAGCCTGCAATACTTGACACCAAAGCAACCTAAATACTCATTGATAGATGATTGGGTCAACAGGATATGCTATGTCAATGTTATGGAATACTATTCCATAAGGAAAGACAAAATGTTCACAGCATAAAATGGAAGGAATTTGAGCGAATTATATGTAGTAAAGCAAATTAGAATGACAATGACAAATATTGAACATTTACAAAGTAGATGATTTGACAAAGTAAAACACTTTTTTTTTAAAAGATGTATTTACATGTGTGTATAAGAACTGGGGTGTAGGCCAGAAGTGTGGGGAGGGTAAGAGGATTCACTAGAGACAGAGTGGGGAGTAGAACAGGTGGATCTACTGAAATACACTACTGAGGGGAGCAGTGGGCCAGACAGGAGACGTCTGCTGCACCATATGAGTTGGATCACTGGCTGGGGATAGGGTATTGAACCCTGCAGTGGCTGTGGATTGCTTCATAGTGCTCATATGCAACCCCTTGTGCCACTAGGGAGGACTAAAGTAAAACACTTTAAAAAAAATAGTGGACATTAAAAAATGAAGTAAAGTTTCTGAGATTAAGAGGAAGGGCAGGGGAGGAGGAGGGAGTAGGATCAGAGGGAATGAGGAAGGATCACAGGGGGCTGAGGTGATGGTGCATGGGTGCACTGCGGAAGAAGAAAATTCTATGGAGACTACACCTGAGGGGTGGGGCAGCAACTATTGTTTAGAAATGAACAATGATGGGGCCTCCCCTGGTGGCACAGGCGCTTGAGCGCAGCACTGTGAGGCTGTCTGCAGCCTCTGCAGAGCCGGTTCGATCCCCGCAGGCCAGGGTCCCACATGGTGTGGCAGACCTCTCCTGTCTCATCCACTGCTCCCCTCAGCAGTGTATTTTGTTAGTCTGCCTATTCTGTTCCCCATTCTGTCCCTAGTGAATCCTCTCACCCTCCCGTGTATCTGGCCTATACCCCATTTCATGTATAAATAAATAAATATTTTTTAAAAAAAAAACAATGACGTAAAAACTTAAAAAAAGTTTAAAAAAAGAGAAAGGTCAGAGGGAGAAAGGATCAAAGGGGATACAAAGGATGTAAATAAGTCAAATAAATAAATGCAAGTTATGGTTAAAAAACTATAACTAGTTTTGAACTACAGTGATAATGTTAATTTTATATAATGGAAACAATGTATTTATTTAATTGTAACTATTTTAAATTAGAAATTGCGATATTTAAGGTCAGTTTTCTCCAGAAAGAGTCCATTTTGTCCTTAAGTCGTAGCCCGTAGAAGGAACATTTTACAGGCAGTAGGAAGCTAGCCACAATCTCTTTCCTCATCACCACCAAGTGGCACAAAAGTAGAGTAGTTGCATTCAAGATATGCCTTCACCAGTAATCCACCACCATGGCCCAGGAAGGCATTGCTGCTGAAAGTATGATGGGTGTCAATATTACTTTAAAAAGGTGTGAAGACTTCCCTTATTACTAGCACAAGGAATTTGAAAAGCTGCCAAAGCCCCAGATACCTACCAAGTCCATTTGTGTGTTTGCATCTTGCTGTGATGAACCTATGTATGTCAAGTTGGTAGGGGCCCTTTGTGCTAAACATCAATCTAACTAGGTTGATGACAAGAAACTATGGGAATGGGGAGGCCTCCGTAAAATTGACAGAGATAGGAAATCCTGTAAACGGTTGGTTGCAGTTGTGTGGTAGTTAAGGACTATGGTAGAGTCTCAGGCCAAGGATGTCATCGAGTGATACTTCAAATGAATAAATACAAAATTTGATTCTTAAAAAAAAAAGCCTCTAATGGTGTTAAGAAAATTAGGAAAATAAAGCATTAAAAGCCAAAAAATGAATTTCAAGGAGCTGATCAAACATAAAATGCTAAACATGGGGCCTCCCTGGTGGCGCAAGGGGTTATTATTAAGTCTCAGCACTATCAAGATAAAGGCAGCCACTGCAGCAGGAGTTAGAGCACCCTCCCCCCCTACTCCCTGACAGGGAGCTAACTCACCTGGTGCAGCAGACCTCTCCTCTGGCCCACTGCTCCCCTCAGCAGTTATTTTAGTAGATCTGCCTCTTCTGCTCCCCACTGTCTCTGGCGAATCCTCTCACCTCGTGCACCTCTGGCCTGCACCCCAGTTCCTGTATGCATACATAAATAAAAATAAATCTTAAAAAAAAAAAAAGACTTAGAAGTGCTAGGGAGGACAGGAGAAACCCAGAGTCAACCGATTTACATTTGTTCAACAACTGTATTAGGATCTTGCCTACGAACCTTTTCTGGAAAAGCAAATCATAGCGCTGAGTCCTTAAAGTGGAAAACTTACCAAAAAAGGAATTGGAGAATAAAGATGGTCCCTTCTGTAGGGGTCCAGCTGCCACTTATCCAAATCCTCCAAAAATTCCGAGATTCTTTATTGTCAATGACTAGTGGTGATTACTGATGTTATTTTCAATAGTTGAGTTTCAAAAGGTGTGACTATGTCATATTATTCATGGAGGTTTCCGAAGGAGGAAAAAAATGTTTCTATAAAATTTCATCACCAGGCAAATTTGGACACTAAACTGACTCCTGTCCTTCTCTCCTAATCCTATTTAAAATATCTTAAAATTTGGGGCTAAGGAGTGATACTGATTTCCTTCATTTATTAATGTCTCTACATCAGGGTCATTGACTTAGTACTTGACAAGTAGACCACATGGCACTGGTGAGCTTGGCTCCGAAAGTGTCCTAGACTTGGGGATCAGACAAAAATCTTCTAATCTCGGTCCATACCACAGCCGCGTGCAGGGGTTAATCACTGAACCACTCTGCTTCGTTTGCAACATGGGGATTGCAGTCGTCGCTTTGGTCACGACCAAAACTAAATGAGATCCAGTAAACACAATTCCGGGTGCACAATGTTAATTTAAACGTGTTTCATCATCCATTTCTCCAAATGTTCTAATACTTTAGTTCACTCGGACTCCACACGGACCAGAAATTTTAAAGAAAAAAGGGGGGCTGCTGGGGGTGAGGTGGGGGTGGGAAGACCGCCGCCCCGGGTGGCAGTCTGGGGTGGTACAGCCCTCTGCCCCGCTGAGCCCCAAGGCTGGCCGCGGCGCACGGACCCGGGTGTGGGGTGTCTCCGAAGGCGTTCGGGGCGGACTTCGCCCTCCAGGGAGGGGAGGGGGGGCTGAAGCCCAGAGAGCCCGCGTTCGGAGTCCTCGAGACCCACCACGGCGGAACCGCAGCGCCCCCTGCCCGCAGAAACTAGGGGCGCAGGGCTAAAATGGCGGAGCCGCGGGTCTCAGAGCGGGCGACCCCCGACCCCCGCAGACGATTTCCCGACCCTCGGAACCGGCCGGAAGCGGGTCCCGTCTCGTCCGGCGGGGGTGGGCGGGGCCGCTCTCCCGGAAGTGCCCGCGGGGTTGGCTGCGCGCGCGGCTTCGCCGAGTCCACGGCGGGAGGGCGCGGGCGGGAGGTCAGGCCTAGCGGCGCTCTCGGTGTTCTAGGCGGGCAGGACCCTGTGAGGGCCGCTCTCCCACGGAAGGCAGGAGGGGGTGTCGGAGGGGACCCCCTGACGTGCACAGCTCGAAGAAGGAAGAGAGTTTTGACTAGCCCGCGGGCGAAGGCTGCTTCTCCCTGGCTCTGAGAGAAGGGCGGGATGGACGGGCTCCTAACTCCCCGGGAGTCCGCAAAATTCATTGCGGAGAACAGTCGGCAGGTGTTCATTGATGGCGGAGGCGTGCGGCGGGTGGCCGAGCTGCTGCTCCCACAGGTGTCGCGCCCGGAGCTGCGCGTGGAGGGCTGGAAGGCCCTGCACGAACTGAACCCCAGGGTGGCCGACGAGGCCGCGATCAACTGGGTATTCGTGGTGGACACGCTCAATTTCTCCTTCTGGTCGGAGCAGGCCGACCACAAATGTTTAGTGGGGTACGGGGGGAAAACGTACAGTGGCTACTGGTCTCTCTGCGCCGCGGTCAACCGAGCCCTGGACGAAGGTTTGTGGCCCTTCAACCGGTTAGAGTCGGCGGGCGGCCTTGCAGGTTTCAGTTTACTGGGAGGTCCCAGGGAGTGTGAGGGAGATGGAATAAAGCACTTATATGGGAACTTGAAGTTCTCCCTTGCCGGTCCCTCTGCTTAGAATGAGGGTGAGAAGCTGACATGTAATCCTATTCAGTGAGAGGTGATCCTAATATATCATTCCTGCAGCTTAAAAGTCAGTCAGTCTTCTAAAGAGCTCCACTTGGAGGACGCCTGAGGTGCAAAGGGACAGATTTCAAGGGCAAAATACGTCAGATTAGCATTGCAATCGTTAGAAAAGAGTGAATAAATACAAGCAAATAGAAAACGGATTCTGCTGATTTTTTTTTTAACGATCCATTTTTAGTGCATCCTTTTAATACGCGTTAGATTTCATATCAATTGCATGGTGTAAAAGCAAGGATCTAATGACTAAGAGAGTTTGACTTTGTTCCTCTGGATTTTGTTTTCTCCCTAAGGCATACCAATAACTAGTGCTTCATACTATGCCACGGTGACTCTGGATCAGGTTCGTCATATACTCCGTTCTGACACAGACGTTGCCATGCCTTTGATAGAGGAGAGGCATCGGATTCTCAATGAAACTGGGAAAATTCTGCTTGAGAAGTTTGAAGGCTCTTTTCTTAATTGTGTCCGGAAAAGTGAAAAAAGTGCACAGAAGCTATTGCACCTGGTAGTTGAAAACTTTCCTTCATACAGAGATGTGACTCATTTTGAGGTGAGTTGCTGCTCTTGGGGATTGTAGAATTTTTAATCCTCTTTTTTTCTTTTTTATTTCCAGAACTGTGTTTGAGAATAAAAACTTTAGAAGTTCGTTCCCTATGGACAGGGGACAGTAAAAAAAAAATTTATGTTTCAAAGACATTACTTTAGTAAGTCTTCCTATTAAAGTGTCCTTTTTTGTAGTTTTGTCCTTTTTCTCTGTCCTTTTACAGTTTCAAACCTAAAAAAAGACCTACAAAAAATTCATTGCATGAAAGTCAGCTCAATTCTCTACTAAAACGTATTTTCTGCAGAGTTCTAATCATGTGTACTATGTTTCTTTTTCATACACAATGTAGGTTAGCAGTGATTTTTGCTTTATGCTACAAAAATGTTAATAGATATCTTTTTAAAATGGTGAACATTTTGTATACCTTCCCAGTATGTACCTGGATTTTACTTTAAAAACATTTTTTAGAATCCTTTGTCACTATATATTTTAACTGTGATAAAATTGGAAGCAACTTCAGAGAAATCACATAATAAAAATATATTGAATAAGTTAATACATTAATTGAAATTTTATACCAGTCCTTTTGTAATCACACACAGTTCAACAACTAAAACTAACAATGTTTAAGTTAATTTTTGTGTTTACAAGGTGATTGTGCATACAGTATTGTTTGATCCACAAAACAGCTCTGTGGCCTGAGTACTGGAACACTATTGTCCTGTTTGCAGACTAGGAACCAAAGTCTGAAAGAAAGATTTAACATTTTACTGTAGGTCATTTTGTCAAGAAATAGCCAACATTTAGATTTTAATATGAAAGGAGAGATGTCTGATTATGTAGATTACGATTATTTTAATTGCAAGTGACACAGTGCCACACAACTAGAAAAAATCATAAGCAGAAAGAATTTTTGGATGGGTATCAGGAATACTTGGATCAGTAACACAGTGCCATCAGGATTCAGTCTTTCTTCTTTGCTTTTTTTGGCTCCATTTTTCTCTTACTGCAGACTTACTTTCTCCACCAGTTTTGTATCTTTTGCTTGAGACTCTTTCAGTTCCCTTTCTAAAACTCCTGGGCAAGAACATGACTGAGCATGGATTATGACCAAGTGTGCTTATGGAGTAGGGATGGGGCAGAGACAGTTCTTAGAAAAGAGGCCCTTGACTGTTGTTGAATTTTTAAATGTGTGCCAGAATATAAATTAACTTTAAGGCTGCTATATCCTTGGACGGAAATTAGTATCTGAAACATTTCCCATGATTGCACATTTTTCTCAAATTCATTTTTAGAGAAAAATCCCAAAGTGTTACAAAAATCATACTTAAGGGAGGCTGAAATGGATAACGGGGCATTTATGTGGTGGTGCATGGAAACTAAACTTTTAATGGTGATAATGATATAGTGTATACAGATGCGAAATAATAATGCTATACACTGTACACTGAAAAAAAAACTTAACATATTCTTAAAGGAGTGTTATACTTTTTTCCTTTACTTTTCTTATGAGGTTATCATTAGTGTTACCCAAATGCACTTTATGTCTGTAACCCCTATATCATCTAACATAATACTGGGTAACATGTTATTGACATAATATTAGCATACATAATGGGTGCTCAGTGCTTTGATTATTCAATTATTGTATTTCCATTTAAAAGACACATAAATAATGGAAGTAGCACTTGGTACAGTTAATTCCAAATCTGGAGGAATTCTAATGAAACTTTGGAGCAGCTTTTGAAATCTAGAACATATTAAAATGAAATATATCTTCTAATTCATATTGTAAATCTTTCTAACTGCAAAACTAGAATATATTAATTATAGAATTTGGGAAGTATAGGAAAACAGTTTCTATTCTACCAGGAGGTAACTGCTGTTGACAGCTTGATCTTTTTCTCTGTGTGGATGTATTTTGTGTGTGTGTGTGTGTGTGTATGTACATATGGAGAATTAGGACCATGCTATAAAACACTTTTAGAATTTAACAAATTATGAATACTTTGCAATAAATATTCTTTCACAGAACAGTTGGTTTTTTTCATAGTGCTGTATTTTGACAGTGTTCCACTGTATGGATGTGCAATCCTTTAATTATTTATCCAAGCTATTTTACCACAATAATTGTGTTTGGTACACAGTTTTGTTTTTTAAATTGAATTTTTTTGCCTTGTTTTATGTGATTATAAATAATACTGCTTAATAATTTAACATCCACAACTATTTTTTTTTTAATGGATTCCTGTTAGTGGAGTTGCTGAGTCACAGCATGGCCAGAATTTTCAGTCTTCTAATGCATAAAAATGGACTGTTCTCCAGAAAGATGGCAACAAAGATGATTAACAGCAGCAAATGAGAGTGCCTTTTTTCTAACCCTTCATAACATGGTTATGATACAGGTTACTATATTTTTTTATTTTTTGATAAGTTGCATAAAATAGTGAAAAAAATTATTTAAGATTTATTTTCTTATACAAGAACCGGGGTATAGGCCAGAGGCGCAGGAGGGTGAGCAAGATTCACCAGAGACAGAGTGGGGAGCAGAACCAACAGATCTATTGAAATACACTACTGAGGGGAGCAGTGGGCAAGACAGGAGAGGTCTGCCACGCCATGTGGGTATCTCCCTGGCTGGCCGGGAATTGAATCTGCACTGCAGAGGCTGTGGACGGCTCCACAGTGCTGCGCTCAACTCACTCTGCCACTGGGGAGGCCCAAAAATTATTTTTAATATGTACTTATTCACTGAGATTGTCATTCAGTTTTAGACATTTATAAACAAATGAATAAAGTGAGAAAATATTATTTTAGACTGATTTATATTAGTGATCTACCAATCTGACTGTGGCCTAAAATGAGTGATGAAGCTTTAAAATACAAATATAATTCCAAAATGCTAACCTCAAAGCTTTTGATCAATAGATAAAAGAAGGAGGGCTATTTTTTTTTTTAAACTCTGCAACTGACTCTGATTTAGAGTATGAGTCTAAATCAGCTAAACTTTTATGAGTCCTAATAAATCAGCTTCTGAAGGCTATTGTATCTGATATATTGATAAATGTACATCATAAACATACATATCAATATCTGACATACTGATGAATATACATGGAAAACATGAGCTTTTTTGGTACTTTTATCAATAACATTTTATGTTACTCTTAAGCATTTATAATTCTGATTTGTTCATGGTAAATTTGTTGAAGAAAATCAGCTTAAGGGTAGAGGTTTTCTTTGATAATTATTTTATAAAGGTAGTATTTTGAAATTTTTTTTTCCACAAAGCAATATTATGAAACATAGAAGTTGTTATTTTGGGATTTACTTGTATTTTCAGTGATACCAGTTAGTATTTTAAAGACATAAAATTTGATTACTAAAATCATTTGCATGTAAAACTACATAAGCATATGAAGAAAATGTTTTATATGTTTTGAATTTACTTTGATTCCTCACTTGAATCTTATTATAAATATTTTTCATTTTAAGGGTATTATAATTTTGTACTAATTGGCTACCATGGAAACAATGGTCATGATGTGACAATTTATGTTTTGTTAGATACTAGATTTTGTTATATACTTCAGGTTTTTCCAGTTTCCTCTGTGAATCTTTTTTTTTTTTTTAAAGATTTATTTATTTATACAAGAGCTGGGGTCCAGGCCAGAGGCACAGGAAGGTGAGAGGATTCACCAGAGACAGAGTGGGGAGTAGAATAGGCAGACGGACCGAAATACACTGCTGAGGGGAGCAGCGGGCAAGAAAAGAGAGGTCTGCTGTGCCATGTGGGTATCTCCCAGGCCAGCTGGGACTTGAACCTGTGTTGCACAGTCTGTGGACAGCTTCATAGCGCTGCGCTCAACCCACTGCGCCACCAGGGAGGCCCTGCTCTGTGAATTTTATTAAAAGTACCAGATAGGGGGCCTCCCTGATAGTGAAGGGGTTAAGTCTCAGCACTATGAAGCTATCAGCAGCCACTGGAGTTTTATCCCCAGCCAGGGAGCTAACCCACATGGTGTGGCAGACCTCTCCTATCTCAACCGCTGCTCCTCTCAGCAGTGTATTTCAGTAGATCTGCCTGTTCTGCTCCCCACTCTGTCTCTGGTGAATCCTCTAACCCCTCGCACCTCTGGTCTAAAACCCAGGTCTTTTTTTTTTTTTTTTAAGATTGATTTATTTATGTATACAAGAACTGGGATACAGGGCAGAGACGGGGGGTGAGAGGATTCACCAGAGACAGAGTGGGGAACAGAACAGGCGGATCTACTGAAATACTGCTGAGGGGAGCAATGGGCGAGCCAGGAGAGGTCTACTGCGCCATGTGAGTTTCTCCCTGGCTGGCTGGGGATCGAACTCGTACTGCAGTGGCTGCAGTCAGCTTCATAGGTTACGTCTTAACCCCTTGCGCCACCCGGGAGGCCCAATGTTTGGTTAAATTTCTTTCGTTCATATGTAATGTAATTGATTAGCTTGTTACATGGACTTCATAATTGAATTTGACTATTTCTACAAATAGTAGACTTGATAAACTCTGTTAGTCAGTTATGTTTTTATCCTTGAAATAAATTAATCATTTTACCTGAAAGGAAAGTTAAAAAATGAATGCTGTGATTCTCTTTAGAGATGAGTCTATTGTTTTTTCCTCTTCTCCTGCAGAGATTAGTTTAATGGTGATTATTTTCTTCTTTATACTCTTCTGTATTTTATACAATTAATGTGAATTATGTTACAATCAGGAAAACACACACATATTTTAATTTAATAAACTCTCTAAAGGAAAAATATCTGGCCACCACAAGTAATAAGCAATGGGTTACAGTGATACAGAAGTATGTGTATGAAATAATGCCATTGGGAAAAAACTCAAAATACCATGATTCTGTAAATTGTATTTTATTTATTTGTGTATTAAAAAAATGTATATACACTTCTTTTTTGTACAATGTATGCTTTCTCCTCTCAGGTGTAGTCCCCATATAATTCCCACCACCAGTTCACCCATGCACCATCACCATAGTCCCTTGTGCTCTTCCCTCCTGCTCTGATCCGTCTCCCTACCCATCCTCTGCAGTGTCTCTGATTTATAGTTGCTTGTTAAGTTTGTTTTTTAATTTATTATATATAAATTGTATTTTATATGCCTTAAAAATACAGGAAGTGGGCCTCCCCGGTGGCGCAGCGGTTGAGCGCTGGGTTGCGAAGCTGCCCGCAGCCTCTGCGGCGCCGGTTCGATCCCCGGCTGCTCCCCGGCCACCGGAGGAGAATCCCACATGGTGCGCAGACCTCTCCTGCTGCCCGCTGCTCCCCTCAGCAGTGTACTTCGGTCCTTCTGCCTGCTCTGCTCCCCACTCTGGCTCTGGTGAATTCTCTCACCCTCCCGCGCTTCTGACTGTACCCAGTGCATGTATAAACAAAACAAACAAACAAATAAAATAAAAAACAAAAAAACAAAAAAAATGCCTCTATAAAAAAAAAATACAGGAAGTAAGTCTGGAGTGATAAAGATAACTGAATAGCCATTAGAACTTCCTTTTTTCCTGTAAAAGGTTTTAAATTCTTACCAATTGAGTAATGTAATGTGCTTTTTTTTTATAGCATGCACAAAACTCAAATCACACAGGTAACATTTATATTCTCTTCATTCATCAGGGGAAAAGAGTTTCCTTTTACAAACGGGCCCAAATCCTTGTGGCGGATACATGGAGTGTATTAGAGGGAAAAGGAGATGGCTGCTTTAAGGACATCTCCAGTATCACCATGTTTGCTGACTATAGAGTACCTCAGATTCTTGCTCACCTGGGAGCTCTGAAATACTCTGAGGAACTGCTGGAGAAACTTCACAAAGGTTTGCCATTCAAATTGTCATTCTTTGTTGTACTATCAATTATTAAGTCCCTGTCTAGTTTCTTTCACCAAAGGTCTCCTTTGTTTAGAAAGCACTATTTGTTGGTAAAAGCATATGGAAAGAAAAATGCAAGAGCAATTCAGCTATAGAGAAAATTGCCTTTTATTTTTATTTTTTTTGCTGTAGTATATGGATATGGTGGGAAATTACACATATGGACATTATAATTTCAGAACCTCATAATAAATAAAATGAAACCTAAATCTATGTTAAATGAAGGTGTGCAACACTGAGAGAGTCCATCAGGTATAGCATTTGAATTGTGTTAAACAGAAGAATACACTGCACTGTGGCCTAAAAGGGGAGCTGAGAGGTAATATGTGCTGGATTTTAAATTACAAGTTTCTAAGACATGCCCCTGGGTTGTCTTACACAAGTCACTTTTCATTATTACATTCAGATTATTGCCCCTCAAGAGTGGAAACCTTATTATAATATATGAGTATAGATAGTTATGTTCGTGTGGAAATTAACTTTTTGTTTTTTTAAACATTTCTTTGCATAAGAAAAATAATTACATTGCATGCTTTTCATGTTAATTTCTGGAGTGCCTTATTTTCAGCTTTTTCTTTTTTTAAAAAAGAAGGAAGTTGTTTTCATTGAATTTTCTCTTGTGAAATAATCATTCAAAATAAGAATAACACCTAGGGCATCTCTGGTGGTGCAAGGGGTTAATTAAGTCTCAGCACTCTGAAGCTATCCACAGCCACTGCAGCACAAGTTCAATCTCCGGCCAGGGAGCTACCCACCTGGTGCAGCAGACCTCTCCTGTCTTGCCTGCTGCTTCCCTCAGCAGTGTATTTCAGTCAGTCTGCCTGTTCTGTTCCCCACTCTGTCGCTGGTAAATCCTCTCATCCCTCCCTCCCCACCTCTGCCTTATACCCCAGTTCTTGTATACATAAATAAATCTTTAAAAAAGAAAAACAAAATAAGAATAACACAGAATAAAAAGTACCATTATTTCTATGATTGCTTCTACCAGGTCTCTATGCTGCCTTGGGTAATCCATTTTGTCCCTATTTCCTGACTTGAAAAATAACAAACTATTTTATGTTTTAGTACTCATGTCGGGTATTAATTGTTGTATGTCTTTTTAAAATATTTTTTTGGTTAAAGTAACATTGGTTTATATCATTGTACATGACTCTGAAATAAAGGATCCTGCCTCTTCAAATGTGTGTTACCACACCACACCCACTGCCAAGGCTCCAAAGGGACAACAGTTAGCAGTCATATATATATATATATATAATAAATGTATATTTAGCCATATTCAGCTGATCCTTTTTTTTCTTAAATATTTATTTATTTATACAAGCACTGGGTACAGTCAGAAGCACGGGAGGGTACAGTCAGAAGCACGAGAGAATTCACCAGAGCTAGAGCGGGGAGCAGCACAGGCAGAAGGACCAAAGTACACGAGGTCTGCGCGCCATGTGGGACCCTCCTCCCGTGGCCAGGTAGCAGCCGGGGATAGGTCTGCGCGCCATGTGGGACCCTCCTCCCGTGGCCAGGGAGCAGCCGGGGATCGAACTGGCGCTGCAGAGGCTGTGGTCAGTTTCGCAACCCAGCGCTTAACCGCTGCGCCACTGGGGAGGCCCCTCAGCTGATCCTTTTTTTTGGCTAATATATACACTGCTCATTTCTTTCTTTCTTTCTTTTTTTTTTAAAGATTTATTTATTTATGCATACAAGAACTGGGGTACAGGCCAGAGGTGCGGGGGGTGATTCACCAGAGATGGAGTGGGGAACAGGCGGATTGACTAAAATATACTGCTGAGGGGAGCAGTGGGCAAGTCAGGAGAGGTCTACTGCGCCATGTGGCTGCTCCCTGGCCAGGGATCGAACTGCTGCAGCAGCTGCGGATAGTTCCATAGGTTGTGTCTTAACCCCTTGCACCACCAAGGAGGCCCTACACTGCTCATTTCTATCTCTAATCATTTTTTTGCCTGGTATCCTTCACCCAAATCTTTTTTTTTTTTTTAACTCACATCCTATATATATCTGCTAAGGCTTATCTAAAATGCTACCTCTTCCAAATAGCTTTTCCTGACTGTTCATGATTTGTCCATTTCCTCCTGAATTTTTATAGCACGTAATTGTCTCTGCCACTGTGAGAAAAATCCTGGTAAGAAAGGATCCTCTAGTATATTTATAGAGTTGTCTGAATTTTCTTTTTCCATTCATTCAATGGCAGCGGCTTTTTCCCAGATGTCCAATTGCAGCTGTTAACTGCCTCCATTTATGTCCAGCTTCTAAAAATGGCATTCTGCCATTCTTTTTTTTTTTAAAGATTTATTTATTATTTATGCATACAAGAACTGGGGTACAGGCCAGAGGTGCGGGGGATGAGAGGATTCACCAGAGACAGAGTGGGGAACAGAACAGGCAGACTGACTGAAATACACTGCTGAAGAGAGCAGCGGGCGAGCCAGGAGAGGTCTGCTGTGCCATGTGGGTAGCTCCCTGGCCGAGGATTGAACTCGTGCTGCAGTGGCTGCGGATCGCTTCATAGGTTGCGTCTTAACCCCTTGCGCCACCAGGGAGGTCCTGCATTCTGCCATTCTTAGCTAGTTTTACATAGGGTGAGGAAATTCCTTTGCCTCTTAGTTTATTTAAGTAAAATTGCCACCCCCACCCCACCACAAAAATACTTTACTAGTAAACTAAAGGAGACACAAAAACTATAAATCTAAAGCAGCATATATATATATATATATATATATATATATATATATTTTGTTTGTTTGTTTGTTTGTTTTGTTTGTGGGACCCTCACCGGCGGCCGGGGAACGAACCGGCGCTGCAGAGGCTACAGGCAGCCTCGCAGGCCAGCATTCAACCGCTGCGCCACCAGGGAAAGCCCTTTTTATATATATATATATATATATATATATATATATATATATATATATATAAATTATATATATAATTTATTATATATATTTATATATAATTTATTATATATATTATGTATATAAATTATATATATAATTTATTTTTTTAAGAATTTTTTTTTTTAATAGAGGCATGTTTTATTTATTTGTTTGTTTGTTTGTTTGTTTGTTTTGTTTATACATGCACTGGGCACAGTCAGAAGCGCGGGAGGGTGAGAGAACTCCCCAGAGCCAGAGCGGGGAGCAGAGCAGGCAGAAGGACCGAAGTACACTGCAGAGGGGAACAGCGGGCGGCAGGAGAGGTCTGCATGCCATTTGGGACCCTCCTCCGGTGGCCGGGGAGCAGCCGGGGATCGAACAGGCGCCGCAGAGGCCACGGGCAGCCTCGCAACCCAGCGCTCAACCGCTGCGCCACCAGGGAGGCCCTATATATATATTTTAAATAAATGTCCTATGTGATTTCTGAAATCAGGTTGGCATATTTAGATGAGTTAAAACCTTTATTAACTGGCTTCCAAAAATACTTCTTCCAAACACGAGGCTGTACTACACTTATATTCCTTTCCCTTTCCCCTCTTCAGGGATATTTTGGGAATAGCTCTTGGAGGGCCTACCCAGGTTTCTCTCCACTTTATTTATATTTTGGAATTTTAGTGGACATTTATCCCAAATCCTTGACATAAGAAATTGGTTTAGTTTGTTGCATATTGAATATCCTGAGATAACTTTTTGTTTTTGCTTCTTCATGCTTTCTTTTTTAGCTGTCACCATTGTCAGTATGCTTGTAGGATATTAACATATTCCCCTTAATTTTTTAACTCATCTGCTCATTAAAGGCATATTCCTTAGCCTTTAATAAAAGACTGATGGGCATCCCTGGTGGTGCAAGGGCTTAAGTCTTGGCACTGTCAAGCTATCAGCAGCCACTGCATCATGAGTTCGATTCTTGGCCAGGGAGCTAACCCACATCATGGGGCAGCAGACCTCTCCTGTCTCGCCTGCTGCTCCCCTCAGCAGTGTATTTTAGTCAGTCCGTCTGTTCTACTTCCCACTCTGTCTCTGGTGAATTCTGTCACCCTTCCACACCTCTGGCCTACACCCCAGCTCTTGTATGCATAAATAAATAAAATAAATCTTTAAAAAAAACAACAACAAAATACTGACAATGTAGTATTACTAATGTAGATTTTCGCTGTGATTCTAAGGCTGACTTTTGGGCCCAATCTTCTCTGACTCTAATCTATGTTTGTTAGTCCTCTCATTTGGTTTCAGTCTTTTTGTTTCAAATTCCATGCTCTATTCCATTATGTAAGTTGCTGTCTTAATTTTATTTGTTTCTTAAGGCTAACATAAGGAATTATCATAAACTGGGTGGCTGAAAAGCCACAGAAATTTATTCTCTCACAGTTCTGGTGACTAGAATCTGAAAGCAAGGTGTTGGCAGGACCATGCTCCCTTTGGAGGGTCTTGGGAAGAATCCTTCCTTTCTTCTTTGTAGCTTCTGGTGGTTCCTTGCCTTAAGCAAATCCTTGCCTTATAGCTGCATCACCCCATCCTTCTCTAACTATGGCTGTGTGTCTCTTCTGTCTCTCTTTGCACCTTCGCCTTTTCTTATGATGATACTAGTTATGGATTTTAAGGCCCACTCTAATCTAATGTGACTATTTCTTAGTTTGATTATGTCTGCAAAGGTCCATATTTACAAATAATGTCACATTCACAAGTCCTAGCAATTAGGATTTGAATGTATCTTTTTGAGGGACACAGTTCAACACTATAGATATTTATTGCTGTGTAACAAGTTAAAGGCTAAAATTTAAAGGCTTAAAGCAAATATTTATGATCTTACAGTTTTTATGGGTCAGGAATCTAGGTGCTGCTTGACTGGTGTCTCTGGCTCAGGGTGGCCATCAAGGTGTCAGTGGGGGCAGTGGTCTCAGCTAATGACTCTACTTGAGTGGTAATAAATGCTCCCAAGGTCACTGTTGTAGTTAACTTGGTTATTCTGGCAAGTTTGGAGGCATTGATTGACAAAAGAACTAGAGGATTTGCATGCTAACTTCTGGGGCAAAGTAAGAAGATGGAGGGATATGGTGTCTAGTGTCTGTTCTTTCACCTGCCTAAGTGACCAGTGGCCTAGCGCTAGGGAGAGGTGGATGAGAGTACCTGTGGGACTGGGGCATTTCAGTGGATCATAGGGCCTCTTTGTTACAGTGAGGTTCTAAGTAGGTTGGTATACTTGTTGGTCTGAGGCCAAGTATAACCAGCAAATGTGTTTTGCTTGGCCCCCACAGGACTTTAAGCAACTTTTAAGTAGTTATCAACACTTGACAATTAGAATATTTTACATGAAAATCAAACTTTGACTTCTCTTACAAAAATAGAGAAATATGGGGACCTTGGGTCTACCTTTATAAAGGGCAGCTCATAATGCTTTAGCTCACCACAGTTTGCATCTGCCTGATCATTTATAGGCAATTGAGTTGATGAGCCCATCTTGTCTTAATGGCAAAGCACAGTCGGTGCCCACTTTGTAGAACCAGATATATCCTAGAGATGCGCACCAAATAGACTGTGGGTCCTACAGGGGCTCTCAGCTCCATATTTAGGCAGCGCTGACTAAAGGATCCTAATCCAAAGAAAGATCATGGAACTCCTTGCTCAAGTTAACCACTTGATTTCCTAGGTTCTCCCTGATGCACTTAGGGTTTGTCCAAGACAATGTTCAGTTTTCAAGTGGGGAAGGAGGTACTGATTATTTGAGCCCCCAGGAGTCCTCCAAATTTGCATTGACATATTCTATTCTGGTATCAAACCTAATTTTAAATCCTTTGAAGAATAATTTAAAAGTTTTTTTAGCCTCCCGGTGGCGCAGCGGGTTGAGCACGGTGCTGTGAAGCTGTCCACAGTCTCTGCAGCATGGGTTCAATTACCAGCTGGCCAGGGAGCAACCCACATGGCGCCGCAGATCTCTCCTGCCTTGCCTTCTGCTCCCCTCAGCAGTGTCTTCGGTCAGCTGCTTGTTCTGCTCCCCGCTCTGTTTCTGGTGAATTCTCTCATCCTCCCTTGCCTCTGGCCTGTACCCCAGTTCTTATATAAATAAATAACTTTTTTTTTTTTAAAATTTGTACAAGCACTGGGTACAGTCAGAAGCGCGGGAGGGTCAGAGAATTCACCAGAGCCAGAGTGGGGAGCAGAACAGGCAGACTGATGAAATATACTGCTGAGGGGAACAGCGGGTGCGGCAGGAGAGGTCTGTCACACCATGTGGGACCCTTGCCGGCAGCCAGGGATCGAACCGGTGCTGCAGAGGGGCTTCGCAGCCCAGCGCTCAACCGCTGTGCCACCAGGGGAGGCCCATAAATAAATAAATCTTTAAAAAAAAAAGACTTGGGAAAAAAATGAAAGTTTTTACTATTGTATAAATTTATGGTTACCACATATTCATTTATTGGGGCGTTAGTATATTTAAGGTGCTATGTTATGTCTTAGGGTGATTGAAACAAATAACCAGACAGGATCCCTGCCCTTATGAAATTCAGCTTGCAATTGGGATTTAAAGCCTGAGTTTAGGGCCTCCCCAGTGGCGCAGCGGTTGAGCGCTGGGTTGCGAAGCTGCCCGCAGCCTCTGCGGCACCGGTTCGATCCCTGGCTGCTCCCCGGCCACTGGAGGAGGGTCCCACATGGCGCGCAGACCTCTCCTGCCGCCCGCTGCTCCCCTCAGCAGTGTACTTCAGTCCTTCTGCCTGCTCTGCTCCCCGCTCTAGCTCTGGTGAATTCTCTCACCCTCCCGCGCTTCTGACTATACCCAGTGCTTGTATAAATAAATAAATAAATCTTAAAAAAAAAAAAAAGAAATAATGTAGACCCAAATTCATAAAAAAATAAAAAAAAATAAAAAAAAATAAAGCCTGAGTTTAGAAATGGTTTAAAAAAAAAGTGTAGTATAAGGCTTATAATTTTAAAATGAATACTATTTAAATACTTTTGTTCTGCAGTAAAGTTATGAGTAGATTTTATATCACTGGCTCTTAATGTTTCTTGCTCTTTTTTTCCTTTTGCAGGGGAAATGCTCTCCTATGGAAGTAAGCCAGAGGTGGAAATCAGAGGGTGCTCACTTTGGTGTGTTGAGCTAATCCGGGATTGTCTTCTTGAGCTTATTGAGAAAAAAGGTGAAAAACCTGGTGAAGAGATCAATTCCATTCTTCTTGATTATTACTTATGGGACTATGCACGTGATCATAGGGAAGATATGAAAGAAATTCCATTTCATCGCACACGTTGCATATATTATTGACCCAAAATGTAAACTGATCCAAAGAAAACCCTTTGCATTTTTTTCATACAGTAATTAATTTTTGTACAGTACTTGATTTCTCCCCTTAGGTATAGTTGCCGTAATTATCATACCATCATATCACCCATGATCCATTATCACAATCCCTGTGCTCTTCTGTGCCCTGATTTGGTCCCCCTCCTGTGCTGTTTGCCTGATATCTGTGGTCAGCTTGAAAGTTTTGTCTTTTCTCCTGTCCCTTTGTTTGGTTTCTCTAGATGCAACATGTAAGTGAAAACATCTGGTATTTTCTTTCTTCTTCTGGCTCGCTTCGCTTAGAATAATTCTTTCTAGCTCCATCCATGTCGCTGCATATGGCATGAGTTTATCTTTTTTGATTACTCATTAGTGTTTCACTGTGTATATATACCACATCTTGATCCAGGGCATTTATGTTGTTTTCATATCTTAGTTATTGTAAATTATGCTGCTGTAATCATAGGAGTGCAGGTTTCCTTTCAAATTAGTGTTTTTTGTATCTTTTGGGTATATTCCTAGGAGTGGAATCAATGGATCATATGGTGGATTCACTTTTAGTGTTCTGAGGAACCTACACACAGTTTTCCTTAGTGGCTGGGCCAATTTGCATTCCCACCAACATTGTAAGAACCTCTCTGCATTTTTATATCACATAATCATTTATACAGTTTTGCTTTGCTGTTAAGAGGTTACAAGAACAAGAAAATTTTTGGTGGAACAAGAAAATTTTGGAGGAACAAGAAAATAGATTACTCACACGCATTTAAAAGTTTTTTTCCCAACATATCATTGTGTATCTCTAACTTTATTCTTTGGCTGCTTGTTTACTTTTAACTTGAGTGATTTAAGTCTCAGATTACTTAAAATCAATCATGCCTTATGTGATTAGCCTTAAGTATATTTTATCCATTCAGTTGGTATATTGCAGGGTGTAGGAATTTTCTACATACCTTACTCTTTTAATATAAAAGGGGGGGGGCAAGGCTTTTATTATATGAATGCTGTTACTTTTGTAAAAATCATGACAACTTGCTTTAAATTTTTTATTAGTAGTGATAGTTTCATACATGATGATTTTCAATTTAGGGTATCTGTTTAGTGCTTATTTTTCAGAGTAACTACAATGAAATTGAATAAATTAAAAACCTTTCTTAAACTTGAGTGGATTATTTAATTAAAACAATGTACCAATATAAAATATAATGGTTGTTTATTAATTTTTTTAAAGATTTATTTATTTATTCATATAAGAGCTGGGATATAGGCCAGAGGTACAGGGAGGTAAGAGGATTCACCAGAGACAAAGTAGGGAGCAGAACAGGCAGATCTGTTGAAACACACTGCTGAGGGGAGCAGCAGGCAAGACAGGAGAGTTTGCTGCACATGTGGGTCAGCCCCCTGACCAGGCATTGAACTTGTGCTGCAGTGCCTGTGGGTAGCTTGATAGTGCTGAGACTTAACTCCTTGTGCTACCAGGGAGGCCCTGTTTATTAATTATTGAGGTAGCATGTTTTATCTGTTTTTTAAATATTTTTTTATGTCATTATTTACTTTTGTACAATATTTGATTTCTCTCCTCATGTAGTCCCCATAATTCTCCCACCACCGGGGCACCATGACCATCATCATAGTCCCTTGTGTCCTCCCCTCCCCTGTTTTAACCCCGTTCTTTCTCCCCCTTCCTGAGGTAACATATTTTATGTCACTATATGTTTTAGGAGTAAAGGTTCATAACAAATTATCATATATAATTTTAAAAGGTTTATAAAAATTTGATTATTTTACATTGCACACTCCTCATTACCCACCAAGTACTCACCTCCGGCCTCATTCCCACCTTCCTTCTAATAGAATCTTGACTTTAATATTTACTTTGTTGACTTTCTGTGAATCGGAAAAAGACCTTCTTTCCCTAAGCTCTTTACTGCCATCTGCTGGAAGTTGTCATGATAACCTTACAAATGACAACTGTGACTCTGAATGGGATCCTCTGGAGTTGTGCCATCATAAATAGTGATCCTGTATCTGCAAATGTGACTCATGGGAAAGTGATCCTCTCCGCAGTTCCAGAGGTAGATCTGAGTTAATATGAATGGTTTATTTTAGTCATGATAATCCTCTCTGCCTGTGATTGCTTTAGTAATGGGTATATATATTTGAGTGTCACTTAACAGGCATGTTATAAGAAATGTGTCATTAGGCAATTCTGTCATTATGTAAATGTCAGAGTATAAGTACACAGACCTAGACGGTATCACCTACTGTACATCTGGCCTATATGAATAGCCCGTGGGGACCAACATTCTATATGCAGTCTGTTGCTGACCTAAACATCCTTAAGTGACACATGACTAATCTCGTTCTAGTGTGTGACAGTGGAGGGGAAGTCTGCAGGAGGCTTCTGAAAAAGACTTCTTCACTTTAAGAGACACAGGAAAAGTTATTTTCACTGAACAACATTCTAACTGAAGGTGACTCCTGAAGCTGTAGTAGTCATGGTGTGGAGCCAAAGCTCTGCCACACCTGCCCAGGCTGGTCCGAGCTCATCCTAGCCGTGGACTTCGTTCCTAAGATAATAAACATTACCTTATTTCATTCATTTCAAGTTAATTTTCTGTAACTTGTAGTAGAAAATGTCATAATTGTTTTCAATAAACCCACTCTCCTGAGGATCCAGGAAGCAGAAGGAAAATGGTCACTAGACCTCAGGCCTTTCCCTGTTCCTCCCCACCCATTCCCTTTCTTCACCCTCTGTTTTTCTTCTTTTACCCCAACTACCCCATCCCTCTTCATTTTTCCTCCTCCCCCTCTTCCCTCATACCTCTTTTCTCCCCTCTCACCCTCCTCCAGGCTCAGCAGGCTCTGCACTTACTGTTTCCCTTGCAATTTACCTCTGTGTTGTGTAAAAGACAGGAAAGATGGTCCAGGGCTATATGGTGGTCTTGAGGTATGAAGCCCAGTTTTCTTTTCTCATATGCCACTGAGCATAATCTGAACTCAGGACCCAAGATGTCTATTCTAATCTACACAGCAAGATTGAAGAAGCATGAAGTTGAAGAGTACGAGGATTGACAGGAAGGCTCTAGCAAACGGCACATGCATTTTTACTTTCATTTCACAAGAATTTAGTCATGTGGCCATGACTAAGGGCCAAGGAGGCTAGAAAAGTACTCTCGTGTGGGCACTGGGTAACAGCTGCACTATAAAGAAGTATGGATGGATATTAGGTAACACAAGTTTTTACCACCAGTATTTGGATCTTAAAATTTTCCTATCTGAAACAGAATAAGAATTTAAATAACATTTCAGTGGGTTTATTGAAAACTATTAATTATGACATTTTCTACTACAATAATAATTTTAACAGACATGGTCATTTTCCAGATACATTATTTCATTGGGTTTGTAAAGTGGTAAAGTTCTAATTCTAGTGTTCTTGGATTTGTGGGCCTTGTGCAGGGACAACTCTCTTGATGGATCTCGGGGTAGTTTGGACAATGTAACAAACAGTGCCAGCTCCTAAAGTTTGGAAGATGAGAATGTAGAAATAGGATCTGAAAAGTTTTTGATTGTGTTGATTCAGTCTTCATACTCTCTTGAAGACAAATAATGAAAATGCACAGCCCCTGAGACCCTCTGATAACAGCCCTCCATTCAGAGAAGACCTTTGTTTACCTTCCCTAACCAAATTCCCTTGCACAGATTAAATACCACTTCTAAATCCTTGGTGACTTCATTTCCTTTAATACCCCTTGCTTTGCAAGCAATTCAAAACCAATTTGGTTTTAAAAATATTTTTAATCTCATTAGTAATTTTTTTTTTTCCTAAAGATTTATTTATTTATTCATATAAGCATTGGGTACAGTCAGAAGCGCGGGAGGGTGAGAGAATTCACCAGAGCCAGAGCAGGGAGCAGAGCAGGCAGAGGGACCGAAGTACACTGCTGAGGGGAGCAGCGGGCGGCAGGAGAGGTCTGCGCGCCATGTGGGACCCTCCTCTGGTGGCCGGGGAGCAGCCGGGGATCGAACCGGTGCTGCAGAGGCTGCGGGCAGCTTCGCAACCCAGCACTCAACCGCTGCGCCACCGGGGAGGCCCTCATTAGTAATTCTTAAGCGGTCACCTGAAGAACTTAAGTCATTTAGCCAAGGTACTAAGTGAGTGTCCTCCAAAATAAACAGGTTGAGTCAATTACTTGTTGCAGCTTAGGGTCTCTCAGCAGGAGGATGACTGGGGGAAGATCCTAAGGAAGTGGGGTTCTCTGTAAATTGGATGCTTAAACATGGGAAAATCTACCATCGGTTATTTCAATGAATTTTATAGATCACCCTGGAACAAGAAAAAAATCCTGAAACTGGTAAAGAAGAAGCAGTTGCTGATTTTAGCCAAGTTAGAAAGGTGTTTTTTCTTTGTTGGAAAAAATGACTCTGACTGCTAGTGACTGGGCAACAAAAGACAAATTTTTGCTAACAGCTTAAGTAAAAATTCTGGGATGTGGCTAATGAAACTCCCAGAGTCTCAGCACAGCTTCCCTATTCCCATCCCAACAGCCTCCGCCTCTCTGCTCTTCTGTGCCCTGGGGCAAGGCACAAGTGATCCCCTTAACTACCAGGTGGAGCAAGGACACCTCCTGGAAAAGAAAAAGTATGGTAGGCGGCCAAAAATCTTGTCTTCTATTAATATATCTTTGTATGTTCATAATTCTTTAGCAGGTAGGGATCGTTTCAATTTGGAGACTTGAGGTAGAACAGTTAAGGTTAAGGCAACATTCTCAGTTGGTTCGAGGAAGGAACTAATCCAATTTCCTGTCTGAAGGTGAGAAAAACCTAATAACTCCTTCTACAATCCCCTTTTCAACATTCTGAGGATAGACAGAGGATTGGTTGGCATATCATTATCATTTATTTGGTCGCAGAAGTGGAATTCAATTATTAAGGCTCAATGACTTTGATGAAGCTTGAGCTGAAGTGAAAATAAGTCACAATGGTATTAAATAAGAAGCCTAGAAATAATTTGAGGAGTGAAATTGGTATTTGGGAAGAAAGTAAGTTCCTGATTACCAACTCCAAAAAAGAAACCCTGTTTGGTCAAATTAATTGATTGGTAGGGACCAATTTATTATTCTCAAGCTCTATAAATAAAGTTCAAGCATGTATCCTGTCATTTCTTTACTCTTTCAGGCTAACCTAACAGAGGGAAAGCTTTATTTCATAGAAAAATTCCAGCTAATAAATGCAAAAATGAATATGAGATTTAGGGAATTTACAATCCTTAAGTAAATTATAGATCTAGAAAATGTTCTGGGCCTCCCTGGTGGCGCAACGGTTGAGCGCTGGGCTGCGAAGCTGCTCACAACCTCTGCAGCACTGGTTCGACCCCCGGCCGCTGTGAGAGGGTCCCACATGGCACGCAGACCTCTCCTGCCGCCCGCTGCTCCCCTCAGCAGTGTATTTCGTCAGTCTGTCTGTTCTGTTCCCTGCTGTGGCTCTGGTGAATTCTCTCACCCTCCCGCAGTGTTTGTATAAATAAATAAATAAATAAATAATTTTTTTTTTTTAAAGTAAACTTAAAAAAAAAAAAAAGAAAAAAAGAAAATGTGCTTCCATGAACACCAGTGGTTAAAACCGCTGGTAAAAGGTTGATGGGGAACTTTTTTTTTTTTTGAAGATTTATTTATTTATGCATACAAGAACTGGGGTACAGGCCAGAGATGCAGGGGGTGAGAGGATTTACCAGAGACAGAGTGGGGAACGGAACAGACAGACTGACCAAAACACACTGCTGAGGGGAGCAGCGGGCAAGGCAGGAGAGGTCTGCTTTACCATGTGGGTTGCTCCCTGGCCGGCTGGGGATTGAACTCGTGCTGCAGAGGCTGTGGATTGCTTCATAGTGCGGTGCTTAACCCCTTGTGCCACTAGGGAGGCCCGATGGGGAACTTTTTTAATGGCAGGATTAGGCAGCAAACACCTGAATTTACTAATAATTTTACCAATTTTAATAATTTTGCTAAAACTAGAATAGGCAGGCATAATGTGCTTCCTGGTGTGTTGTAATAGGAAGTACACAGCCCTGTCTATGAATTATTCTTGCCAGAAAATGTGAACATGAGTCTAATCAAGAACCTAGATCTAACTACTAGTTACAGGAAATGTCAGAAATAGAGGAACAAGTTAAATGGCAACACAAAGATGTAATCTCTAAATCTAGAATGTGAGACTTTCCAAAGAGGACAAATTTTAAAAAGCAAGGAGATTGATGAGGATGCAGAAAAAAATCATCCCAGGCTGCTGTGGTAGGAATATAAAATGGTGCAGTTGCTATGGAAAACAGTATGGCAGTTCCTCAAAAAATAAAATATATGGGGCCTCCCCGGTGGCGCAGCGGTTGAGCGCTGGGTTGCGAAGCTGACCGCAGCCTCTGCAGCGCCGGTTCGATCCCCAGCTGCTCCCCGGCCACCGGAGGAGGGTCCCACATGGCGCGCAGACCTCTCCTGCCGCCCGCTGCTCCCCTCAGCAGTGTACCTCGGTCCTTCTGCCTGCTCTGCTCCCCGCTCTGGCTCTGGTGAATTCTCTCACCCTCCCGCGCTTCTGACTGTACCCAGTGCATGTATAAACAAAACAAACAAATAAATAAATAAATGAAAGCATGCCTCTATTAAAAAAAAATAAATAAATAAAATATATGATTAGAAATTCCACTTTTGGGCATATACCCACAATAATTGAAAGAGGGATCTTGGAGAGATATTTATACTCCCTTGTTCATAGCAGCAGCATTTGTAATAGCAAAAAGTTGGAAACGACCCAAGCGTGCACGCAACAACAGATAAGTGGAAAAACAAAATGTGCTATATACATATAATGGAATATTATTCAGTGTTAAAAAGGAAGGAAATTCGGACACATGCTACAAGGTGGGTGAAACTTGCGGGCCTTATGCTATGTGAAATAATCTAGGGATAATAGGACAAATGCTGTATAATTTCACTTAATGTGAAGTACTTAGGACAGTCCAATTCAGAGAGATAGAAAGTAGAATGGTATTGCTGTGAAGTGCCAGGGCACGAGGGAAAAGGGGGAAGATTTTTTTTTAATGATAGATTTTTTTCTTAAGATTTATTTATTTTATTTATACAAGCACTGGGTACAGTCAGAAGCGCAGGAGGGTGAGAGAATTCACCAGAGCCAAAGTGGAGAGTAGAACCGGCAGACTGACGAAATACGCCGCTGAGGGGAGTAGCGGGTTCAGCAGGAGAGGTCTGCGCGCCATGTGGGACCCTCGCCGGCGGTCGGGGATCGAACCAGCGCTGCAGAGGCTGCAGCGCAGGACCTCAGCTTCACAGCTTCAAAGCCCAGCGCTCAACTGCTGCGCCACCAGGGGAGGCCCCTACACTGCATTCTTAAAATGGTTAACATGGTGAATTTTATGTGTATTTCACATCTTTGTGTTGCCATTTAAACTTGTTCCTCTATTTCTGACATTTCCTTCAAAGGTGGAGGAATAACTTATTGACTAAAATAGAATTAAGAGTCAGGTAAAAGTTATGTATATCATGTTTGGGTCCTGACTTAAGCAATAAATCAGGAGGGGAGAGAGAGATGGGGAGAGACAGAGGCAGAGAAGGTGGGGGTGGGGGAGAGAGATATTATGTAGAAAGAAAGCTATATAGGGCCTCCCTGGTGGTGCAAGGGGTTAAGTTGCAGCACTATGAAGTTATCTGCAGCCATGGCAGCACAATTCTGATCCCCAGCCTGACAGCTAACCCACATGGCGCAGCAGACCCCTTTGACTAGCCCACTGCTCCCCTCAGCAGTGTATTTCAGTCAGTCTGCCTGTTCTGTTCCCCAATCTGTCTCTGGTGAGTCCTCTCACCCCCCACATCTCTGGCCAGCTCTTGTATGCATAAACAAATAAATAAATCTTTAAAGAAAAGTTAATGTCTTAAAGAAGTACACTTTAAAAGTTCATTTTATGTTATGTGACCCTTACTTCAATAAAAATTAATGAAAATAAACAGAATTACTTGCTAAACTATAAAAACATAATATGTAAGTCGTTGTCACAAACCCGTGCATAGTCACTTTGGCTCATCACTCCAATTTCACCTCTGGGTGTATTTTTTTTTTTTTTTTTTTTTTTTGTGGTACCTTCGCCGGAGGCCAGGGAACGAACCGGCGCTGCGGAGGCTGCGGGCAGCCTCGTAGCCCAGCGCTCAACCGCTGCGCCACCGGGGGAGGATCCTCTGGGTGTATTTTGTGGGAATTCCCAGCGTCTGGCTCTGGTGGAGAGTAGGCCCCGCCCCGCGGGAGGGGACGCGTCACGCGAGGGCTTCGCTGGTTGCCGGGAGAACCCACGACAACAAAAGGCGCGGGCGGCGGCAGCTGCGGCGCGGCGGAGCTGAGCCAAATAGTCCTGCGCTGCGCTCGCCGCTGGAGACCCGGGCTTTCTCTCGCCGGTCAGTGCGCCCGGGGCTGGCCCGGCCGGGCTGGGCTGCTGGTCCCGAGAGTGGTGCGGCACCTTCCTGGCCTCCCATGCAGGGCGCCGGGTCCCCGGCCCGCCGTTGGGAGGAGGGGGTGCCGGCTAGGGGGCTTGGGGCTGTCGCGGGTTGGGCTCCGGGGCGGTTGGAACGCCGGGGAGACCGAGGAGGACGCCGGAAGGGGCCCGGATCCCCACCGGGCGTCCGGGGAAGTTGGGGCTCCAATTGATGGAAAAGTGCCCGGTAATAGGGACGCCCCGGAAGGCGGAACCGATCCCGCACTTGAGTCAGATCCCGAGTGTTTCTCGGTTTCTCTTTTCAGATGCGGGATCTGAAAGGGTTGGGGAGGCCCCCCCACCCCGACTTTGGGGATTTCGTTTGATCACCGGTTTCTCCTTTTTTCCTCTGCGGATATTGAAACTTTGTTGTTTTCTAAGCTATAGAAGTTTGAAAGCCTCTTACCTCAGAGGAAGATGATATTGAGAAAGAGAAATGGTGCCCACATGCTTTCTTTTAAACACCCTTTTAGTAGCACAGCCCCTCTCTTAAGTTTTTAAATCATTGTTTTTTCCTCTTTACTTTCTGTCTTCTCCATATAGTTCTTTGTGCGGTTGGGCCCTTTTCAGAGAGCTTAAATAATTCATTCTGTATTTGCTGGGAAGTTTTTGATGAAAATACTAACTAGTTGCACTTTCTAGACAATCACTACTTCTGAAAAACGAAGGCACAGGATGGCACCCTTTTTGGAAATACTTATTTCTGGTTAATGGCACGGCAAAAATGATAAAATATTTCTCTTAACCTTTCCAGATTTCAAAAATTAATCGAACATGTATGCTTAAGTATATGTAATGCCTAATGTGTTTGCTAAGCCCATCAAATTCCACCTTTCTTTATATTTATTGGTGACATAATACATTTGCTTCTGATAATTGTAATTGATGGGAGTCTGAAGCAGTATAAGTACTGTGGATTTTTTTTTTTTTTTACAAGCCATGTGTTTATGAGCTTTCAATGCCCATAATGGTTAGAATAGGTGAAGGCATATTGTTTATAGACAGACATAGGCATATTGTTTATAGATGTTCCCATTATAAAAGCGAGAATGTGAAACTATCCCAATTACACTTGGCACCTCTTATTAGCAATTTGGTTAGGCGTGGCTAAACATAGACTGACTTTTGTTTTAATGTGATAGCATAAAAAGGTGTTTAGAGACATTTGAAAGAACCAATTCCTATAGTATTTTTTGCAGGTTTTTGGAAAAGTTTCCAGTACAAAATGATATAGAGTAGTTTAGGATCCAAGAAAGGATTGATCATATGTATGTCTTTATTTTTCCAGTACAGAATTGCATTAGAATGTTGAAAAATGCCAAGGATAGGTGCATCTTTTTGTTTTGGCCATTAAAGATGGTTTGTTGACTCTGTTTTGGGATTTTACAGCCCAGGGGAGCTGATATTTTTTTTTTACTCTCAGTGGGCTCTTCGTAAAGTGATGTAAATGTTTTTTTTTTTTAATTATTATGATCTTTCCCCGACTATCCAGTCACAAAATTATAAGTGCACAGTCCTGCTACAGAGTTGTGCTGCAGTTAAAAAAATTCTAGTGGATATTATATGTCATAATTGCAATTTTCATAACAAGCAGTGCTGAAATTTTTATTTTAATGCATTAGACAGCTAGGTTACTTAATGGTAGTGTTCAAGATGTGCCTTCTCTAAAGATCACAGGGTCTCCCTCGCCCCCCCCCATTTTTTTCATAATCTAACCTAGCCATTATCATAGAAGACTTGTCACATTTTTTTTTTAAGATTTTATGTAGTGTAAGCTTTTTCTTTCTAAGACTGAACATTCATACACAAGTTTTTATGTGAACGTATTTTCATGCTGAAGAGTGGAATTGCTGGGTCACATAATAACTGTGTTCCTTTTTTTGAGGAACTGATGGACTGTTTTCCAAAGCAGTTGCATCATTTTACATTTCCATCAAGAGTGTATGAGTGTTCCATATTCTCTGCATTCTTTCCAAAACATGTTAAGGTCTTTTTGATGATAACCATGTTAGTGGGAGTGAAATGAATCTCATTGTGGATTTAATTGTATTTCCTTGGTCGCCAATAGTATTGATCATCTTTATATATGCTAACTGGTCATTTTTAGTATGTTCTTTGAAGAACTATCTTCAGATCCTTTGCCTATTTTTAAATTGGTTTGTCTTTGTCTTTTTTACTGAGTTGTAATAGTTCTCTTCATATTCTAGACACAAATCTTTATGCATGAATTGTAAATGTGTTCTCCCACTTAATGAGTTGTCTTTTCACTTTTTGATGGTGTCCTTTTAAGTTTGATTAAGTCCTTTTAATCTATTTTTCATTTCATTGCTTATTGCTTTTGGTGTTATATTTGAGAAACCATTTCCAAATCCAAGATTTACTGTTGCACTTTCTTTTTATAGTTTTATAGTTTCAGCTATGATCTGAATTATTTTTTTGTATGTGATGTGAAGTAGGTGTCCAACTTCATTGTTATGTCTGTGGATATCCAGTTGCTCCGTTACTATTTGTTGAAAGGACTATTCTTTACTCCATTGAATTGTCTGGTTACTTTTGTCAAAAACCATTGTCCTTAAATGGAGAGTTTATTTCGATAATAGATTGTCAGTTATTTCCCATTATTTTAAAGTCTGTTTTATGCCAGTGCCACATTGTCTTGTTGACTGTTGCTTTTTTCCCCCCAGCTGGACCAGTGTATTCTTCAACTTTGTTCTTTTTGATATTATTTTGACTATTCTCTGTTCCTTGAATTTCTATATGAATTTTAGGATCAGCTTGTCACTTTCTGCAAGGAAGTTGGCTGGGATTTTGATAGGAGTTGTGCTGAGTCTATAGATCAGTTGGTGGAATACTGACACCGTAACACTATTATGTTTTCCAATCCATGAATATGAGCCGTTTTCCCATTTATTTAGATTTTCTTTACTTTCTTGCAACAGTATTTTGTAGTTTTCAGGGCTTAAGTTTTGTACATCTTTTATTTGATTTTTTCCTCCTAACTATTTTATTTATTCCCCTAAGTATTTTAGTCTTTACGTTGTTGTAAGTGGAATTATTTTTTACATTCATTTCTCAGGTTATTCCTTGCAAGTGTAGCTATCAATTTATTTTTTAACATATTAATACTGTTAGAGATCTTCAGAAATAAGTATAACACAATGTCGGTGTGATAAGGTAGTTTTCCTGCTAGTTTATTTTTGAATAAAAATTTTGGTTTTAAATTTTTATTGAGTTAAAGAAATCCTTACAACTATGTTCGTGGCTTTATTTCTAATATTTTTAGCAAAGATCATATGCCATTTTTCAACATATAACTATAAAATCTAGGACAAGGGTTTGTTTTTAGCATCTGTACAATTACCCAATAATTTTAGAACTCCCCAGTTACTCAATATTTTGATTAATGACTAGGAAACATGATCACTATAGAGACAATAGCACAGTGGAATCCTGTGTATTTATCACTTAGCTTCATCATTTACCAACTCATGGCCCCCAACCCCCAGATGATTTTGCAGCAAATCTAGACATATCATTTCATTTATAAATTATAAATGTACTTTTACAAGACAGATTTACTCTGTCTAGTGTCTTGGGACAAAACCTGCTGTAATTGACTTTGCTTTAGAAGATGCTTAGTGTGTTAGGATAGAGTCAATAATTAAATTCTGTTTTTTATTTTGATACACAGGAGTCCAGATCATACATAAAATGGATGTTTCTCACACTAGATACTGAATATTAAGTATAAAATCTATTTAGTAAAATCTAATCTACCATGGAAGAAATACCAGTAAAAGTTGCTGTAAGAATTAGACCTCTGCTGTGCAAAGAAGTTCTTCATAATCATCAAACTTGTGTGAGAGCTATTCCAAACACCCAGCAAATTATCATTGGGAGAGATAGAGTTTTTACTTTTGATTTTGTTTTTGGCAAAAATTCCACTCAAGATGAAGTTTATAATGCATGTATAAAGCCACTAGTGTTGTCACTCATTGAGGGCTATAATGCAACTGTTTTTGCCTATGGACAAACTGGATCTGGGAAGACTTACACCATTGGAGGAGGCCATGTTGGTAAGATTCTCATACTCTTTGACTTTTGTTTGAGACGCTAGAAAGAAGCTAAATATAACAATAGCTGGCATATAGTAGGTGGTCAGCATATTGTTTGAAAGAAATAATAGGATTACTCAGATATGTTTATAAGATTATTGTTGAAAGATTGGTTTTAAATATTGAAGTTTGATTTATGACTATTTGAGGAAAGAAGTTTAATACAATGCTCAGTGTTTACCCCTTTGTCATTTTGAATGGAATTCAAATAAAGATAAATGAGTTCACATGCAGATTTTGCATCCTTTAACAGTCCACTTATAAATAAGAGTCCTGCAACCAGAACTTAGAGGTGGTAGGAGAAACGTATAATGCCTCTAGCCAGATTTCCATTTTAAAATACCACCTTAAGGAGCATTGCCTCCTGCTTTAATTCTGGTTTGGAAAAAAATGGAAGCATAGAAATTCCTTTAGAACTGGAAGGAATCTCGAAAATAATTTCTCTTCATTTATCACTGGGGAACTCCATCCATAGAATGATGAACTTGTTCAAGTTAGTGGCTAGTGACAAGTAAGCAGGTAGTGACAGAGTTGAGAGTGATGCCAAATCCTTTTTTGAGACTATTTACTGCATTGGTATTTTTTTCTACTAAAAGAAGACTTGAAAGTTGTACATATATGTCATTGTCTAAAAGTTATTGCTAACATTCTATATGTGTAATCAGGATGATAGCTTTTTTAAAAAATATTTTATTTATACATATAAGAATTGGGGTACAGGCCAGAGGTATGGGGGTGAGAGGATTCACCAGAGACAGAGTGGAAACAGAACAGGCAGACTGACTGAAATACACTAATGAGGGGAGCAGCGGGTGAGACAGGATAGGTTTGCCTCGCCATGTGGGTCTCTCCCTGGCCAGGGATCAAATTCATGCTGCAGAGGCTGCAGATAGCTTCACAGTGCTGTGCTTAACCCTTTGCACCACCAGGGAGGCCCGATAGCTTTTTTTTTAATTGCCTTGTGTGTGTGTGTGTGTGTGTGTGTGACCCTCACCGGCAGCCGGGGAACTAACCAGCGCTGCAGAGGCTGCGGGCAGCCTCACAGCCCAGCGATCAACAGCTGTACCACCAGGGCAGGCCCTTGATTGCCATTTTTTAATGATGTTAAAGACTCATGTGCTTTATTCTTTTAGGAGTTAGAAAACATTCTAATTTTGTTAACAATTGTTTTTTATTAAGAGGTCATGACTACAATTTTAATTCTTTAGGGGACAAAGTTATAAAAGTTCCTATAGTCGTAAAATATTTTAACTGCTTTAAGGTGCCTGATACCGGAAGAAATAGACACCATTTGGAACCATTGTTTAGTGGTGTTTTTTACCTAGTTAAAAAAAAAATCTTCATTGTAAAGAATTGCAATAGATGCTTTAGAAATTAAATTAAGCAATTGAAAGCTCTCATTCCAGGAAAGAGCAGGGTTGATGTATACCATTCTAAAGTCCTGTAGACATTTTTCTAGGCATATCACAATACTTATGCATACAGTTTTGGTTGCTTAGTAAGATATTATACCTGTGATATATTATACCTTAGCTTTCTTTTTGTGTTTGACATGAAATATTTCTTTTTTTCCCATCTGAATCATAGAAGTTTGCCTCATTTTTTTGGTTATACAACATTTATTTCATTGTTTGAATGGATAATAATTCATTTCAATATTACTGGACATTTAAGTTGTTTCTCATATGTATTGTTATAAGAAATTGCATTGTATAGTTTTGTACACTGAACTTCGTACCCATGTATTAATATTTCAGTAGAATAGAGTTCTAGAAGTGGGTTAGTTAAGTCACATTTGAAATGTGGGTATATAATTTTAAAAAGTTGTGCCGGTATGTATTCTTACCACCAGTACGGGAAAGTTATTTGTTCATATCTTTGCCACTTGCTGGATATTATAAAATATATATATATATATATTTATGTATATATTGCCCCCGATAGATGCAAATTGTATTGTTGTTTGAAGTTAATTTCTTTTTTTTTAAAGATTTATTTATTTATGCATAGGAGAACTGGGGTACAGGCCAGAGGTGTGGGGGGTGAGAGGATTCACCCGAGACAGAGTGGTCGAAATACACTGCTGAGGGGAGCAGTGGGCGAGTCAGGAGAAGTCTGCTGCGCCATGTGGGTTGCTCCCTGGTAATCTAATTCATGCTGCAGTGGCTGCGGCAGCTTCATAGGTTGAGTCTTAACCCCTTGTGCCACCAGGGAGGCCCTGAAGTTAAATTTCTTGGTGTACTGATGATAATTGGTGAGCATTTTTGATTTCTGGACTCTCTCTCCTGATAGGACAGCATTTCTGTTAGTCACCTGCTATTTAACTATTGGTCTTGCAAAATAATGTCCTCTTTCCTCCCTATACCTATTTAAAGACTCATTTGCTTTATAGTGATAGGGAAACATTATTGGAGGGAATAGCATTATTGCACATTTGCAGTGTCTGGAGTACCATGCTACTATGCCTGAATGAAAATCTCTTATTTTTCAATATAATGCTATTTAAACTGATACTCATTTTTCTGCTTTTCAAAAGTTTGGATTTAATTTCATTCATTAATTAATTTATTAAAGATTTATTTTTTATTTATACAATAGCTGGGGTACAGGCCAGAGGCATGGGAGGATGAGAGGATTCACCAGCGACAGAGTGGGGAGCAGAACAGGCAGACAGACCGAAAGCACTGCTGAGGGGGGCAGCAGATGTGACAGGAGAGGTCTGCCGTGCCATGTGGGAATCTCCCTGGCCGGCCAAGAATCGAACCCTTGCTGCAGAGGCTGCAGACAACACAGCGCTGTGCTCAACCCACTGCGCCACCGGGGAGACCCTTAATTTATTTTAAACAAAGCATAATCTTCTCTAAAAACTTTTATTCATGTACTCTTTAAATAACCTTATAGCTAAATGATGACTGTTGAGGTATAAAAATTTACAGGTTCTCTCAGAAGTCATCTATTTTAGGGATAAAATCTTAACATTGAAATGTGCTACTTAGGTTACCAAAATACACACTGAAGCTTTTTTTTTTTTTTTAAAGATTTATTTTTATTTATTTATACAAGCACTGGGTACAGTCAGAAGTGCGGGAGGGTGAGAGAATTCACCAGAGCCAGAGCGGGGAGCAGAGCAGGCAGAAGGACCAAAGTACACTGCTGAGGGGAGCAGCGGGCGGCAGGAGAGGTCTGCGCGCCATGTGGGACCCTCACCTGGTGGCCGGGGATGGAACCGGCGCTGCAGAGGCTGCGGGCAGCTTCGCAACCCAGCGCTCAACCACTGCACCACCAGGGAGGCCCTCACACTGAAGCTTTTAAAATAAGTATTAATTGAAATTCAGATTTTTGACAAGTCTTTTGAATTATTGTGCTTTTTTATCTGTTGAAGTGGGAAATGAATGAATTATTTCTGATCACCTGTATAGTGTGGCTAACTTAGAATGCCTACATATATTACGGATTATAGATATTTCCATTGGCTAGTTCCTGAAAGCTCTCAAAAGGGAGTTGTTGCTTCCTTTGTATTGGAAAACCTACAGCTTCTTTTACTAGCCACATGATGGCAGTCTTGTATCTTAAGTTAGGTGAAAAACAATCCAAGTTAATAGAGATTCCGATTTTTCAGGATGATTATTATAAAAAAAATGTAAACATCAACAATGCTGTTAAAATTTCATTCATAGGCCAACTTCTGTTGCTTGACTATTTTCCATGGAACAGTGGGCAGTTTTTTAAATTGGCCGACAGAAACTTACTTAACTTGAAGTCCTAGTATATTCTATCACTTATTTTAAATTTTATTTTGTACATCCTTAAGAAAAAGTTATTTAAAAATTGTGGCATAGGGCCTCCCCGGTGGCGCAGCGGTTGAGCACTGGGTTGCGAAGCTGCCCGCAGTCTCTGCAGCGCCGGTTCGATCCCCGGCTGCTCCCCGGCCACCGGAGGAGGGTCCCACATGGCGCGCAGACCTCTCCTGCCGCCCGCTGCTCCCCTCAGCAGTGTACTTCGGTCCTTCTGCCTGCTCTGCTCCCTGCTCTGACTCTGGTGAATTCTCTCACCCTCCCGCACTTCTGACTGTACCCAGTGCTTGTATAAACAAACAAACAAATAATAAATAAAAAAAAAATAAATCTTTAAAAAAAAAAAAAAAAATTGTGGCATATATGTATGTTACAACAAAATTTACCACTTTTAAATTTATACTTCTGTTCATTAAGCACATTCATGGTGTTTTGCAACCAAACTTCTATTTCCAAAATTGTTCACCCCAAACAGAAGCTTTGTACCCACTAAGCCATAACTGCTGTCACCTGTCCCCTGCTAACCTCCAGTCTGCTTTCTATCTATATGAATTTGTCTATGCTAGATATTTTAGATAAGTGGAATAGAACAGAATATTTGCCCATCTATTCTGGCTTCTTTCACTTAGCATAATGGTTTTAAGGATCATCCTCTGTGTTGCAGCATATAACAGAATGTCATTCCCTTTTTATAACTGATTAATATCCTTTGGATAATACTTTGTTATCCATTCATTTGTTGATGGACACTCCCTTTTGGCTATTGTGAATGACCTTGCAGACATTGGTGTATAATTTCCCAAGTCCCTTGTATGCATTTCTGTAAAGATGCTTTAACTCCTTTAAGAAATAAGATGGGGCATCTACAAGTGTTCATGCATGTTATTGTGTTCAACTCTGATTTGTAGAAGTGATGTTTAGGCCTGGACAGGATTGGCCTCTCTGCCCTTCTACACATGTCCTCCATCTCGACTCTAGCTTGCACCTGTGTCCATTTCTATCCTCAAGTCACCTGTGCCTTTCCACCCCACCCATCAATCTCAAACATGCTCTTGGCTAAATGCAAAGAGATAATGATTCAAGGATTTTTTTTTTTAAGTTTTAACAATCCTGTTTTTTTTTTTTAGAAGACTTATTTATTTATACAAGAACTGGGGTACAGGTCAGAGGCCAGAAGGGTGAGAGAATTCACCAGAGACAGCGGGGAGCAGAACAGGCAGACGAACCAAAGACACTGCTGAGGGGAGCAGCAGGCAAGACAGGAGAGGTCTACCACGCCATGTGGGTTTCTCCCTGGCCGGCCGGTAATCGAACCTGCTCTTCAGAGGCTGCGGACAGCTTCACAGCTCAGCGCTCAACCTGCTGCACCACCGGGGAGGCCATTCTGTTATTTTTTTTTTTAAAGATTTATTTATTTATGCATGCAAGAGTCTCAGGAATGCAAAGGCATAAGTAGCACCAGGGAAGTTCAGAGATGAGGGGGTTGAGAGGATTCACCAGAGACAGAGTGGGGAACAGAACAGGAAGATCAACTGAAATACACTGCTGAGGGGAGCAGCGGATGAGTCAGGAGAGGTCTGCTGTGCCATGTGGGTTGCTCCCTGGCCGACGGGATTGAACTTGTGCTGCAGAGGCTGCAGATTGCTTCACAGTGCAATGCTTAACCCCTTGCACCACCAGGGAGGCCTGATTTAAGGACTTTTAAAAGAGTTTTGCAAATATTTATTTTATAAAACATTTTTATAAAATTTTTAAATTTTTAAAAATTTTTAAATTTTTAAAAATTTTTAAATTTTTATTCAAGTAATGTTGGTTTATACAAAGTTTTCCCAAAAAGAATTTTTGCTAAGAGGTTGTGCTTCAGTGATTGGCATTCCACCCTGGCCATAATAAGTGGCCTAAAGAGAAAGACATTTTAGTGCAAAGGACTGTGAAATAAGTTGATCCTTCCTGTGGTCAGTTCCCTGCCCTTTCATAGCTTTTTCTGCCTCAGACAATACATGTTGCTTAGAAGCTCAAAATTTTTATTACAGTGATTTTCACTAGTAGTGGCATCACTAGTGAATTCTGCAGGGGTGGGAGTAGATTTGGCAGGAGCATTGAACTTCCCTGGTGCTACTTATGCCTTTGCATTCCTGAGACTTTGCATTAAAATATTTTCTTACTAAATTTTTAATTTTTATTTATTTATTTGTTTATTTTTAAGATTTATTTATTTATGCATACAAGAATGGGGGTACAGGCCAGAGGTGCAGGAAGTGAGAGGATTCACCAGAGACAGAGGGGAACAGAACAGGCAGATTGACTGAAATACACTGCTGAGGGGAGCAGCAGGAGAGCCAGGAGCAGTCTGCTGTGCCATGTGGGTTGCTCCCTAGCCAGGGATCGAACTCTTGCTGCAGTGACTGCGGATTGCTTCATAGGTTGCGTCTTAACCCCTTCCGCCACCAGGGAGGCCCAAATTTTTTATTTTCAAACTGTTGTATATGTATTTTTGTTGTCATGTCATTTGATTGTAAGTCTCTTTGTTTTTATGCTCCTTCCAGTTCTATACAGCATATTTACTTACCTTTGTTTGAACTATATTTAAATCTTTTTTTAAAATCATAGATATATGTTGGAAAATTGTTTCTACTGGTAAGAATTCAAATATTACTACTGTAAGATAAGAAGTAAAAGTTTTCCTTTCTTTTTTCTCCCTATCTAATTCCCCAGAAGTTGCCATTGTTAACTATTGTATATTTTTTGCTAGATGGACTGTGGTGGAGGACTCTGGGTGCTTGGTGGTGGGTGTACTAGGGTAACTACACCTGAGGGGGGAAATCCTATACTGTCAAAATATCAGCAAAGAGGTAAAACAATGGTACTTCAATAACAATACATACTTTTTTTAAATAAAGAATTCATTGCGTAGATATATATGATTTCTTTTACCCAAATGAGATGTGTGCTGTAATTACTTTTATAAAAATTTCTTATGTCCTAGACATTTGTTTAACAGTAGGTGTATAGTATACCATTGTTAATAAGCCATTCTCCTCCTAATGGATTTATTAGATTGCTCAGATCTTTTTCACAGTTACTAGCATTCTTTTTTCTTTAAGATTTATTTTTATTTCTTTATGCATACAAGAACTGGGGTACAGGCCAGAGGTGTGGGATGTGAGAAGATTCACCAGAGACAGAGGGGGGACCAGAACAGGAGGATCTACTGAAGTACTCTGCTGAGGGGAGCAGCAGCAGAGACAGGAGAGGTCTGCTGAGCCATGTGGGTTAGCTCCCTGGCCAGGATCCAACTCATGCTGCAGTGGCTGGCAATAGCTTGATAGTGCTGAGTCTTTAACCCCTGTGCCGCCAGGAAGGCCCAGTTACAAGCAGTCTTCGCAAATCTTATACATCATCTTTGCATACATGTATCTCTTTAGGGCTATATCAAAGGGAAATGATAGTTAAACTTGTGATATGATACTAACAGTTCTCCAAAAGACTTTACCAATTTACATTCCCATAGTGTATTAGAGAATGTTTGCTCATTATTTGCTTGCATAGTATTTAACAAATGAATAATCATAAATTGTGGTCAGGATATTGTGAACATAATTTATCATAAATTAAATGATATAATTTTAATAGTATTTTGGTGTTAATGGTTGAGTAAACTTTTACTGTTTCTTTTTTTTTAGAGCTTATTTCTTTTTTTCAAGATTTATTTATTTATTTATACAAGCACTGGGTACAGTCAGAAGTGCGAGAGGGTGAGAGAATTCACCAGAGCCAGAGCGGGGAGCAGAGCAGGCAGAGGGACCGAAGCCCACTGCTGGGGGGAGCAGCGGGTGGCAGGAGGGGTCTGCGCACCATGTGGGACCCCCCTCCGGTGGCCGGGGAGCAGCCGGGGATTGAACCGGCGCTGCAGAGGCCGCAGGCAGCTTCGCAACCCAGCGCTCAACAGCTGCGCCACCGGGGAGGCCTCTTTTACTGTTTCTTGAAACAATTAACAACCTTTCTTTACTCACTTTCTCTGTCATCTTCCATCCTTTTCTCAGTTTCCTGTAGCAGAATGTTGAATGCATCATTTGTGACTCACTGTGTCATTTCTTTTCCCCATTGAAACTGCATTTTTTAAGATAAAAATAAAATAACAAGTCACCTTTATTTTACTAATTCAGTGTTTGGTTCTCATTTCCCATCTTACTGACCTGTTTGCAGATTTGATGCACCTTCTGCACTTGGTTTCCAGGCCACCATGCTCTTGATTTTCCTCCCACTTAAATAGTTGCCCCTCAGGCTCTATGACTGGTTCCTTACAAGTAAGCCAGCAGTTGAAATAGCCAAGGCTCAGTCTCTAGTGCTCTTATCTTCTGACTCTGCTTTTTACCCTGATCTCATCTAACCTTACAACATTAAATACCCACTATTTGTAATTGACTTCCAGGGGTTTTTTTTGCCTTTAGTCCACACAATTGTCTTGACTCTGAACTGTTATCCAGCTGCCCATTCAACCTTCACAATCAGATGCCCAATGATGTATCAAATTTAATAGGTCAGGAAATGCCATTTCCCCTTTAAACCACCTCAGTACCTATTCCTCCTCATATTGGTTGATGGCAACTGCAGGGTTCAAGACAAAAACCATGAAGTCATCCTTGATTCATTGATTTTTCTTATATTCCACTTAAAATCTGCTGGGAAGTCTTAATAACTCTCCAACATCAATCTGGCTACCTCTCACCTTTCTCTGCTACCATCCTATATAAGCCACCATTGTGTTTAATCCTAACATCCTAAACTCCCAGGTTACTTCATGGGGTTCCTAAGTGGTCTCCCCACTTTCACACTTCCCCTTCTGTGGTATAAATATGCAAAACACAGCAGCCACAGTGACCTCTTAAAATCCCAAGTTACTGCTCTGCTCCAGTGGCTCTCATCTCATAATAAAACTCAGTCCGCAACGGTCTATAAAGACCTATATGATCTAACTTCTGTCCCCTCTGACCTTATGCCCTGTCACTCTTCTCTCATTTCCTCTGCTCCAACCACACTGACCTCCTTGCTTATGGATCACATCAGTTTACCTGTTCACACTTCTTAATGTTGCCTCATGTGACTCTAGTATTTAAAGTTGCAAGCCCCTCCCACCTAAAATACTCACACTTCCAGTCCCCTTTACCTCGCAATTTTTTCCTCCAGGCCTATTTTCACCATTAATATACCATATAATTAATTTCTCACTTACTTTTTACTATTGTCTGTCTTTCCTCAGTACAATGACATAAGGGCAGGGTTATTTTTCTTCCTGTTTTGTTCGTTGATGGTTCCCAGGGTCCTAGAATACTGCCTGGCACATTGTAGGTACTAAATACTTGTTGGATGAATGTATGGATGAATTTTGAACAAGGGCATGCATGTGAAAACTTTTATCGCTGCATTTTATTATGTAGTTTAAATTTTTTTTAATTTTTATAATATAGAGAAATGTTAGAAAATTCAGTTACTTATTTACTACTTATTTTGGGCTGTAACTTTTCTTATAAAGTTTCAGGATTTCTTTTTCTAAATTTTCAGCTTCAGTTGTGGAGGGTCAAAAGGGTATCATTCCTCGAGCTATCCAAGAAATATTTCAAAATATCTGTGAAAATCCTAGCATTGACTTTAATATCAAAGTATCTTATATAGAAGTATACAAGGAAGACTTAAGAGATCTTCTAGAATTGGAGACATCTATGAAGGATCTTCACATCCGGGAAGATGAAAAAGGAAACACAGGTAAAGTTGCCTACTTAATTGATTGCCTTCATTAGCAAACAGATATGATTAATGCAGTTTCTGGATATATGCCAAAGAATCTTTAAAAACAGACACGGAAACAAATTAAATCTGTTTTTATTTTAAAATTCAACAGCTTATTGATCGTCAACATTAAATCACCCTGGTAAAAAGAAGTTCAGATTGGTCAGTAAGGTGAATTTAGTAATTTATAATTCAAGATACTAATTTTCTATAAATGCCCCCACAACTCCCCTCACCATAAGAAAGTATGTGAAATAGGCTAAATTTACCTTTTTTCCCTCCCAGAGCAATCCTGGAATTGGGGTTGGCCTCTGTTCTGTGTTTATCCAAGTTGATCAGAACTCTCCTTTCTTCCTCTTTGATTTTTGTCCCAGCATACCTATTGCTCCCTCTTTTTTCCATTTTTTAATTTAGAGAATTTATGTGTTCGCATCTACATTGTCCTTTTGCTTTTTTTTTTAAAGATTTATTTACCCATGCATGCCAGAACTGGGGCACAGGCCAAAGATGCGGGGATGGTGCTGAGGACTCACCAGAGACAGAGCAGGGAACAGAACAGGCAGACTGACTGAAATATACTGCTGAGGGGAGCAGCGGGAGAGACAGGAGAGGTCTGCTTCACCATGTGGGTAGCTCCCTGGCTGGCCCCGAGGATCGAACTTGTGCTGCAGAGGCTGTGGACAGCTTTGTAGTGCTGTGCTTTAACCCCCCTGCGACATGTGGAAGGCCCTACATTGTCCTTTTTTGTGTCCCTCAAGGACTGACTTTCTGTGCTAGCAACCTTTTTTTTTTTTTAAAGATTTATTTATTTATGCATACAAGAGCTCTGGTACCGGTCAGAGATGTGGGAGGGTGAGAAGATTCACCAGAGACAGAGTGGGAAACAGAACAGGCAGACTGACTGAAATACACTGCTGAGGGGAGCAGCAGGTGAGTCAGGAGAGGTCTGACTCACCACGTGGGTTGCTCCCTGGCTGGCCGGGGATCGAACTCATGCTGCAAAGGCTGCAGATTGCTTCGTAGTGCAGGGCTTAACCCCTTGTGCCACCTGGGAGGACCCTGTGATAACAACCTATTAATCTCATTAAATATCCACTTGTTTGGGAATGGGACATTAGAATAGGAGGGTCAAAATGTAGAATGTTTCTGCTTTTTGGATTTAAAAAGTAATACGTTCATCATAAAACATTTTAAAAATAGGGGGAAGTAGAGGAAAGTTAGAGATCCCAGGACCCAGCTATAGCATCTTCCTCTTTTTGGTGTGCTTCCTTCCAGGTTTCTTTTTCTATGTACATAATTTTTTTTTTTTTTAAATATACTTGCAACCTCACATACAGTATTGCATCTTTTTTCTTTTTTTAAAAAGATTTACTTATTTATGCATACAAGAGCTAGGGTATAGGCCAGAGGTGTGGGGGGTGAGAGGATTCACCAGAGACAGAGTGGGGAACAGAACAGGCAGATTGACTGAAGTACACTGCTGAGGGGAGAGGTGGCCATCAGGAGAGGTCTGCTGCACCATGTGGGTAGCTCCTTGGCCTGCCAGGGATCGAACTCATGCTGTAGAGGCTTCAGACAACTTCATAGGTTGCGTCTTAACCCCTTGAAACACCAGGGAGGCCTTGCATCTTATTTTTTCAATTAATATTTATATTGTGAGCATTTTCATATGTCATGAATTATTTTCCTTATTTATACCTCATTATGGACATGCAGTAACTTCTGAATATATTACAATTCATTTTTTTTAACATGCCATTGTAGGAAATTTAGACTATTTCCAGATTTTCACTATTTTTAATAATATTGTAATGATCATTCTTGGATGTCTTTCTCTCTTAGAATTAGTAGAACCTTCTTGGGGAAAAGGGTCCTGCCAGAGGAATGACTCCTTGGGGGAATTTCCTAGCAGTTAGGGAAGTACTATGGCTGTGGACATTCAAATAGCAGTCTGTAGGGGGCAGTAAAGCTCTCCTCCCCTTAGGTCCTGTTCTGGCCTTGCATCCTGAATGCTTGACGAAATTGAGTTTTGTTTTTCAGAAAGAAAGCGTACATACTTTGTTATGGTCTTATTATATAACTTAGGATGGTTTATCTTTTCTGGATAGAATTAAGACTGATGTTTTGGAATGCTAACTGTTGAATGTTTTTATCTTTTATTAAAATTTACAAAAATAATGCATACTTACAGTAAAATAGTCTCCCAATACAAAAGTATACACTATCACTGCTGATGAACTTAAGATCAAAATTATCTGTAGCTTAAAAAAAATTCTATAGCTGATTCAATCCTGCAAAATTTGCAGGATGTAGCAAATTATCCTGTATATCTCATATAATGTCATAAATAAATGACAAATTGCCATATATCTTATATAATGTCCCACGCGACCAAAAATTATTTGATATAATTATTTAGTTGTTGTCCAGTGGTTGGTATCCAACCTCGAAGCTGCTCAACAAGTATCCAGGAAGCTTTTTAAGAAATTCTAATTTCTGGGCCCCACTTTTCAAAGATTCTGATGAATTCATGTGGTTGTGGGGCCTGGGCACTGGTACTTTCTTTTTTCATAAAGCTCCCAGGTGATTTGCAGCTGAGATTGAGAACCATAGACAGTTCTAAGATAAAAGCCTAACATTAGAAAAAATTTATGAAAATCACTATGATTTACAGTTTTCATATTTTATAATTACTGATATTTTAGCACTGCCTGTTTGTAGTACAGTACAATTTAGAACTTTAAATGAAGGTTGTTAAGGTGTCAAGGTGGAACTAATGCAAGCAAAATGATTATTTTTCAAAGAAACAGTAGCACAACAGGATCCTATTAATAAGGAAGAAGCACAGCACTATAATTTGAGCTCAGAATCAGGAGTTTTCCTGTCAATTTTAAACCCCAAGTCCACCTATTCCTTTATGAAATATTTTTGGATGGGACACATAATGTGGGTAGTAAGTTTAGGTTATTTTTGGTTCTTGCTCTGCTATTGAAATAGAATTTTGTTTGCTTTTTTGAATTATCATCTAGTTTACTTTGCACTCGTATATAGGGCATGCTAGTTTTTAAAATATATAACTGACTTTATTTATACTGAATTTTCTTTTATCATTGGTTATGAATCCATAGTACCAAAAAACCTTAAAGATGGCTTGAATATTAACAAAACTTAAAAAATTCATTTCTTTAATCTACTACAGATTAATTCTTTTGAATTATATATTTATTCTATTAACGAGGTTTCATTAATAAACTGTATAAATTAAAATAATTGAATAGAATTTTTTCTTTTGTCAACCATTTAAAGAATGTGTGACTCCAAAGAGACCAGATTGTTAAAATTGTTTAAAATGTATATATTACATCTTTTAGAATTTAAGCAGTGCATGAGTGCTGTTTATTAAAATAGTTTCTTTAGGAGGATATCTAAAATTATTTAGTAGTGTTGCTATTGTTACTATTGCTTGAAATGCTATTAATTTGTTTAAAGAGACTGTTTTAGCTGGGTTGCTTAACAAATGATAACTGTTGTGTAATTAACTCTACTGGATTTTGTTTAAAACTTGCTTTTAAAACTTACTATTGCTATTTTAAGTCATTGTTGGGGCCAAGGAATGCCAGGTGGAGAGTGCAGATGAAGTGATGAGTCTTCTGGAGATGGGGAATGCAGCCAGGCACACAGGTACCACCCAGATGAATGAGCACTCCAGTAGATCACACGCGATTTTTACCATCAGCATTTGTCAAGCTGGAAAAAATATAGATGCAGCTGAAGATGGAGACTGGTATTCCCATCGGCATATTGTCTCAAAGTTCCACTTTGTGGATTTGGCTGGATCAGAAAGAGTAACGAAAACAGGGAATACTGGTGAACGGTTTAAAGAATCCATTCAAATCAACAGTGGGCTGCTGGCTTTAGGGAACGTGATAAGCGCTCTAGGGGATCCACGCAAGAAGAGTTCACATATTCCTTACAGGGATGCTAAAATTACCCGACTTCTGAAAGATTCCCTGGGAGGCAGTGCCAAGACTGTCATGATCACGTGTGTCAGCCCATCCTCCTCAGATTTCGATGAGTCCTTAAACTCTCTCAAATACGCCAACAGAGCACGCAACATTAGAAATAAACCTATCTTAAACTTCAGCCCTGAGTCAGACCGCATGGACGAAATGGAATTTGAGATTAAGTTGCTTCGAGAAGCTTTGCAAAGCCAGCAGGCTAGTAGTATCAGCCAAACTAGCCAAACCCGGGAGGGAACTCCTGATAAAAATAGAATCCATTCTCTTGAGGAACAAGTGGCTCAGCTACAAGGAGAATGTTTGGGTTACCAAAATTGTTTAGAGGAAGCTTTTACCTTCCTAGTGGAGTTAAAAGATGCTGTCAGACTGACCCAGAAACAGCAACACAAGCTGCAGGAGTGGTTTAACATGACACAGGAGGTCAGGAAGGCAATTCTCACCTCATTCAGAGGAAGCAGAGGTTCCAGTAACCTGGAAGAAGGACCACAGGACATTACAGTTCTCCAGCTCAAGCGAGAACTTAAGAAATGCCAGGTACTTAGACACCATTTTTATAAGTAACTTGTTTGAGGGCTAAATTAAGTAAGAGTCGTTGTGGAAAGTAAGTATATAGGATTATAGAGACCATCAGGATCATGCCCATCCTCATTTGATCATTTGAGGGAGGATTCTAGCAGAGAAAAGAAAGGACTTGTCCAAAGTCAGGGCGCCCAGTGCAGGACCCCTCCACCTTCCAGCTGCTGCCTGGAAGTACTGCACTTCATCCATTTTGTGTATTAAACTTTATTTGTAAAATGAACAACTTTTTGTTAAATCATCTCCTCATTCTTATCTTTTCTTGAGGAAATAACACAATCTTTGGATCCAGACAGGCCTGGCATTGAATGTTAAGAGTTTGGTTTGCCCATTATGTCTGCTTGGAAGGAAGTTTTAATCTCACTGCACCTTTGTTTCTTCATGAAAGAAATCATGTCTATTTAGTGAGAGATTTTTTAAATGCTAAGTCACTGGCATAAAGTAGACCTTTGGCAAATGTCTACTTTAAAAATTGTTTTGAAAGTATTATTACTTTAAAAATAATTTTAAATTATTATTTTTTTTTAAGTTTGTAGGATTTTTTTTTAAAGATTTATTGATTTTTATACAAGAGCTGGGGTACAGGCCAGAGGCACCGAGGGTTAGAGGATTCACCAGAGACAGAGCAGGGAACAGAACAGGCAGACAACCGAAATATACTGCTGAGGGGAGCAGCGGGCGAGACAGGAGAGGTGTGCTGCACCATGTGGGTTGCTCCCTGGCCAGCCTGGAATTGAACCTGCTCTGCAGAGGCTGCAGACAGCTTCACAGCACTGCACTCAACCCACTGCGCCACCGGGGAGGCCCAATTTTAAAGTTTAAATAACTTTAAAATATTTTAGACATCTTCATGTGAAAGTGTACAAAATTGACACATATTTTTTAATATACATTCAAATCAATTTTTTAAAAAGATTTATTTATTTATACAAGCACTGAGTACAGTTAGAAGCGCGGGAGGGTGAGACAATTCACCAGAGCCAGAGCAGGGAGCAGAGCAGGCAGAAGGACCGAAGCACACTGCTGAGGGGAGCAGCGGGCGGCAGGAGAGGTCTGCGCGCCATGCGGGACCCTCCTCTGGTGGCCGGGGAGCAGCTGGGGATCGAACCGGCGCTGCAGAGGCTGTGGGCAGCTTCGCAACCCAGCGTTCAACCGCTGCACCACTGGGGAGGCCCCTCAAATCAATTCTTATACCTTATAGGTCAGTTTGAAAATTGTAACCTCTTTGATTTTTAAAAACCCACACTAAAAGTTCATGGTAATTAGAGAAAATTTATAAAGTTCTTATAGAATATACTTTATTTTTTAATTTTTTTAAGATTTATTTATTTATGCATACAAGAGCTGGGGTATAAGCCAGAGATACGGGGGGTGAGAGGACCCACCAGAGACAGAGTGGGGAACAGAACAGGCAGACTGACTGAAGTACACTGCTGAGGGGAGCAGAGGGCAAGACAGGAGAGGTCTGCTGTGACATGTGGGACGCCCTAGAATATACTTTAGAATCTGGAATAACTAGCTTTCATTTTTACAATGCAGGAAATAAAAATCAGAAAATCTTCCTATTTTATGCTAATTAATTCTTACATGATGACTGTGATAGATCACAACAGTTCCTTATTAAGAAACCAGAAAAAAAGGTAAAAAACAAACAGGATAAGGGCCTCCCTGGTGGTGCAAGGGGTTAAGCACCGCACTATGAAGCAATCCGCAGCCCCTGCAATACGAGTTGATCACTGGCCGGCCAGGGAACAATCCACATTGTGCAGCAGACCTCCTGTCTCACCTGCTGCTCCCCTCAACAGTGTATTTTGGTCAGTCTACCTGTTCTGCTCCCCACTCTGTCTCTGGTGAGTCCTCTCATCCCCTGCATCTCTGGCCTGTACCCCAGCTCTGTATGCATAAATAAATAAATCTTAAAAAAAAAAAAAAAGAACAGGATAAGAAAAATTTTAAGAGAACTCAAGCTGTCATATTATTGGTTTTGTGATATTATGTGGACTCTCGAGTATTTTCCATGGTGAATCTCTCTTGTGCTTTCTTCTCCTCCCAGTGTGCTCTTGCTGCTGATGAAGTAGTATTTAATCAGAAGGAAGTAGAGATGAAGGAACTAAAGAATCAAGTGCAAGCCATGGTACAAGAAAACAAAGGATATGTTGTATCCTTGAAAGAAGCACAGAAAGTAAATAAATTTCAGGTAGTTTTTTAATATATTCAATATCTGGTTCTGTAGATTTAGTTGAAATAGTAACTAAAAATCATTTTAAATGATAAATGGGAATATTTACATAAATAGTTTTTTGTGGAAGAATTCTGAACACAGGCACCTAAGAGATTTACTTAAAGTTTTTTCCTTAAAGGGAAAATGCTTTTTTTAATACAGCTTATATTTCATAAATATAAAAATGATGCAGGGAACTCGCTTTGCAAATCATGTTATCTTTTCTCGATACTTTCTCCTTCCAATTGTTTCTTTAAGTATAAAAGGGATCATGTGATGTTAAGGGTTGGAGTCTAAGCACATAATTTGAATTTTTTAATTTATTAGATTATCCTTTTATACTCTATAATTTACCTTTTTAACTTCGGCAATATCTTTCAATTTTCTATCTTAATTTTTACCTACTATCCATGAACATTATAGTTTAGTTTTTGGAAAATTTATAAATTTAATCATTCAGAATACTTTAGTATTTGGCAGCATCTATTGACCATTTTGTTCTAATTTCACCCATGTTGTTATGTATACCTATAAATTGTTTTATAACAATATGGAACTTCTCTCTGCTAATATAGTACAATAAATTTTTCTGTTCTATTGTTGATGGACATTTGTTTTTTCTATGAATTTTCTTATAAATGCCTGTTGGTGTGTATGTATATGTGCATATGTGTGCTTGTGTGTGCTCGCACATACACGCATATTTCTTTTGGATTTGTTAATTATAGTCCTGGGTGATATGGTAGGCAAACTTCAATGTTAGTAAATAATGCTAAACATTTTGTAACTTACACTATACCAGCATACTATGGGTGTTCCTCCAGCTTTAGGTGCTTGCCAATAATTTGTTACTATCAAAAAAAAAATTTTGTTACTATTTTTAAGTCTTAGATTAAGTTTATAGTGTTATTTTATTGTGATTATAATTTGCACTTCCCTAATTATTAATTTTTTATAAATTTAAAAAATTAATTTTTTAAAAATTTTTATTTATTTTTGCATAGAAGAGCTGGGATGTAGGCCAGAAGTGGGGGAGGCGGGCTGAGAGAATTCACCAGAGAGAGAGGGAGAGCAGTACAGGCATATTTACTGAAATATACTGCTAGGGGGAGCAGTGGGTGAGAAACGAGAGGTCTGCTGTGACAGATGTGGGTTAGCTCCCTAGCCAGGGATCAAACTCAGGACTTAATTGTGATAATGCTGAGACTTAACCCCTAGGCCACCAGGGTGGCCCTGAAGTTGATTTGTTCTTTTGAATGTGTTGAAATTTGCCTTATGGCTCAGTATGAGGCCAATTTCTGTAAATATTAAAAGTGTGCTGGAAAAGAAGTACATTCTGCAATCATTAACTGTTAATCCTATTATTCATTTCTATATTTTTTACTAATCTTAATGAAATCTTTCTGTTATGTAGGAATTTTGAATGACATTAAAATCTTCCACTATGATTTTTTTTTTAAGATTTGTTTATTTATGCATATAAGAGCTGGGTTGTAGGTCAGAGGTGCAGGGGGTGAGAGGATTCACCAGAGACAGATTGGGGAGCTGAACTGAAATACACTGCTGAGGGGAGCTGCAGGTGAAACAGGAGAGGTCTGCTGTGTCATGTGGGTCAGCTCCCTGGTGGGCCAGGGATCAAACTCGTGCCATTCTGCAGTGGCTGCGGATAGCTTCATAGTGCTGAGACTTAAACCCTTGTGCCACCAGGGAGGCCCCAAAATCTCCCACTATGATTTTAGATTTATCTTCTCCATGAAATACGGACAATTTTTGCATTATGTATATATTGAAGCTGTGCCATTTAGTCCATTCACCCTGGTGAATTGATCATTTTATCATTTTTACTTTTTATCCATTTTAGTGGTTTTTACTTAAAATTTGCTTTTGATATTAATAAAGCTATACCAGCTTTCTTTTGATTAATATTTACAATTTAATTTCCATATTATTCTATTTTTTGCTTTTTCTTTTAAAGATTTATTTATGCATACAAGAATTGGGGTGCAATATACACAATGGAATATTACTCAGCATTCAAAAAAAGATAAAGTCATGCAATTTGCAGCAACATGAATGGAGCTGAAAGGGATCATGCTCAGTGAAATAAGCCAGAAAGAAAAAGAAAAATACCAGAGGTCTCACTCATAGCAAGAATTTAGAAACCTAAATCAGGGGCCAGGAAAAAGACTAATTAATACAAAGTAAAAATCAAAATCAACAAACAACTATAAACCAGAGACATACTACAGTGGTAGGGAGGAGGGAGTAGGATCAAAAAAGGGGGATGGGAATTGTATGGGGACTATAACCAAGATGAAAGTGCATGCATTGTGCAAAAATGAAAAATGATATAAAAAATATATTAAAAATAAATAAATAAAAGTTCTTATACAAAAAAAATAAATAAAAATGAGTAGGAGTGGCAAACATAAAAAAAAAAAGAACTGGGGTACAGGTCAGAGGTGTTGGGGTGAGAGGATTCACCAGAGACAGAGTGGGGAACAGAACAGGTGGATTGACTGAAATACACTGCTGAGGGGAACAGCAGGTGAGTCAGGAGAGGTCTGCTGCACCACTTCGGTGGCTCCCTGGCTGGGGATCAAACTCATCTTGCAGTGGCTGCAGATAGCTTCGTAGGTTGCGTCTTAACCCCTTGTGCTACCAGGGAGGCCCCCACATTATTCTGTTTTCAGTTTTAAATCTTTCCACATCTGTTTCAGTTGTGTGTCTTGTGAGCAGATTAGATAATTTTACAATTATCTCTGACAGTCTCATTTCATTTATGAATTTCATTATGAATTTATATTTAGGTGAAAATGCCCACCATTGTGCTCTTTATGGAATACTTTTATGTATTTTTTATATTTACTTCATTAGTGTAGTAGTGGTATTTTTTTTTTGTAGTGCTTATCCTGGAGAGTTTACCATACATCCTTCACTTAATGAAAATGAATATTAATTAATACTTTTATCCTTTTTATAGATAATGAAGGGACTCTATTTAATACTTCCCAAATTTATATGCTGTTGATGATGTATTTTTATTTTATTTATTTTATTTTTTAAAGATTTATTTATTTATTTATACAAGAACCGGGGTACAGGCCAGATGTACGGGAGGGTGAGAGAATTCACCAGAGATAGAGCGAGGAACAGAACAGGCAGACAGACCAAAGACACTGCTGAGGGGAAGAGCGGACGCGACAGGAGAGGTCTGCAGCGCCTTGTGGGACCCTCCCAGGCTGGCTGGGTATCTAACCGGCGCTGCAGAGACTGCAGACAGCTTCACAGCGTGGCGCTCAACCGCCTGCACCACCAGGGGAGGCCCTGGTGTTGTATTTTTAATATTTCATTTTTATAGCTCAGTATCAACACAGTGAAACTTTATGACTTTTTTCTTATTAAAATGTTGTAGTACAGGCCTCCCCGGTGGCACAGCGGGTTGAACGCAGTGCTGTGAAGCTGTGCACGGCCTCTACAGTGATGGTTTGATCCCTGCCGGCAGCAGAGATGCCCACATGGTGAGGCAGATCTCTCCTGTCTCGCCCGCTGCTCCCCTCAGCAGTGTATTTCGTCAGTCTGCCTGTTCTGTTCCCCGCTCTATCTCTGGTGAATCCTCTCACCCTCCCGCACATCTGGCCTGTACCCCGTTCTTGTATAAATAAATAAATCTTTAAAAAAAAAAGGCCAACTACTTCCTTCCCCATTGGCAACTTCCCCCATATCCAACCCCCACTGCTGACATACAATTTGTTCTGCCTGTTTTCCAAGTTCCCCTTTTTCCCAGGCTCTCTTTAGCTCTGTGCTTTTTGCTTTGTTTTTCACGGAATAAAGGCCTTCACTTCCCTGCACCTATTACCACTTTTTGTTTCCTTTGTTGTTTGCAGTTCTTTCTTGTTTTTTCCACTTTGTCTCTTGTTCCTTCTTGGATTTCACTCAGAAAGCCCAAACTTTTATAAAAATCAGCTAATCAGCATGCTTCAGATTGGCACAGTAACCAATCAGTGTGTGGAGCATTATCTTTAGATGAGTATTTAACACTTTAAACTGTATTTGTTGCTGCTTATTCTTCAGAAGTTTTTCCCTTTGAGAATATCCTAGATTATTGTGAACTCTTGGAGGCTAGCCTTTGGCTAAATAGATTTTACTGTACTGTTAAAGTAGTTGCAGTTGGTCAATGTACAATTTATTTATCATCTATATATATGCTGAGGTTCTCTAGTTTTAAAATTCTCATCTTTCTTCTACAAAGAATGAAAAAATAATAGAACAACAACTTCTTGTGGATCAACTGAGTGAAGAACTAACAAAACTTAACCTGTCAATGACTTCTTCAGCTAAGGAAGTTTGTGGAGATGGGCCAGATGTCAGGACACCTGAAAAGAGACCATATACTGTACCATTTGATAATCATTTGGGGCATTGTATTTATATCCCAGCAAGATCAGATTCCAGGAAGGTAAAGTCTAAACATTAATTAATATATTTCTTACTTTGAGATTTGAAAAGCTAATATATATAATATTACACTGTATTTTTACAGTCTCAACAGGTTTTTTCTTGGTTTCATGGACCTTTGTGTATATTTTTTCTTTTAGACATGCTTGAGGTTAAAAGTTATTTAGTTTGATTTAGTCTATTTTCAGAATGACATTTATGTTTTATTCAGTCTTTTTTTTTTTTTTTTTAAAGATTTATTTATTTATTCATACAAGCACTGGGTACAGTCAGAAGCGCGGGAGGGTGAGAGAATTCACCAGAGCCAGAGCGGGAGCAGAGCAGGCAGAAGGACCGAAGTACACTGCTGAGGGGAGCAGCGGGCGGCAGGAGAGGTCTGCGCGCCATGTGGGACCCTCCTCCGGTGGCTGGGGAGAGGGAATTGAACCGGCGCTGCAGAGGCTGCAGGCAGCTTCGCAACCCAGCGCTCAACCGCTGCGCCACCGGGGAGGCCCTGTTTTATTCAGTCTTAAGCTTACTTAAGACTGCATAAAAATCAGTATAAAGTTTAGTTTTAATTTTTATTTATAAATGCATGTGTGGGTTAGTAAATACACACACACACACACACAAAATTTCATCAAAAGTTATCAAAGAACCTCTACTGTGGAAAAGACTAATTAGTAGATTAATGAATTTTGGTTTCTACTTAATTTTATGAAGGAATGTGAGATAAGTGAGATCTATGTGATGGTTACAGTCAGAGGGATAAGAAATACCAGAGGCAGGCTTGGGGGTGCACTAACAATGTTGTATAGTCCTGGATGTATGGCTATACCTGTGTGAGCCCCAACTTCCCTATCTGTCAGAATGGGAGTCACATGGGGTTCCCTACAGGGCCAGTTCATCACCTTAAGGTGAGACAGACAGTTGCTATCCTGCTCTATAGAGTTTTCAATTTTGAGTAGTTGGATTTTAAATTTTAAATCACTGTTGTTATTAATTTCAGTTTTACTTTGTAGTCTTTATGGTTGAACATAGTAAATTTTCATAGCATTTGGGAAAGAAGAAATTCAGGATTGAACTTTGATATCAATTACTTCAACTTAATTTTATATCACATCTTCTATACTAAAATGTTTCTTTTACTGTTGCGTAGTACTGTGAAAGAACTTCTTTTTCTGTCCATTCTTTTATTTATTTTTTCATGTTATATTAGTTTTTTCTCCTGATTATAAGTTATATATATATACACACACACACAGATATACTGATCTCTTTTTCCTATTTATTTGACTTACATGCGTACTCTTTGAATAGACAGAACTCTGTGGCCACTAATGGTTTGGCCCTTAAATTAAGTTCTTATTTATCATGTTAAGGAAATGGAAATCCTTAGTAGGATAAAAATAGACATCTTAAAAAAATCACTTTTTTGTTGTTGGGGGGGTATCCATGTAAGGTCTACACAAGCCCTTCTGTGTGCTCCCTGGATCGAGTAGTTGCCGAATTTCGATCACGAAGTCAGATGCTGCTGGGTCATATAGAAGAACAAGATGAAGTCCTCCACACTCAGTTTTCTGATAATAGTGATGATGAAGAATCAGAAGGCCAAGAGAAATCTGAAATTAAGTATGTTAAATATATACTGATTTAATATACTTATAATGTAAAATATATGTGTATATATACACACATACGTAAGATTTTTTACATTGAAGGTGCATTTTTATTTAATGTTAAATAGTTCTTGCTAACTGTACTGTCAGCTAATGTGTTATATGTTATTAAGCCAGTGGTCAAGCACAAGTCATCAGACTTACAATTGAAAAATAATTTGCATTTTATAACTTTCATAGTTACTGCATTTTAATTTTCAGAATTTTTTTGGATTTCCTATTCCTCTGCCACCGTGGCAGCAAACATGAATTTTCTGTTGGGTCCTCACATGGTAGAAGGGAGCCTTTTATTTTGAGGAATGTTAGTAAAATTCTGTTTTTTTTGGTACAATTAATAATTTTTTTAACATTAATGTCTCTTTTGGGGGAAACTTATTTGAGGGAAAATTGGAAAACACCAACAGACAAGTGACTATTGATACTGATTTTTTTTTTTTAGATGTAGCAGTCGTTCATGGATTCAAAAACCAAGCTCTGTTTGTTCTCTTGTTGAACTGGATGATATTCAGGAACAAACACAAAAGTCCAATTTGGGGAATGAAGGTACTAAGACTTTCTTAAGTAATTAGACCTAATGTTTGTAAGACACTTCTTTTTTTCTTCAGTTGATAATTTAAGAAGCATCTAAGAATTCTCAAAGATGGGAACTTGTCAGGATTGCTTTCCTGGTTGGTAGAACTTTCCTTATGTTTTCTATTTTACCTCTAATTTTTTGCTCTTTTTACTTCTTAATAACATTTCTGTTGGTCACTTCTGGCTAGAGTAATAGGCTAAATCTCACAGAATTTAGGACTTTATAGTCAAACCTGAGTTAATGTGCATTGTACTTTGACTGCTTTAAAAAAAACATCTTAAGTAAGTTTTAGGTGTCTGCTTCAGTCATTCACAGTACTGAGTCAGTAGTGATTACTGCCTATCCTTGACAACGTATTTGTCATCGAGCCAAATCAGTGTACTGAGAGCTTGTAATATTCTAGTACACAATAGATGTGAATTTTTATACAGTGAATAACAGTGTGAAAAATGTTTATTGCCCAAAACTATAGTATAGTAGGAGATTTTAACTTATTTCTCTTGATCTTTGAGTGGTAAAACACAAGAAGTATGAGTATGGAGAATATAAATAAACCTTACACTTAGAGAATAAAGATAATTTTTTAAGGAGCCTATGCTTATAATAAAAATTTGACTATGTCCCAAATAACACTGAAATAAATTTGAAAAATAGTATGGATAAGTGCTATTCAAATAGCCATCCTGAATTTTTGGTTACTGGAACTGCACTAAGTAGTCTATTGGAGACTGCATTCTCTGATTACAATAAAACTGGAAGTTAGTAGGAAAAAAAAACAAAAACAATACCACCTGGATGGAGATTTTGCACTGTTATTAAGCAAGAGATTAAAGAAAAACTCAAATTGCACAATATCTATAGGCAATGAAATACTATATCAGAACCTATGGGATATTATTAAAGCATCTTTGTCTCTCTTTTTAGGAAAGAAAATCTCTTACTGTAAGTTAGAAAGCTTAAGTCCCAATTGACATGTGTTATCACCTTCTTTCTCTGTGTGACCTTTCTCTGCTATCTCTGCTACTCAGAGTGCTGCTGTGTCTGCTTTCTTTTTAAACTCTTTTTCTGTTGAATATTATATAAGTAGATAGTTCATCAGTTCTGTTTCTTTTATTTTAAAGATTTGAAGATTGAATGTCTCCAGGAGAGCCAAGACTTGAATTTGCAAAAATTAAGGAATTCAGAGCTCATGCTTACTGAAGCTAAACAAAAAATGAGAGAACTTACAATTAACATCAAGATGAAGGAAGATCTGATTAAAGAATTAATAAAAACAGGTAATGCTATACCATGAACCAGTTCATATCAGAAAAAATGCTTCTGAAATTGCTTCTGATGTTGTAACATTTACTTCAGTTTTTGACACTCAGGACTACCCATTGTAACTTAAAGCTTAATATAAAAAGATGTATTTTAGAGCTAATATATGAAGAAGTTTAGCTATTCAAAGAACTTTGTTATATTGGAATTTCATCTATGAATTGTTCTAACTGGTATGCATTGTATTGTGTTAAAACTCTACAGCACTTAATGTTTTTTGCTACTTTGAACAATTCTTTCTTAAACATTTATTTTCATAGGAAAAATTAGAGATTTTTAATTTTCATCAATAAAAGAATACCCAAAATATTAACATTTTCATGAAATATATCACATAGCCATAAAAATTAACATCTTGGGCATTTACACTTCATATAATTATAAATTTCAGATGATTTCAGATATCTTATTTCCCTACATATTGACCTAACTTGTCAATATTCCTTTAGTCTCTTTAGTTGACTTACTTTTTTTGATCTTTTCTCTCTCAAGTTTTATTGATTTGTCACTCATTTATGTAACTATATATTTTGGGAACACAACATCATACCTCCATATATGTACCTGCCTCACTCATCCTCCACCAAAATCTCTAGCCACAGTTCAGTCACCTCTCCTCTCCCATCCTCTTCTCTCTCTACCCCCAGTGCCTCTCATTCCTCTGGTAATCACTATATTTTCACAGTCTATGAATATTCTTGTCATTTGTCAGTTTGTTTTCTTTGGTTATTTACATTCTGCAAATGAGTGAAACCATCCTGTAATTATCTTTTACTGTCTGATTTATTTCAATAGCATATTCATCTCAAAGTCTATTCATTCTGCTCCAAAAGGCACTGTTTTTTATCTTTTTAAATAACTGAATCATATGTTATTGAGTATATATTCCAAAATTTTCTTTATGTGCTAATCTGTCAGTAGGCATTTAGGTTGGTTCCATGACTTGGCTATTGTGGATAATGTTGCTGTGAATAAGGAGTGTGTAAATCTTTCAATATTAGTGTTTTCATACTCTTTGGATAAATACCTGGAAGTGGTATTGCTGGTCATATGGTATTTCCATTTTTATTTTTTAATGTATTTCCATAGAGTCTGCTCTAAATTGCATTCCCACCAAAGGTAATTGAGTGTTCCTTTTTCTCTACATCCTTGCCAATGTTTATTATTTCTATTCTTTTTGGTATAGGTCATTCTTACAGGGGTGAGGTGGTATTGCTGTTTTGATTTGCATTTCCCTTAATAATAAGTGGTTTTGAATAATTGTTCACATGCCTATAGGCCATCTGACATCTGCATGTCTTCTTTGGAGATGTGCCTATTTAACTCATGTCTTCATTTTTAAAACTTTTTTTTATTGAGGTAGCATTGGTTTATAACATTGTATATGATTTAGAAATATAGAATCATGTCCTTAAGGTATTTGTTACCACACCACACCCACCACCAAGGCACATGCAGTCCTCCACCATAGCGCATTGTTTCCTCACCTCTCTTCCCTCCCTTCTGGTAGCTTCAATTCTGTAGTCAGATTTCTAGGTTTTGTTTTTATTTGTTTGGTTTTACCTGACTGTTTGTTTTGTTTCTCTGTATTCCCCATACAAATATGATACCATCTGATATTTGTTTTTCTCCTTCTGACTTATTTCACTTAGCGTAATCTCTGGTTTCATCCATGTTGTCACAATGGCAAGACTTTATTTTTTTTATAGCTGAGTAGTATTCCATTGTGTATATATATAACACATCTTCCAAATTCATCGATCTGTATTTGAGTATTTATTGTTGTTTCCATGACTTGGCATGATTTTTTGTTATTGTGTTATTTACTGTTTATTGAGTGTTATGAGTTCTTGGATATTAGCCCCTTGGTTCTTATCCCTTGTCATATGTACGAATTGCAAATATTTTGTCCCATGTAGTAGGATGTCTTTTTGTTCTAGTGATAGTTTCATTCACTGTGCAGAAGCTTTTTAGTTTGATATAGTCCCAATTGTTTATGTTTCCCCCCCCTTTTTAAAAAATATTTATTTATGCATAAGAGTTGGGGTACAGGCCAGAGGTGTGGAGGGTGAGAGGATTCACCAGAAACAGTGTGGGGAACAGAACAGGTAGATTGAAATACACTGCTGAGGGGAGCAGCAGGTGAGACAGGAGAGGTCTGCTGCACCATGTGGGTAACTCCTGGCCGGCTGGGGATCGAACTTGTGCTGCAGAGGCTTTGGACAGCTTCTTAGGTTGTGTCTTAACCCCTTGTACCACCAGGGAGGCCCCTGTTTATGTTCCCTTGTGATTTTCTTGTTGTTGGTGATGAATTACAATATATCACTGAAGGTCTTCTGTCCATTTTGTTTGGGTTATTTTTGTTGTTGTTGGATTATATAGTACTTTATATATTTTTGGAAATTAGGTTGCCATAGCTTGCCATTCTGTATGAATTTAGTTTCATTTTTTTTTTTCATGTTTCCCAGTACCATTTGTTGAAGAGGCATTCTTTTTTCCATTTAATTGTTATGGCCCCTTTGTCAAAGATTAATGGTCAGTATTTTTGTGGGTTTGTTTCTGAGCTTTCTGTACCATTGGTCTGTATTTTTTTCGAATACCATACTGTTTTGGTTACTGTTGCTATGTAGTATAGTTGCAGTCAGGAAAAGTAATACCTCCATTTTATTCTTTTCTTTCAGGATTGTTTTGGCTGTTTGGCACCTTTTATTTCATAAAAATGTCATAATTATTTATTCCATTTCTAATTCTTTTCATTTGGGTTTTTTCCTCATCTTTGTGAACCTATAATAGTTTTATCAACTTTGTTTATCCTTGCAAGAATTAGCTCTTGGTTTCATTTATCTTTTGTGTTGTCTTTTGCTTTTTATTTCACTTATTTCTGCTATAATTTTTAATATTTCTTTTTTAGAGTTTGGCTTTATTTATTCATCTTTTTTCTAGTTTGTTCAGATGAAGAGTTAGATTGATTATTTGAGACTTTGCTCGTTTATTGCTGTGGGCCTGTGTTGCTGTTTATTTCCCTCTCGGTACTGCTTTTAGAGTATACCATAAGATCTAATAGCTTGTCTCTTTCATTTTTGTGAGTCTCCAGATAATTTTTTGTTTCTCCTTTGATTTCTTCATTATTCACAAGCTCTTTGTTTAGTATCCACATTTGAACTTTTCCTGTTTTTTTTTCTTTAAAAAAATATTTATTTATTTATACAAGCACTGGGTACAGTCAGAAGTGCGGGAGGGTGAGAATTCACCAGAGCCAGAGCGGGGAGCAGAGCAGGCACAAGGACCGAAGTACACTGCTGAGGGGAGCAGCGAGCGGCAGGAGAGGTCTGCGAGCCATGTGGGACCCTCCTCCTGTGGCCCGGGAGCAGCTGGAGATGGAACCGGCTCTGCAGAAGCTGCGGGCAGCTTCTCAACCCAGCGCTCAACCGCTGTGCCAGCGGGGAGGCCCCTTTTCCTGGTTTCTTTTTGTAACTGATTAGAGTGGATTCAGAAGATGTGGTATATGTTTACACAGTGGAATATTACTCAGCTATGAAAAGCAGGTAAACTCTTGTCATTTGCGGCAACATGGTTGAAACTGAATATTAGGAAATAAATCAAAAGGAAAAAGACAAATAGTGGATGGTGTCACTTATATATGGAATATAGAAAAACCAAGCCAAACAAATAACAAACCTTTGAAATATGTAGAATTGGGTCTTCCAGAGGCATATAGGGAGCAAAATGTGGAGAGGACACGCAGACTGTGGTGGAGGACTATGGCTGCATTGGTGGTGGGAATGATGTAGTAACATTCATCCAAAGAGGTGTGATGATATACTTCTAAGTCATGTTATAAACCAGTGTCACCTCGATAAAAAAAATATATTTCAAGTTCAATGGAATAAAAAAGGAAGAAGCCAATTCTAGATTAAAAGACTCTTACTAGACATAATTCTGGGCCTAGTTTGGATCCTGATTAAAACAAACTAATTATAAAAAACAAGTTAACACAATTGGGGATGTGAGAGTAGGGACAGTTGGCTATTAATATTTTTTAGGTATGACAGCGACTGTTTTGCTTCTACCCATATTTTGTGTAGGTGCTTATTAAAGTGTGTATAGGTGGGGCCTCCCTGGTGGTGCAAGGAGTTAAGACACAAACTATGAAGCAATCTGCAGCCACTGGAGCATGAGTTCAATCCCCACCCAGGGAGCTACCCATGTGGTGCAGCAGACCTCTCCTGACTCGCCCACTGCTCCCCTCAGCAGTGTATATCAGTCATTCTGCCTGTTCTGTTCCCCACTCTGTCTCTGGTGAATCCTGTCACCCCCCGCATCTCTGGCCTATACCCCATTTCTTATATGCATAAATAAATAAATCTTTAAAAAAAAGTGTGTATAGGTAACATGACATGACATCTGGGATTACTTTATAATTTTTAAGGAAATTAAAAGAAAATTGGCACAAATGAAGCAATTGAGGCAAAATCTTAATAATTCTTGAGTCTGGGTAATAGGAGTTCATTGTGTTATTTCCCTACTCTTGATATGTTTAAATTTTTTCATAATAGTTTAAAAAAAAAAGGGGGAACCAGAGGATTGAATGGGGCCAGATGGGAACAATTATTGAGGAACTAGTTATTAAGAGACCAGGTAGGAAGTTGTGTTTGGTGGGGCTGAGTGGGGAAAATGGACTTTTAATTCTTTATTAGTTACATTACCCACTTGTTTTTTAAGAGCAAAGCATTTTTATGTTTTTGATGTTTGACTTTGTTTTTTAAAATAATTATTTAGTAACAACTATATTATCATTTTTATGGTAAAGGTAAGGATGCCAAGTCTGTAAGCAAACAGTATTCTCTGAAAGTAACAAAACTTGAGCACGAAGCAGAACAGGCAAAAGTGGAATTATCTGAAACACAAAAGAGGCTACAGGAACTGGAAAACAAACATCTTTCTGATATTGCTTTGAAGGTAAAATTACAGAAGGAGTTCCGTAAAAAGATGGATGCTGCAAAGCTTAGAGTCCAGGTAATTTTCAAAATATAATTGAGAAAACTTACGTAAGGCCCCTGGCATTTGAATACTCTTATGCTTAGTTAGGGAAGTAAGTTTCTGTTTTTGCCAGCGAAGATACTGAATAGCAACTTTTCAGTAGTGCTGGTAGGTTTACATAATTTATAATCTGGGTACTACATTTCTTCCCTCAAAAAATACATTATTTTCATCCTTTTTTCCATAACCACATGGTAAAAATATTGAGAACCACAGAAATAATGTCCTTTTCTGAAGGACAAAAGATTACTAATTAGGGGCCTCCCTGGTGGCGCAAGGGTTAAGACTCAACCTATGAAGCTATCCACAGTCACTGCAGCAAGAGATTGATTCCCGGCTAGCCAAGGAGCAACCCACACGGCGCAGCAGAACCTCTCCTGACTCGCCCCGCTACTCCCCTTAGCAGTGTACTTGGGTCAGTCTGCCTGTTCTGTTCCCCACTCTGTCTCTGGTGAATCCTTCCCCCGCCACCCCCATCTCTGGCCTGTACCCCAGTTCTTATATGCATAAATAAATAAATCTTTTAAAAAAAGATTACTAATTAACACATATAAAAACATCTAGTATCTGTATGGCATTTTGCACACTCAACAAATGATAACTATTTCAAGACTGTTTCTGAAACCATAACAGTTCAAAAATTTTATTCTGCGAGAAATCTTCCATTACAGAGAGATTTTGTGTAAAGAAACCATTTCCAGGTTTGAACTGTTTACAGGACTACTTGCTAGTTTTATATATCATACTTTCCACTTTCCTTGAGAATACTTATTTTCAGAATCCATATTTTCACTTGGTGATTTACCTCAGAGTCTGGGATCAATCCTTTTTTATTACTTTTTTTTTAAGATTTATTTATTTATGCATACAAGAACTGGGGTCTAAGCTAAGGGGATAGGGGTTTGTGTGTGTGAGAGGATTCACCAGAGACAGAATAGAGAGCAGAACAGGTGTTATCTACTGAAGTACACTGCTGAGGGGAGCAGTGGGCGAGACAGGAAAGGTCTGCTGTGCCATGTGGGTTAGCTCCCAGCAGGGGATGGATCTTATGCTGCAGTGACTGGCAATAGCTTGATAGTGCTGAAACTTTACCTCCTGTGCCACCAGGGAGGCTGCCCTTTTTTATTACTTGACCCTCTAAGACCACTTAGTGCCTAAAAAAGTACTCAGTTTTTTTTTTTCAAAGTACTAATTTTAACAAAACATTATTAGAACAAAGCAATAAGTTTTTTTCTTTTTGTTTGTTATGAAATTTTATTTATAGTTTCATAGGTTTATGTCATAGCTTCAATTCTGATCATAATTCTCTTATTCAACATTAATAGTAATCAGAATTACTGATTTTCTAAAGAGTTTATATTTATCATATGCATTATTGTTTAAAACCTCCTTTGTGGATCTAGCAAAGTTTATTGTTTTTGTATCTCACAACTAAAATATTGAGATTAAAAGATTAAGTGAAAGATTATTTAGTAGGGTATGTGGATTATGATGTTCTTACTGTTTTCCGTTTTTCTTGCTGCATATCCTTTTTTGCTAGGGATTCTGATATGGAAAAAAGGACACAACCAATGTTACCTCAATTAAATGATTTACACAAAAACAATAAAAGTATTCTAGTTCCAATAATAATAATAAGAAGAAACAGAACTTAATTAAGCTCAAAAGAGAAATTTCATACAGCAGAGAATTGAAACAGGATTCACAGGTAGTTTTAGAAATTTCTGTGCCTTTGACATATCCATGCACGATTGATAGGCATGGGATGATGAAGGTGATGAAGTTGGTAGTGGGGATAGGAAAGGAAATAATAGTTACCATTTCTTAAGTGTCTACAAACTGCTCTATACATACTAGATGTTTTATGTGTATTATTTAGTCTTTATTTAATCCTTTGCAGTGGCTAGATTTACTCCATTTTACAAATGAGGAAACTAAGGTGTAGAGAGGTAATTCATTCAGTCACATATGTGTGATGACAATACTATTTTTCAGTACTAGTACATCTCATACCATTTAAAAATGTTGAAATACTGTGTTTTTGTTGGTATAATGAAGTTGTGTCCATTTTTTAAAGTTAAAGTTGTCTTTGATTAGAAAAATATAAAATCTGTATTCTTTATGTCTTTAGGTATAGAGAGTTATGTGCTGCATTAATATTTTAATGCAAATGAAGATACTCTTTTGACTCTGTGGAATAAGTGCAAATTGTTATCTATTACTTTAAAATAAGATTATCAGTATTTATACCAATATTTCCAGTATTATATGAAAAGTATTCTAAAATGCTTTTGGATTATCATTTTTGCTTCAGTGTTGTAATTACTGTCAAAAATAAATGGCAAATTGGTGCCCAAGTCCAGGTATGGGAATCTGTGGAGGCTCATGGCCTCTACCAGTGATACTCAAAGTATCCCTCTATAGATTGCTCCTTATTGGTCTACCATAATATAAAGGTAAGTGGGAGCCCAGCTTTCTCCTTCAATGGTCTTTACAAAAATGTCAGCTGGATCTAATAGTGTTCTTAGTCGTGCAGGCTGACAACAATAGTCTGTGACTAGCACCGGTCCCCAGATAGTGCTTTGAGTAGCTCTGCTCTAAGCTATTGTACCTCTGAATAGTTTAAAAATTAAAACAAAATGTGTTTAGATTAAAAATTTGTTGCCATTATAAATGAAGTAATTCATTGTAGTTTACATAATTTACAAATGACCCAACTTAACTTTTTTATATCACCTAAGAGGTACTTAGTACAATTCTACAACACATAATACAAGTCTGATATGATTGTGTCTTTGATCAGGATTTAATAAGAACACTCTATTATTTTTACCTGAAGTGGTAAACCTTTGAAAATGTTCACAAATTTTTAATACTGTCTGTAGGTAATTTCAGCTAAATAAGGGGAAGCTTAAGTTGATTAAAATAATAATTATAATGGATGGTCACTCCTAGGGAAAGTGGTATCAATTTCAATCACCTGAACTCAGTCATTAATGGTTTGGGTATAGCTGGGTATGAAAGAAAAGCAGTGGAAATATTGTGCAGTCACACAGAAAGAACAAATCTTGTGAAAACATCTCTAAAATAAGTAGGAAAAAGGGCCTTCCTGGTTGCACAGGGTTTAATGTCTCAGCACTATCAAGCTATCACCAGCCACTGCAGCATGAGTTCAATCCCTGACCAGGGAGCTAACCCACATGGCACAGCAGACCTCTCCTGTCTTGTCCACTGCTCCCCTCAGGAGTATATGTCCGTGGATCTGTCTGTTCTGCTCCCCACTCTGTCTCTGGTGAATCCTCTCACCTCCTGCACCTCTGGCCTAGACCCCTGTTCTTGTATGCATAATAAATAAATAAATCTTTAAAAAAATAAGTAGGAAAAAAAGGAGGTGGAGAATAGTCTGTCTTGTACACATATAAAGTTATCTGCATATAAATTATTTTTGGATGATAATTAATAAAATGCTTGATTTTGTGTTGGGAAACAAGACAGGAAGATTAGATATAAGAGTTTTAAAAAATGAAAGTTTAGGTTTGTGTTGTTTTATTATTTACATATTATAAATTTTTTTTTTAAGATTTATTTATTTATTCATACAAGCACCGGGTACAGTCAGAAGTGCGGGAGGGTGAGAGAATTCACCAGAGCCAGAGCGGAGAGTAGAACAGGCAGAGTGATGAAGTACACTGCTGAGGGGAGCAGCAGGCGGCAGGAGAGGTCTGCACGCCATGCGGGACCCTCGCCGGTGGCGGGGATTGAACCGGTGCTACAGAGGCTGCGGGCAGCTTCGCAACCCAGCGCTTAACCACTGAGCCACCGGGGAGGCCCTACAAATTATAATTTTTAATTAAAGCATTCATATAAGAGCAAAGTGACCAATTCTGTTGTTTGGTTGTCAGCATCAAAGTGTCATCATTCTTTATATCTGGTGAAAAGTTTGATGGTCACCCAATTGTAAAATTAGTAATAGAGAAAACAAGTATGAACATATTTCAAATCTAGGCAAAATGCTTACCCTTGCCATTGAATGAAAAGTTTACTTGAGGTTTATGAGATGCAGTTTTTCATTTTGAAATATTTCATATGATTACAGGTCTTACAGAAGAAGCAACAAAGTAGTAAGAAATTGGCATCATTGTCCATTCAAAATGAGAAACGTGCTAATGAACTAGAGCAGAATGTAGATCATATGAAATATCAAAAGGTACAGCTACAAAAAAGGCTTCGAGAAGAAAATGAAAAAAGGAAGCAACTGGATGCAGAAATTAAGCGGGATCAACAAAAAATCAAAGTAATATTGTCATACTTTCCTGCTAAACATAATGTGAAATGTTAAATGGCTCAGAGATAATGAAGCCCAAGGTCTTGATTCACTTGGCTTTGGAGATATCTAGCCTTGGCCTGTCCTTGCTGTCCTCATTCAATTTAAAGCTCTGTTCATTTACATAGTAAAAGCTATTTATTGAATACTGAGTATTGTCTTGAAGGCTTTGATGTCACAAAAGAAAGTATAGTCACACAGTTTCTCTAGTAGGCCTTACCTTTAGTTGAATCTGTCAAAAAACAAAAGTATGATAAAGCCAACTTTCTAAATAAAAGCTAACATTTGAATAGGACTTCCCATATTCATAGTGCTTTGACATGGATTGTCCATGTGCTTGCATGAAAAAAAATGTACCACGTTATAGTGAGCAGAAGAGTGATCAGACCTGTATGCCTGGCAGCTCTGTGGAATAGCTGACTGGGGAGGAAATACTAGCTTCTGCCTGGGCTCTAGCGCCAGGCTAGCATAGCACTCTCATTTCCTACCTGGATCATTTATTGGTAAAATTGTTTACCCTCTATCTCATCTAAAAATGTTATAGGGCCTCCCCGGTGGCGCAGCGGTTGAGCGCTGGGTTGCGAAGCTGCCCGCGGCCTCTGCGGCGCTGGTTCGATCCCCGGCTGCTCCCCGGCCACCGGAGGAGGATTCCACATGGTGCGCAGACCTCTCCTGCCACCCGCTGCTCCCCTCAGCAGTGTACTTCAGCCCTTCTGCCTGCTCTGCTCCCCGCTCTGGCTCTGGTGAATTCTCTCACCCTCCCGCGCTTCTGACTGTACCCAGTGCATGTATAAACAAAACAAACAAATATAATAAATAAATAAAAACATGCCTCTATTAAAAAAAAAATGTTATTAATCATAATAAGGCCCTTGCTTTTTAGGGCTTTTTTGAAGAAGGCATGGTTGCTAATAATTGAAATGTTAAGCTGAGCCCGAGATATAGAACATAGAGAAATCCTAAATTAAAAATTTTAGAATATAATCTTTTCTCACACCTTAAGAAAAAAAAAAAATCACAGAATTTGGTAATGGAAGGGAACCCAAAGACTATTTAAGCCAAGTCACTCCTTTTTTTTTTTTTTTCCTCAAATTACATTTATTGGGGTAATGTTGGTTTACATCATTGTATCTGCTTTGGGGATTATAGGTTTAAACCTTTACAAATACGTATTTTTACACTATGCCCACCACCAGAGCCCCAGTAATCCTTCACCATGTTCCACTGGGCCCCTTTCTTCCCCCACTCCCACTCTGCTGCCTTCCCCTTCTGGTTGCCTTAATTTTGCAGTTAGATATTCTTTTTATATTTTTAAACAGCTTTATTAAGATACTTCACAAACCATGAAATTCACCCACTTAAAGTATATAATTCAGTGGGTTTTGGTATATTACATAATTAATTTTTATAAGCTGTGGCAAAACATATCACATGAAATTTACCATTTTAACCATGGTTATGTGTACAGTTCAGTGGCCTTAATTACTTTCACAATGTTGTGTAACTCATCACCATCATCTATTTATAAAACATTTTCATCACTTTAACAGGTATTCTGTAAGCATTAAACAAAAACTGCTCATTCCCTTCCCTCCCTCCCCCCAGTTCCAGGCAACCTTTAATCTACTCTATTTATTTGCCTGTTCTAGATATTTCATAAAAGTGAAATTGTACAGTATTCATCCAGTGTCTGACTTATTTCACTTGGCATAATGGTTTTCAAGGATCATACGTTGTAGCTCGTATCAGAACTTCACTCATTTTAAGGTAGAATAATATTCCATATATGCATATACTACATTTTGTTTATTCATTAATCTATTGACAGACACTTGGCTTGTTTCCACCTTTTGAATATTGCTGTGATAAACATTGGAATACAAGTACCTGTTCAAAACCCTGCTTTCGAAATACCTAGGAATGGAATTGCTGGGTCATATGGTAATTCTGTTTTTAGCTTTTTGAGGAAATACTAACTGTTTTTAATACTGGCAGCACCATTTTCACCAGCAATGTATGAATGTTCCAGATTTCTTCACATCTTTACCAACACTTGTTATATTCTCCTTTTTTATTATAGTCATCCAAATACATGTGAAGGGCTATCTCATTTGGTTGTAATTTGCATTTCCCTGGTGACAGCTGTTGTTGAGTATCTCTTCCTCTGCTGATTGGCTATTTATATATCTTCTTTGGAGAAATGTCTATTCAAGTCATTTACTTTTTAATTGGATTGTTTGTCTTTTTATTGTGGGGTTCTATGAGTTCTCTATATACTCTGGACATTAAACTCTACCTACATATAACTTGCAGGTATTTTTTACTATGCTGCAGGTAGTCTTTAAACTTACGAGATAATATTTTTGATGTACCAAAGTTTATAATTTCTATGAAGTCGTTATTTTTTTGTTGTTGTTGCATTTGCTTTTGGTTTTATAGCTAAGAATCCATTTTCAAATCTAAGGTCACAAAGATTTATTGGTATGTTTTCTCCTAAGAATTTTTGGTTTTAGCTCATATTAAGGCCACTGATCCATTTTGAGTTAATTTTTGTATTTGGTGTGAGGTAGAGTTCCTTTTGCATATAGAAATTCACTTGTCCCAGCACCATCTGTTAAAGAGACTATTCTTTTCCCACTGAATATTCTTGGTGCCCTTGCCAAAAATCAATTTGCTATAGATTTGTGGATTTATTTGTAAACTCTTAATTTTATTCCATTTTTCTATGTTTATTCTCAGGCAGTACCATACTGTCTGGAATACTATAAAACTTGGGTAGTAAGTTTAGAAATTGGGAAGTAAGTCCTCCAATTTTCTTCTTTTTTGAGATTGTTTTGGCTATTTGAGCCCCCTTGCAATTACATATGAATTTAAGGATCAATTTTTCCATTTTTGTTAGAAAGGTCATTGTATTTTGATGTGAGTTGCATTAGATATGTAGATCTCTCAGAATGCTGTTGACATCGTGACAATATTAAGTCCTCTCCATCAACATGGGAGTATTTCAATTTATTAAGGTTTTTATTTAATTTCTTCAGGTCTTATTTAATTTCTTCCAGCAATGTTTTATAATTTTTACTGTATGAGTGTTTAACCTCTTTGGTTAAAATTATTCCAAATATTTTATTGTTTTAGATGTTACTGTGAGTGGAATTGCTTTCATAACTATAGAAGTAGTCAGCATTATTTATCTTCAGTCAATACTATGCTAAGCATTTAAGTTATCCCATCTAATTCTTTTTTGTCCTATATTTCCAATTTTTTTTCTCTTAGGTTCTTTGAACATCTTAAGATTTTTCCTTCATCCTAAAATTATCCTTCTTTAACCTATTTTCCCTTCAGTTACTCTTTTTTCACCTCCCAGATTATAAACAAACTTCTCGGAAAAGTTTATTGCATTCACTTCTGTTTCCTCTGCTCGCCTCGCCCTCTTTTCCTCTTCAGTCTGGTGTCTGTCTCCTGACCATGAACTTCAAAGCTCTTTAGAAGTTCAATGCTCTGTAACTAAAGCCCTTACCATAACACCTCAGTTGCATCCAGCATAGTTCATCACTCCCTCCATCTTGAAATATTTTCAAGTGAAATTACACTTTCTCTATTTGATTGCTTGTTCTCCATCTTTGCTAGCTTATCCTGCGCTACCATTCTGTTACACCTGGGAATTCTGCTCTCCCTTGTCTACCTTTCCCTGATGATTCCTATAAAGCCCATGACTGGTATAGTTCGTAGTCTGGTCTTGCTTTTAGCTTAGAGCATGGAAGTATTTTGGCTTTTTCTCTTCTATTGGCATTCTAAATCCCTGTTCTAGCCTGTGCCCTCTACTCTGTCCTCAGTGATTTCATCTTTTTGTCCATGGCTACAGTTAAATGCTGACAACTCTCAGATTTAATCCTTAATTATAAATTTGCCCTTGGAGCTTTGAATTCTTATATCCAGCCACTTATGTCTTCATTGGGCTGTCTTATAGATGATCTACCTATTTACAGCCCCACTAACCCCCTTCCATGCTCCCTTCATAGGGGAGAAAATTGGAAAACTTTCTAATGTGCATTTCATTCTATTCATTTGGGTACTGTCCTCTTTGCCTCTGCCCTCTGCCCTCTTTTTCATCTCATATCCAGTGAATGAACCACTAATTCCTATAGATTATATTGATATCTTCTTGATTGTGTATAATTCATATTTGTACTGTCAATAACATAGTATCTTTGTCACAGTCTTTCCTCCAACATTTTGAGGTCTTTGAATGTCAGCTTCTCATCTCTCATTGAATATGCCTTAAACTGTCATTGTACTCTTCAAATCTATGCTTATGAAAAAAAATTTGGTCAAATTACATAGGAATTTGAATGCTGAAATGGAACTCTACCTATAACTTAAACTTTTTGCACTCCTATCTAGGGCGATTTGTTCCTTCTAGATATAGCTCACATCTTAGAGAAATGACCCATTAAAAGTAGAGAATGAGAATTTCAGAAATTTATTATAACAAATTTCAGATTGTTATCTGCCCCAGAGATAAATTGAAGATTCCACTACTTCATGCAAAAACAAAAATGCTCATAAACCCTAAAGGGCATCTTGTCCTCTATTTGAGACTAACTTTCTGGCACTGTTAACCCATTTTTCACTTGACTAGGCCATTCCCAGGGAATACTATGACTTCTGCATAGGCTGTCCTTAGAGCAGCAGTTCTTTTTTTTTTTTTTTTTTTTTAAATATTGAATTTTATTTTATATTCCCCATACAATTGCAAACGCCCCATTCTGACCCATCCTTTCCCTCCCGCCCCCAGCCCCAAAAAGTGTCTCTGGTTCATAGTTTTTTGTTGATTTTGATTTTTCACTTTCTTATATTCATTTTCCTGGTCCCTTATTTAAGTTTTCTAGATTCCTGCTATGAGTGAGACCATCCGGTATTTTTCTTTTTCTTTTGGCTTATTTCGCTGAGCATGATCCCTTCCAGTGCCA